ATTTTAGTGATATTTTAAACATTTAATGTCATCTTTCTGAGGTATACAGAGAACTGTATTATTGGACAGCTGATATAAATACTATAAATCAATAGTAACAATCTTATAATCCCGGGATTAAAGGCTTGTATTCCATATTGCCAAAAGAAATAGATGATGTTTTCTCTAAGTAGCATCTAGAGACACTGCAGCACATGACCTTGTAATTACTAAATGAGACAGAATGGGACCTGGTGCATGACAGCTGATATAAGTACTATAAATCAATAGTAACAATCTTATAATCCTGAGGGACAGATCTCTTTCTACCGATATGGTCACGAATTAGACCCTGGATTCTTCTGATACCTTGAATGTTCTTTGAAATATGATGGAAGTCCAGAATCATTAATGCAGTGAAACTGAGAGATGCTATGGCATTTCTTTTTTTACATTCATGTATGTAAGACTCATGGAAAAGCCAATTCAAAAAGCTCCCTGTGTAAATTATGTATATCAATGGAGCTAGTTTTTGGAGATTTTGTAAAAATAATAAACTTACAAACCCTATTCAAAAGTTATAGGATGTACAGTAGTTTCTTCACTATGCTTAAAGGGAGTGGATAGCTGCCCACTCCCTGTTATTGCTTTCTCTATGTGAGTAGCAATGAATCTGAAGATGGAGAGTCTCCTACTCATGTGTAAGATCTGCATATGATCAAGAACCCTAATTTTTTGATGTTATAGAGCTGCGTATAGAACTGTACCATCTGAATAGGGCTACAGAGAAGCATTCTTTGTATGTCATAAAATACACTGATCTAAAGAAGTAATACCAGCACCAGCCTTTCTAATCTGCCTAAAACTTATAATTTAGCTGTGAAGTGTCTGGACTTGGCCAGGCTAACAAAAGCTTCTGAGCTAGCAGTTTCAGCTCCCTTTCTTGCTGTGTTTTCCCCTGAAGCGCAAGGCAAAGTCCCGTGTTGAAACATGTTGAGAGAAAAATGCAAGGTGTTCAAAATCCTGTACTTCGTTGGAGAGATGACAATAAATGATTTAGATTTTTAAAATGGTTGTTTCTGTGGGTGGATCTAACAGACAATATAATTGTAGAGCACGCATTCCTCCCCCACCTGCACCCCGACGTGCCAGCACATCTTTCTAGTGGAAACACAGAGACGGAGAGCTGGTGCAATTCATAGTCTTCAGCCAGAGGCAACTCAACACTTAGCAATATCAGCAGGAAACGGAAAACATTTTACTAATGTATTCACAACTTTGCTGTAGCTCCCATTTGCAGTCCCTAGGGAAGGTTCTGGCCAAGTCCTTCCGTCTACAATGCATTTAACCCTCACATGACCTATGTGAAAGTAGTATACACATACTATAATGCACATATGGATAACCTGTGTTCTCCTAAGGTTAAAAAGGTAAAGGTAAAGGTTCCCCTTGACAATTTTTGTCCAGTTGTGTTCGACTCTAGGGGGCGGTGCTCATCCCTGTTTCCAAGCCATAGAGCCAGCATTTTGTCCAAAGACAATCTTCCGTGGTCACATGGCCAGTGCGACTTAGACACGGAACGCCGTCACCTTCCCACCGAGGTGGTCCCTCTTTATCTACTTGCATTTGCATGCTTTCGAACCGCTAGGTTGGCGGGAGCTGGGACAAGCGACGGGCACGCACTCCGTCGCGTGGATTCGATCTTATGACTGCTTGGTCTTCTAACCCTGCAGCACAGGATCCTGCGGTTTAGCCTGCAGCACCACCACGTCCCCTACTCTCCTAAGGCCTACAATTCCTATCAGCCCCATTGGCCATGCTGGGCTCTCCTAAGGTTATTGGCCTGCAATTCCTATCAGCCCCATTGGCCATGCTGCTGGGGCTGATAGGAATTGCAGGCCAGTAATATAGAGAGAGGACCTGTATTTCCCATCCTTATTTTAATGATTACAGCCAAGGTAGTGAATGGAACTGATTCTGAACTAAAGGGGGTCTTGTTTTCTAGGCTATGTCAATGTCTGACTTGTGCAGTTTTCTCCTTCTAGCCCTTCTTTATGTTATGGACCAGGGTGGGCATCTGAAGCTGCCTTTACTCCTGTTTTCATCTGGTGTTGGGCAGGTCAGCAAGTGAAGGAGCAAAGCTCTACTGGGCCCATGAGTTGCAACTGATACAAGAGCTGGGGCATGTCACTTCTGAGCCCAAACCACATCACTTTGTTGGTTATGAATAGGGGTGGCATCAGGTACAAAACTGACGTGGGCCCTAGACAATGCCCTTGCCCCAAGAGGTAGAAAAGAGCTGGTCTCTGTCTCTGTCTCTGTCTCTGTCTCTCTCTCTTAAATAGCTAGCCCTATGTTAAAGATAGAGAGCGAGAATAGTGTAATGGTTAGATTAGGCCTAAGGAGGTTAGCATTCAAATTTATTTATTAATTTAAAATATTTTTATCCTGCCTTTCTTCTTAAGAGGGACTCAAGGCAGCTTACATCATTAAAAGATAATATTTAAAAGCTAAAACGGTAAGTAAACAAATATTGAAAAGAATCAAACAAATAACACACTGAAAGTGGTAAACAGAACCAACATTAAAACCAAAGCCAATCACTAAGTGAAAGCTTGTCTGAAAGAAAGTTCTTTGTCTGTTTGTGGAGGGACAATAAAGCTGGGGCTAGTCTACCGTCCTGTGGGAGGAAGTTCCAGAGTCTGGGAGCAGTAACAGAGAAGGCCCTCTCCTGTGAACTCACTTAACATGTGGGTGACCTTGGATCATTCATCACCTTTCACCCTAATTCACTTCCCAAAGTGGTTGTGAGGAAAATGATGACAGCTGAAGTGCTTAGCAGAAAGTGAAATATAGTGGATAATAAAACAGAAACTTGTTTGGTTCAGGACTAGAAGCAGACATGAAAGACTTGCTACAAAGCAGAACCAGGAGTGCCATAATATGCCTATTGCTTACGTCAGAGTGATGTTTAGTGCTAGCAGTTAGGCCTTGTTTTCAGAAACCGCAGATGAAGCAATAAAAACATGTCTCTGGGCAATGACACTTCAATCAACAGCTGGGATCTTGCGTAATGAATGTTGTCCCATAGTGGAAATCAGATATGTAGAAAAGTAGTATGTCAAGGAAAATGCTGGGATAGAGCCAGCATTGACTGATTCTGATACCTAGTCTTCTTTACTCAGGGAGTTTGGAGGGTGGGTATTTATGAGCACGGCAGCATAAATTATTGCAGTACAGGAACAGTGGTTAACCTTCTATAAGGAGACAAGGTCATGGAAATTTGCACTCTACAGGTGAAGATACACAGTAGTCCTTGGTATGATATATTGTGAATGGCCTTGTGGAACAATATGAGAAAAGAAATGGCTTTCCTTCAGAACCAGTGGAAGCTGTGTTTTGTGCCTGCCTATTCGTCATTCTAGATTAATAACGGCTTATGTTTGCCAACAGCTTGGGATGGGATCCAGTGATGAAAATGGTTTCCTCCTTGCATCTGAAGATCTGGGTTGCGGTTTAAGGAGCAATTAGAGACACCGGGGACTTTGAATTCACTCACCTGGGACATCCCTTCCCAAACGTAATTTACTAATCTGGTTGAATTTAGTGCTGAGCTGAAATATGTGGCCCCCAACATAGTAGGATGAAAAGGCCCCAGAAAAGTGATTTAATTGGTAGGGGGTCATAAAGTTAAATATTTTCAGTATCTGAGTGTCTTGCAAAGTAACTGAGGTGCTTTCTGTCCCACCCCACCCCCCACACTTTCTTGCTGTTTCATACATTTTGCCCTGGAGGTTACAATGGTGGTGACATCAGCAGGGCAGTTTTGGGGGTGAAAGAAGAGTCTCATCAATGTCTCATGGTTAAAGGCAGCCCCTCCCATACCTTTAACTTTTTCTCAGGAAACAAATGGTCCCACAGATATGGAGAAAGCAGGGAGACATTCTGCCCAATTTTAATTTATTTTAATCAGAGTAGTAATCATTAAAAATGTGAGGCTCGAAACAACCTAGTGAGGACGATATATTTAATTGCATGTTGATCCCTTATAATGGAGTAAGTGAGAGATATGCATCTAAAATCCTAGGTGCTATTTTTAGTGTTGGGAGTTCTAGTGCATTGAGCAGGTGGAAGGAAAGTAATTCACTGGCAGGGGCAGATCTGTATGTAATTCCCAGGGGAAATTATTCTCAAGGACTATATCCTAATTCTAGAGAGGAACCTAGTGTCTGTTTCAAGAGCCATGGCTCAACAATGAAACACGTGAAGACTATATCTCCAAGCACACAAATAGTGTCTGTACCTCAGTATTAAGTCCATACAGATGATGCCCACATTCCAATGCATATGTGAATTTTCCATCTCTCCTTTATTTACTCTAATATGGATTTCATAATGGGAAAAAGTGTGGAAAATTTGTTTTCACTGTATTATATTAGGACTTTTCTATTTTTGTCTAAAACCACCCTATGCTATTTCCATTCAGATACTGTTTTTTCAGGTATCTGAAAACTTCAGAGTTTTCAGAGTTGTTCCTTATCAAAAAGTGTCCTTTTTCTAGCATTTAAAAGCTATTTGCTTTCTTATATAGTGTCTGGTGCTACAGGAGCAGCTTTAAAGCTCAGTAAAGGTAGATGAACTCCCATTCTAAGGCACTTTATTTTCCAGGCTGTTCAGATCTATTATGTAGTTCTCTCTATCTCTCTCCCCTTTGCATTTAATGCATATATAAAAATAGATGGAAAAAAGCACATCAGCGATCAGCAGCTCATGATAATAATTCAGCATAATAATGGGAGTCCTGTGACACCTTAAAGATTAACAATTTTATTATAGGACAGCTGAGGAAATGTGGTATAATCCACAAAAGATATATGTCATAATACATTTGTTAGCCTTAAAGGTGCCCATAGAATACCCTCTCTCTGTGTATGTGTGTAGGGGCTACCTCACTGGAAACATCATATTCTGATACTGGTATGTCTAAAAGGCATTAACTCCTTTACCTCTTCCTTTTACAGATTGCCTCTTTAAAGTATGTCCCATGAACCGCTACTCTGCACAGAAGCAGTACTGGAAAGCCAAACAAACAAAGCAGGACAAGGACAAGATAGCTGATGTGGTACTGTTGCAGAAACTTCAGGTAGGACAAGCTCAACGAGATGTATAAGCCATGTTTGTTTTAGATTAAATCTGGCGGGCACTTATATACAGTATATCACAGAAGTGAGTACACCCCCTCACATTTCATAAATATTTTAGTATATCTTTGCATGTGACACCGCTGAAGAAATGACAATTGGCTACAATGTAAAGCAGTGAGTATACAGCTTGTATAACAGTGTAAATGTGCTGTCCCCTCAAAATAACACAACATACAGCCCTTAATGTCTAAACCACTGGCAATGGAAGTGAGTACACCTCTAAGTGACAATGTCCAAATTGGGCCCAAGTAGCCGTTTTCCCTCCCTGGTGTCATGAGACCTGTTAGTGTCACAATTCTCAGGTGTGAAGGAGGCATAGGTGTTATCGCTCTCACTCTCTCAGACTTGTCACTTGAAGTTCCACATGGCACCTCATACAGTGGTGCCTCGACTTACGATCGTCCCTACTGATGACCATTTTGAGTTACGACCAGCTCCGGCTACAAAATTTTGCTTCGACTTGTGGCTGGAGCTTCCACTGATGAACAGAAAAAGGCAGGGGAAAAATGTGGGACGTAGGTGGCGACGAGGCTGCTTCTTTGCAGCTCTTTCGCCCCAGCAGTTAGAGAGTATGTGATCAGAGGAGGCTGCCTGGTAAGGTAAGGTGCTGTTTTCTGCTTTTTAAAAACTGTTCTGGTTGGGCTTTGCAGTGTGGTTTTGTGCTTGGGGGGGTATGTTTCTGTGCTGCGTTGTTGTTTTGTTTTTTGGTGATTTTTTTTTTGCAGTCCCAGTGCCTTCGGGGCTTACTTTGCTGTTTATTTTTTTTTAAGCCCTAGTGACGGAGCTTGCTTTGCTGTTTATTTTTTTAGATTTTTTTTAAAAGCCCCAGCGCCTTCTGACCGGGCTTGCTGTGTGCTTTATTTTTGCTTTGTTTTGTTATTATTATTTTTTTGCCAGAATGGATTAATCACATTCCAGTGTATTTCATTGGGAAATGGTGTTTTGACTTACGACCGTTTCGAGTTACGCCCATCTTCTCGAACAGATTGTGGTTGTAAGTTGAGGCACCACTGTAATAATGAACTATCTGGGGATCTGAAAAAATGAATTGTTGCTCTAAATAAAGATGGCCTAGGCTATAAGAAGATTGGCAAAACCCTGAAACTGAGCTGCAGCACAGTGGCCAAGACCATACAGTGGTTTAACAGGACAGGTTCCACTCAGAATAGGCCTTGCCATGGTCAACCAAAGAAGTTGAGTGCCCGTGCTCAGCATTATATCCAGAGATTGGCTTTGGGAAATAGCTGTGTGAGTGCTGCCAGCATTGCTGCAGAGGCTGAAGGGGGGGGGGGTCAGCCTGTCAGTGCTCAGACCATACGCTACACACTGCATCAAATTGGTCTCAGGAGCTGTCATCCCAGAAGGAAGCCTCTTCTAAAGATGTTGCACAAGAAAGGCCGCATATGGTTTGCTGGAACCAGGTCCTGTGATTCAATGAGACCAAGATAAACCTATTTAGTTCAGATGGTGTCAAGCGTGTGTGGCGGCAACCAGGTGAGGATTACAAAGACAAGTGTGTCATGCCTACAGTCAAGCATGGTGGTGGAAGTGTGATGGTCTGGGGCTGCATGAGTGCTGCTGGGACTGGGGAGGTACCGTTCGTTGAGGGAACCGTGAATACCAACATGTACTGTGACCTACTGAAGCAGAGCATGATCCCTTCTCTTCGGAGACTGTGCCGCAGGGCAGTATCCCAACATAATAATGATCCCAAACACACTTCCAAAATGATCACTGCCTTCCTAAAAAAGCTGAGGGTAAAAGTGGCCAAGCATGTCTCCAGACCTAAACTGCATTGAGCATCTGTCGAGTATCCTGAAATGGAAGATGGAGATGCGCAAGGTCTCTAGCATCTACCAGCTCTGTGATGTTGCCATGGAGGAGTGGAAGAGGACTCCAGTGGCAACGGTGAACTCTGTGCACAAGAGGGTTAAGGTAGTGCTAGGAAATAATGCTGGCCACACAAAATATTGACACTTTTGTGCCCAATTTGGACATTATCACTTAGGGGTGTACTTACTTCTGTTGCCAGCAGTTTAGACCTTAATGGCTGTGTGTTGCATTGTTTTGAGGGGACAGCACATTTACACTGTTACACAAGTTGTATACTCACTGCTTTACATTGTAGCCAAGTGTCATTTCTTCAGTGTTGTCACATGAAAAGATCTACAGGTACTAAAATATTTATGAAATGTGAGGGGGTGTACCGACTTCTGTGATATACTGTAGATTCTAGCAGCTGTAGCCCTTGTTGTAGTGTGTACATTGCATGTTCCCGGGCAGACTACTTACCTAACTGGCAGATAGCTGTTCACTCCAGCTGTAGCCTACAGTTTAAGTTATTAACTATTTCATAGCCACATTCCTGTATTAGTGATGCATTGTGACTTTGTCTATTGTTGTTATAGCCCTATTCCTCCTCCACCCTTATTTTCCCCCCTTTGATTTTGTCAACATAGTGAAACAGATTAATGTGGCTACCTGTTTGGAAGTTAGAAGGTCTTTCTTCATTCGGCAAGAATAAAGACTGAGATAAATATTCTGTATTACTATGTCTAGTGAGATGTGTGTGTGTGTGTGTGTGTATTGGTGTCTATTCTCTCCATCACATATTTTAGACCACTTCATAACAAGGTGTTTTGTGTCTATTATTCTCTCCATCATATATTTTAGACCACTTCATAACAAGGTGTTGATGATTGGTTTCTGGTTTCTCTTCAGATTGTATAAAACTTTTTCCTTTTTATTTTGGAAGCATACATAGAAATCAGGGATGGACCCACTGTTGCATGATGAATGTGTGCATTGTCTTTTGAGGTTTTGAAATGTTGTTTCATGTAAAGGTGAGGGGCATGTATTTCAAGTAGTATGGCAGAGTGCCCTGAAATTAGCACTGTGGGGTGAACTGGGGTTGAAGGAGAGCTTAACAGTTGTAAAGAAGGGAGCAGAAACGCATTCGCAGTGTTCTGCTGATATTCCAAGATTCCCTTACTGGCCATGGAAATTGTCTGGAGTTAGTTTCTTGATGTTTCTGATCATCATGGTTTTCTGCTGCTGATCCTAGTATCTGGCCTTATTCTTTAGTGAAGGGCATTTTCTCTAAGAATTTTGTGAGGATGTGATTTCAGCTGTGGGTAGGAACATACACACCAGAACAGGATCTAAGTTTGGTACTAAAATAAATTCAAAAGTAGTGCCAATTACAGTTGAAATTAAAATTTTGGCATCCCCACACAAGACTGGAAGATATTATTTTCTGAAATGATTGGGAGCTGTGGCTAGTCGGTGTAGATAATATTGAGATAGGCAGATCAATGGTTTAATTCAGTATATTAATTATAAGCAATGTCCTGTTCTTATCAGGCCATATAAATTAGGCAAAATTACTTTTATTCTTTTGCATCTGATAGAGTTGGGTAGAAGCACAGTTTGCAAAGCACCGAATCCACCACTGCCCCCCAGTGTTGGAGAAGCAGCAGATTTAGGACTGCCATGCTTCCCACCTACGCCCTGGTATCGTTTGTGCTCCATTAACTGCAGTGTGATAGGCAAACATCTCCAGTATCTCCCAACCACAGTTGTCAAAGGTATGGGGCTACGAGCACCAAAAGTGATGGACGCCTGATCTTTTTCCTTGTATTGGTTGCCAAGAGACCTGGCTTTGCTGTTTCAGGGGCTAAATATACTTAAAAAAGAAAAGGAAAAAGGAACTTGAAGTTTTCAGGACGTGAACTTATTTTCTGGATGCCATTTCATGGGGTTGTGTTGTGTGTTCATGAGATGTGTGTTGGCTACAAGAATCATTCTATTTCTGGAGAGAGATGGGGCACATGGTGTAAAATACAAAACAAAAGAAAGCAATTTAAAAAAAAAACCAAGGGTGGTGGAGAACACTGTATATTTTGAGATATGTTTCATTTTAGTTTATGTTTTTGTTGTTAAGTTTTGCTCATTTGTTAAATAAAAATAAAAAAGAGATGTGTGTTGACTTGCCAACAGGATAGCTTCACTTGCATTTCCTGTACTTCCTCGCTTTGTAACTGACCATGAAACCCAGCTGTTCTTCTAGTTCTCTGGATTTTGGCCAGTGCTCTTCTCCTATGGCCTAATGAAATTAAAACATTTATTTCAGACCATGAACAAGTGTGGTTTGCTAACAAGAGGCAAATTAGTAAATTAATACTGAAAATACAATGGAAGATAATTTTCTGTATTGCAGAAGGCATGATGCGAGCCTATTCTTTCTACATCACTTCTCTCCTACCTTATTTGAGATAATTATGTGCAGCCTCTCGGTGAGACTAAAAAGAGCAAAGCAAAATGCAAATCCAAAATTAAAAAAAGGAGAACAGTAGGAAAAAAAAACACCCAGATTTTTAAAGCAGCAACCGAAAAACTGGCTGTAACATGCCTTCCCCCCAAAATGTTTGGTGTGGTCTAGCTAGAGCAGTGGTTCTCAAACTTGGGTTCTCAGATGTTCTGGGACTAAAACACCGAGAATCCTTCACCTCTAGCTGTGTTGGCCAGTTTTTTTTTTTTTTTTTTGACCCCAACATGTAGAATTCCTTATATAGGTGGGAGCATTCTGGGAGATGTGGTTCAAAAGAAAAGCAACAATTTCAGTGCAGTACAGCCTTGTTCAAATGCCTAACAAAAATGAGACCTGTCGTTTATCAAGGAACATGCTTCTTAGGGTCATCATTGCACTCTGCTATCCTGAACATACCAAACCTTGCCTGATTTCAGAAGCTAGGCAGGGTGAGGTCAACTTGGTTGGGATTTCACCTGGGAGTACCAGAGATTTCCAGGCAGGGCTAGGAAAAAGTCTCGCCTGAAACAGTGGCAAGCCCCTGCCGGTCACAGTTGATCATACTGGGCTAGATGGACCAATGATCTCACTCCATATAAAGCAGTTTTCTGTGTTCTCTTTCAGGCCAGAATCAGCTGATAACTATTTTTCAATGAGAGAAGATAATTTTCTAAAATAGACATGCCCCCAAAAATACAAAGTGAAAATCTAGCACTACTGTTTCCAAAAACTAACTGCCTCGCCTTGAACCATGCTGTGCTTATAGTCTCCCAAATCTCAGAATGTGAGCAGTGCGTCAGAGCTAATCTTGCAGTCCAATCCTCCACATGGCTTGCTCAGATGTAAGTCTGACTGAATTCAGTGGGGCTTACTCACATATAAAAGTGAACAGGATTAGAGACTTAATTGCATTGTAAGAACATAAATGAAATTGGAGCCCATCTTTCCCCATCTTTTGTGGCCACTGTCAGGTTATCAGAAGGAAGGCAAGCTTTCCCTTAGTGCCCGAGTGAGGTTGTTAAATGGATTGTTGTGCCTTACTGTATTGAATGTGTTTCTGGTGTTGTTTTTCTTTACCGTGTTGTAGTGCAGTATCTGAACCTTTCTAGTATTTGTATACTTACTGTTTTTAGCTTTAAATGTTGTCTTTTAATGATGTAAGCCACCTTGGGTCCTTTTTAAGGAGAAAAATGTGGTAAAACTTTAAATAAAATAAATTTTAAAATGCCTGTTCCTATATCTTCTACCAGCTTAACTCTTAACAAAAGCCCCTGCTTTCTGGATCCTATCATTTGATGTTCAGGGAGAAAAAGCAATATCCTCTATTTTTGTGTGTTCGCTATGACTGTAGTTTTTGATAAGGCAGAGCTCACAGTCATTCAGCTTAATATGCTTATAAGCTCTTTTGTAGGCTGTTGTGGTCAATATCTAAAGGTCTTACTGACTTCTGAGTGGGACAGGGACATGGAGATTGGGCTCACAGGCCCCCTTATCTCTCCACCAGCCATGTAATCTTACGGGGATTCAGGCATAACACTGTGGCTAAATTCCTTACTGCTGTAGCCAGAATCCTTCTGAACAACCCTGTGCATGCAAGGGCAGTCACATAAACAGTTCCACCTTGGCAGGCTGTCCTTTGTTCAGTTGGTTGCGTGCTCTGTTTCACAACCAGTATCTGGCTGGTCAGGGAAAGAACAGCTCACCAAGCAGGAACCACTTGATTAATGCTCTTCTGCTCCAGATTTCTCCAAAAAGGATTCTAGCCTTTGTGTCATTAAAAAGTGCTTTGCCAAGGAGCAAATAAAGCTTGCTAGGGTTATGCTTTTTGTGGAAAGGCAGAAGTCTAAGACAACTTCACATTAAAAATACAAATCAGACATCTTGTTTAAGGTAACTCACATTTTTGGTCAATAATGACTGCTTTTTGGGTCACCGTTTTTACCAATCTTAGACACTTCTGTTGTGCTTCTGCTAGTTATGGTGTTGAGCAAGATGTCCCAGGACGCTAAGCCCTTTTTTTGAATAATGGTGATCTGTATTCTCAGATATTTTCAGTTTTCCAAATTTTGTATCATGCTTTTAATGTTTCCACAACCATAAGGGCTAAAAATTTGCCAAAGGCAGAAGACTGATAGAGGCTGAATTTTGTATCTACCACCTAATTCTGCACAAGTGGAATTGATATTATATACTGAATGAAGGCTGTTGATCTAAATTTAATTTTAAGGTCTATACTAGGCTAAAAAGAGTACTCCGAACTGCATGTCCCCAACCCGCTCAGAGAGAGGGCTTTAAGCTGTGTATATTTTTAACACCACTGCAGGATGGTATATGACGAACAGCAGGCCAGTGTGTGCTGCACTTTCATCCTTCTTTGCTGCCAAACTAGAAAACAAGTCCAAATGTTAATCCAGTGTTTTAGGAGAGATTAAGGCTGAATTAAATAAAAATGAAGTTGTATTTTTAAAAAAGCTTTGACTTGCCAGTGACACGTCCCAAAATAGGCAGCCTCTTGCCTAGGTGGATTTATAGCTGGGACACCACCTCTTTAGAGTGTAGTTTTATGCGGTGGCTTCAAAGCAGTTGACTCACGGCATGTGGGGCTTCCCTTGCACCACATAAACACTTTTCATTCCTCCAGGGCAGACACAGAAATCCACTTTCATTGCATCTGTGTTTGTTATTAGATACTGATCTGGCCAGCAGTTTCCTTGCAATTATATATCCATTATCCTTATGTGAGCTGAGCAGAATGAAAGAGTTTAATGCGCTAGAGTGAAGCAAAGCATGCTGCTTATATACTGCCCCATAGTGCTTATAACACTCTTGGGCAGTTTACAATTTAATTATGCAGGCTACACATTGCTCCTCCAGTGAGCTGGGTACTTAATTTACTGACCTCAGAAGAATGGAAGGCTGAGTGAACCTTGAGCCGGCTACCTGGGGTTGCGACCAGAGTTTTGGCTGCAGTACAGCTGTTTAACCACTGCACCACGAGACTCCTGAAGATGTCCTAATGCTGATTTGATCTCAGTGATTCAGCAGAAGTAGAATCAGTTTCAATGTATATTCCATGGAAACCACAGCTGGATGGACCCTTGGGTCAGCAAGCCATAGGAGGTTCTTGTTGATTTTTTTGTGGGGGAAACTTTGTCGATTTTGTAGATATATGAAAACATTGGTTGCAATCCCACTGACAATTTACCCTTGTGTAAGAGAGACTGCCATTTATTAATGAGGTACTGGTGCTATTCCTTGACTTTGATGGAGCGTATGCCAAAGAACGCAACTAGCACCTTGTTAATTAGTGGCAATTTACCGTCACAGTTTATGCCATTTCACTCAATCAGGCATAAATAACGAAACAGATTGTGATCTGTAGCTTCAAAACGTCCATCCCACATGATATGAGTATGAAAACATGCCCACGGCTTGTTCTAATGCATAAAAAAAGACTAAAAGCTAGTATCTTTCTTTGCCCTGTTCCTGCATTCGTGTGTTACCTGTTTTTAAAATCTCAAGATTCCTAGAGGCTGATTTTAGGGTAATGGAATATAAAGCAAAGCAAAGCAGAGCATGCTGCTTATATACCGCCCCATAGTGCTTCAAGCACTCTCTGGGCGGTTTACAATTAATTATGCAGGCTACACATTGCCCCCCCCGCGAGCTGGGTACTCATTTTACCGACCTCGGAAGGATAGAAGGCTGAGTCAACCTTGAGCCGCTACCTGGGATTGAACCTCGGGCCGTGAGCACAGTTTTGGCTGCAGTACAGCGGTTTAACCACTGCGCCACGAGGCTCTTCTAATAAGGCTATCAACATAGATACAGTGGCAATATATTTCCCGAAGTATTTCAGGCAGTGCACCTCTGAGCACCCATGAGTAGAAGGGTATTTCTACTCTCATATCTGGCTGATGGGCTTCCTGTAGGCCTTAGACTGGCTGTGAAAACACAGTGCTAAACTAGAATACTTCAACACGGCATGACTTATGTTCTTACAGAGATATTAAGAATAAGTGTAATAAATACCCTGTTTAAGAAATATTAGTGGAATCTTATGCATATTTATTTGGGAATAAGCCCAAGTGGAAACAAGTCCCTTTCTCTTAAGAAACATACATAGATTGTGTAAGTTTGAAACAATGAAATACATTGCATACATTTGCATTAAAATAAAAACTCATTCTGAAGGGTAAATGCCTATTTCCCCAGCAATTTAATGATGAGCACACACATATCTGAGCTTGTTTTATAGCTAGTTGTATTGAAAATGATCAAAGATTTTTATAAATGTTGCTTAATTAAACAAAAGAACCCTTTAAATCAGACAGCAGAGCTTGAGACAGTTAAGCCAATTGACTGAACAACACAACCCTAATTGTTACATATTTCACTGCATGATATAATATGTGATTCAGTTAGGGCTCATGGCTCCCTAAGCAGGATGAAACATGAATAAGATGAAAGGAGATCTTCTAGTTGCAGATAATTGTGCCCTGAGCATAAAGACAATCAAACACAGGTTCTGTTATCATGTGTGCATGAATACATGTATACCTGTGCATACGCCTGCAGACAAATATGCACAAGTACAAATGTGAACTTATTTTTATGTGAACAAATGAATAGCAATAAGCATATCAATAAAAAAGGCAATAAGAACACTTGCAAACATCACAGTGGTTAATAGGCAGATTTTTTAAAAAAATATGCTATCAAGTAACTTCTGCTTATAGCGATCCTAGCAGGCTTTTCAAGGTGTGTGAGATATTTAATAATGGTTCTACAAGTACTATCTCCCAGTGAATTTTTATGGCTGAACAGGGATTTGAACCAAGGTCTCCTGAGTCCTAATTCAGTACTTTATCCATGACACTACATTGGCTCTTGGTCCTCAGCAGATGACTGAAAAAGCCTCAGGTAGAAATAAAATACACAATGTGTATGAACAAATAGGCATCCATTTCACAACGGATGCAGGGTTTTTCCCACAACCTGGAAATATTGTTTAGCAGTCACACTTCTTTTTTCAGGTAGTCTTCTTGCATAGAAATCTTGGTTTGAGCCTAAGAAAGTTTATTCTAAAGGGAGAAAAAATTATTATATAGCCTTTCAGTCCCCCATTATGCATAAATTATGCTTGTTCCATAGATTTGCTTAGTTGGCATGTTTTGGTTTAACAGAACATTAGGGCTTAAAGAAAATCAGTGCTTCCTGCTGCAATTCTACTTGTCTATTCCTCTCTAAAACTAGTTTTGTCAGAAGGCCACTTTCAGAGAGGAGCTGGAGTGGCAAATCAAAGTTCAACTTCCTCCAAATGACCTGCAAGTCTCATCGGTGAAGCTGCTACTCTCTCTTGACTACTTTTTAAAGCTCTGGGGTGCATTTGGCTCATTTGCTGATTTCCGTGAGATTCCCAGTCACAGTTTCCACACGCGAATAGGTATCATCTGGGAAACGGCATCTGATTTCCCTCAGATGTCTTCTTGGGTCTTTGACAATTCATGACTTGCATTGATCCTTCTGTGGTCTATGTCTCTGAACAGCATGCTGCACAGATGGAGCAAAAGCAGAATGAAACTGAAAATAAGAAGGTGCATGGGGATGTGGTGAAGTATGGATGTGTCATACAGGTATGTATTGTCTTTCTCCTGCCATCACCCAATGGCATCTTTCTGAACCCACATTTACCTTAGGGTGCTTGGATCTTATTAATATTATGTCTTTTGACCAAAATGTCAGGGATCTCTGCAAACTGATGTGTCAGTCAGATAGTTAGTTCTTCTTTGTGGCCTCTGTGGATCACACCCTGGGTGATCCGCACCTGCGCGGAGCCTCAATGGAGGATTCTACAGCTTCTGCGGTAGCAATAAACACATTAGAATATGCCCCTCCCCACCCGTATAAGTACCTTGTCGCCAAGCGTTCCCTTTCATTTGGTTTATCAACCTGTTTGACAACTAGCCCCTAGAGTCGTTCACCATCACTCCACCAGGGCAGTGGCAGCCTCTACAGCCTTTCTCCGCAGCGTACCATCTTCTGGATGTCTGCCTCTCTGTCACTTGGGCACAGCCATCCACATGTATCCGTCATTATAGACTCAACCTCCAGCAGAAGTCTGATGCGGCATTTGGATGTTCTGTTCTATCCTCTACCTTGGTGTGACACCCTACCTCTGGGTAAGACAGCTTATTAGTCACCCAGGGTGTGATTCACAGAGGCCACGAAGAAGAACGACAGGTTACCCATCTGTAATTGTAGTTCTTTGAGTAAACCTCTGTGATTAGAATCTGGATCCAACTAATCTTTAAACAGACAAATAAAACATATTCCATATATCCAAAGAAGTGGAGATGATCCACGAAAGCTCACATTAAAATATAATAGTCTTCAAGATGCCACTGTTTTTTTTCCTTATTTCTTTTTGTTTTTTTCCCTTTGGATTTTTCCTGATGTGGTTGCACAGACTAACACAGCTACCTCTTTCAAAACTACATCTTTAAACAGAGTGACTCTTAGGTGTGGAGTTTCAACTTTAGGCTAAGGCTGTCTCAAGATTTTTTGGGGAACCTCAGCAGGCCTTTCCCCTATATGCCCTGGATTGTAGAAAAATAGGAGAATTCATTTGGCACTATTAAGTAATGGGCCCAAACCAAACCTGGATTGTATGACCATCTGCAACATTTTATTTTGTAATGTTGCTGATTATGTAATAGCACTGTTTTTCATTTTTGTTTCTGTAAATGTGTTCCTTTTCTAATGTTAAATGCCTTTTGGATTACAAATTCCCAAACAAACACATTTTAAAAAAATGAAATATTGTTAATAGGCATAGAAATATCCCTCTTTATTGAGGCTCCTAAAGATAGCTACATGGTTTCTCTCCAGCTGTCTGCATTAATTAAGTACCGTGTGTGATTATGGCCAGGAACCACTTTGCTGTTTTCTAGCTCCTCCACATGAAGAGTAATAAATACCTGACAGTGAACAAGCGCCTGCCTGCTCTGCTGGAGAAGAATGCCATGAGGGTGACACTGGATGCTACAGGCAATGAAGGTTCTTGGGTCTTCATCCAACCCTTCTGGAAACTGAGGAGCAATGGAGATAATGTGAGTGTGTAATGATGAAGAGGTGACTTCTCCCTGTAACAGTATATAGGGACTGTAAGCATGGAGCTGTAGAGCTTTGAGGTATTTACAGACTGAAATTGTCTTTACTGCTCTGCTTTGCAGTGGAGTGGTATCATTCTTACTGATGATGAGCCTCAGGGCTAAACTAGACACTACATTAGATACATAGGAGGCACTACACTAAATAGCACAACTTTACTTTCTAGATTGGGATCACTGTGTGTGATTTAATATACTGAGATTTAACCCACTCCAGCTTACTTCCTTTCCAGATTCTTCCTCCACTTTAAGGGCCTTAAAAATCCTCACTAGGTATAAATGGAATTCCCCCCCCCTTTGTTTAAACATGTAAGTTTTAGGAAACTCTCCAAGCTAGGAGAGGTTTGAACCTGTCTTACCCATATATGGTGGTCTTGATCTGGAGTGGGACCACATGCATTTACTGGAAAATCGAGAAGAACTGTAGATGAGTCCTCTGTTAAGGAGCATCGGCTTGGCCTGAGAGATCCAAGAAGTCAGAGCTCCAATGAGGAAATCCTGTGGGGAAACATTGAGGTTAAAAGAAAGGCGATAGAGAATGGAGTGCATAATAAGGTTATTTAACACATATATCTTCATTACTGGTTGGGTGCAATTTCAAGAGATGATTTGTGTTTGTCAGCCAGCTACAGATTGCACATATGTTTTGAGAGAAGCAATTCACAGATGCAATTATCATAATGGAATTGTAAGATACCAAGTTCAGAGGTATCAGGTGAGGATGACATGTATGTGTCAATCAGCCCATCCACTGGAATTGGCTCTGTACTTGCAGTTCATGTGGGCATTTAAAGATTTGGCAGGGAGTGTGGGATGCACCGAGTACAGTTTTTTGTTTTCTTTATGGCAAGCGTCATTGAACTTGATGGTGCTTTATTTCGAGTAGATATGTACAGGACTACGCTGTCAGTTTCTCCATCCCCCAATTGATTCAACTTCCATGGAGAAGTTTTAGGGAGCCTCCCATGTCCGTAGACCCTAACCTTTATGCCATCCTTCCTCAGGTAGTTGTTGGAGACAAAGTGATCCTGAATCCTGTGAATGCTGGGCAGCCACTGCATGCCAGCAACTACGAGCTCACGGATAACCCAGGATGCAAAGAGGTACAGATGGTGGGAGAGGGGTTCCTGATTTTAGTGGTCAGGATTAACGTGCTCTGGGGATTTAGTCTGGGATCTTATAAATGGTACCTCTCTTTCAGTAACTCTTATGTTTTTGTAGGTAAATTCTGTCAACTGCAACACCAGCTGGAAAATCAACCTGTTTATGCAGTACTGCGACCATATGGAGGAAGTTCTTAAAGGGGTAATGTGTGTGTGTGTGTGTGTATGTGTGTGTAGCTGTCAAATTTAAGCAGTTTGGCATATTTTAAAAATTGTTATTTCTTGCTGGTATTTTCCCTGGTGCTAAATGAGACATTTCTACAAATGACTTCCATTTTGAGTATGGCACTTCTAAATGATACTAAGGAGAGGCAGAAGGTAGTGGACAGCCATGATGATACCCTGCAAAGCTTTAAGAATTAAAAGTTGAAATATGAATAGGTCTGTCTGTTAGCCGTTGAGGCAGGTGGAGTAGCTAGGAAAACAGGTAGGCAGCCACAAGGAAATAGTTATGCTTAATCTAGCATTTGTTTATTGAGACATTTTCTTTAACAAAACAACTATTTGACAATCATACTGCATGCTATCAGGAGTCTTGAAGGACTGGTGATTGAAGAGGAGACCATGGTCAAAATCTAGGAGCAGAACTGATGTTGCATAAAGCTGATGGCATTATCCGTCATGGTAGTTTTTAGTAAATGAAAAATATCTAGTTCACACACCCCCGGCCAAAAGTCCAGTGACTTCCTTAGGATTCCTTTTTTCCTAAAGAAGTAGCTGGGAACTACAGGGCTGAAAAGGGAGCTTTTATTTCAGAAAATTGCCACTGATGGGGGCATATGTGTCAGAATTTTTTAATTTATGAAAAACTGCCATAGCTGAGGCCATCGTTATCATTGTCTTGATTTCAGCCGATATTTTAAGAATTGACTCCCTGTCTGCTTCCATGGCAAATTCAAGGTATTGATGATGACGTATAAGGCCCCTAACGGTTTGGGACCTTGATACCTGTCAAAGCATCTCTCCTTATGATCTTCTGCCTCTCCCACCTGTTTCCCCCCGGGCTTTGATTCTATGGGTGGCCATCTCGACGGAGGTGACTGGGAACTGGGCCTCCTTGGTGAGGTCTGTGACATTTGGAATGCTCAGCCTGTGAAGGCATGGCAAGCTCCCTCCTGCCTAGCCTTTCAAAAGCTTGTAAAAAAAAAGCCAGAGATTTTTAAAGAGGCCTTTAAGAACATCCTCCTCCAGTGATAGGGTTGTTTTTTTTTTTGCCTGCAGCTCCCAAAATCTGAATGTATTGGGGGGGGGGATTCCTGATGAATTTTGGGACCTGCATTAAAAAAAATCCGAATGTCCCATATCTACTGTTTAAAAAAAGAAAAATCTGTTTTTCCTTTGGCATCAAAACTTCAGAAACCAAAACAGAAACTGTTTTCATTGGTTTCAAGCCTACCGTTTACCCAAGAAAAGTCAGACTGGTGAGCAGAGCCATTTCAAAACATTATGGAGTGAAAACTTCTGACTGACACTTTGGAAAACTGTTGCCAGTTGGAATAGGCAGCACTAGGTATAACAGAGCTATGATAAGACTTCAGAAAAGGGAACTTCTATAACTTAGGACTCTATTAAAATATTATGGTCACTGAAAGAAAGATAAATATTTTTCTGTCTCTAGAAGGTTCTAAATATACAGCATAGTACTGAATTTTGCTGCTGCATAGTCTTCAGACAAGTTTTAACATATTACTAATATACCAAACGTCAAATAATGAACTTACCACAATGATTTATGTTGGACAGGATAAAACAAATATAGAATTATATGATAGGGCTTGTGAATTTGGATTGGATTTGAACTTAATCATGCTTAGAATTATTTCACATTGAAATCAGTGGGATCGGAGTTAGTCATAGCCAAAAAAAAAACTTTTCTTATTGTTTTCTGTGGGTCTGCTCTAACTGTTCTAGCCCATTGAGACTGTTTTTACTATAGTGCTGGCGCTAAGATATTGGTGTCATACCAGTCTTAGTATTTGATAGAGAAATTGGTCTGTTTTCATTATCTTCATGCATTGTACTGTATATCGCAGTGCATGGACAATAATTCATAGTCCAGGTAGATGTACCTTCACTCTTTACATATTTCTCTGACAGGGGGATGTGGTCAGATTGTTCCATGCAGAGCAGGAGAAATTCCTCACCTGTGATGAATACAAAGGCAAGCTGCATGTCTTTCTTCGAACTACTTTACGACAATCAGCTACATCAGCCACAAGTTCCAATGCACTCTGGGAGGTTGAGGTGAGTACCAGAGGTACTTACAGGTGTAACATACTTGCATAGATGCCGGGTTTATCATTCCTCAGATTGCTTATGTCATCTGAATGTACAACTCATAGCTATCCTTCCTTACATGGTAGACCTATATGCTTTCGTGCCTGATTCTATTAAGTCTCTTATTTGGAGTCTCAGCAAAATAAACTGACATAGAGTAAACATCTCTGGCCAAAATAGCTACATCAATAAGGTAGCTGGCTTCAGAGCCAGAGGTTAGGAGTTCAATTTCTCTTTGTTCCTCCTCAGAGAAAATCCAATATTGTCACCTTGAGAACACTATGCAGTGTCAGAGTGCCCCAAGAAGGGAATAGTGCCCATAGAAAACCCTGAGAAGGGATGTCAGAAGTTGAAATTGACTTGATGACACACCAGTATTACTTTATTACAAAAACTGGAAGGATCACAGCATCCTTGTTTTAATGTATGAATTCTCATAGGTTAACAGAAGCCACCGCTGGTTGGTGCCACCTTTTGATGTTGCTGGCTAATAGTTTAATCAACTGACATGGACTTCTGGACAGCCAGATGACCTTCAAGAGTCAGGAGATTCAGGGGTTCCTCACTTTTCCAACTCTTACGCAATAGCAGGAATTGGACCAAACAAATATCAGTCAGAGACTTTACACACAAAAAAATCATACATACAAGATAACAAACAAACTATTAATTTACTGGAGCCACAAATTTGTTATATTTCAGTGTGCAACTCCTCACTATCTGCGTCGAAAATACCTGTGACTTCCTGCTTTGTATTTCAGGTAGTACATCATGATCCTTGCCGTGGTGGGGCAGGGCACTGGAATGGCTTATATCGCTTCAAACACCTTGCCACTGGAAATTATCTGGCAGCAGAGGTGAGAGGAACTGAGCTACTTGCCACAGGGTTCTGTGACTATTTAAGTTGTTTTGAGTTTGTTTTAAAATGCTTGTTTTGCAACGGGGCAGTTTAGCAGTTATACTTTTTATAGGTGCATGATATAGAGGGGCTAGAAGAAATTAATGAAAAAGGAAATGTGTATTAAATAGGAAAAAGTTTTATTCTTTTATACTTGTTGTCTATCTAGAGCACTGGTTCGTAACCTTGGGTTACTCAGGAGTTTTGGACTGCAACTCCCAGAAGCCTTCACCACCAACTGTGCTGGCTGGGGTTTCTGGGAGTTGCAGTTCAAAAACAGTTTTATTCTTTTATACTTGTCTATCTAGAGCATGTAAAAAGCAACTGTGAGACCTGCCACCTCCATCCTCAACAGAACTGGTAGCCTTGGGTCCTGTTAATAATTCCATTGGCTCCAGGTGGCTGGTGATCCTGCTCTTCATTGGAACAGGTGCTTTTCCCTGGCAGTTCCTTCTCAATGTCTTCTTGAACCCCGAGGGACTGAGTTGTCTGCACTAGTCCCCTGGACATAGTCAGTTCTGTCTCTGTTGCTGTCACTGAGGCCAGCAAAGTCTTTGAAATAAACAAGTCCAGTCTGGAACCAAGCTTAATGCTTTTCAGTGAAGAGTGGTAGAGGTGGTTGGAAAGCAGTGCCAGTCCTCCTGCTCATTGGCAAGCCTTCTCCCCCTTTCACACTGGTGTTTGTGCCACCAGCGCCTTAGCTGAGTGAGTGTGGGCACGGTGGAACCAGTTTGATATAAGTTTGAGGGATTTCTTCCCCCTTTTGCAGCCAAGGGATTGTAAGCCTTGTTGAATTATAGCTTTCAAACAAGTCTGTTCTGGAAATATAATAGTATTACTTACACATATTGCCACAGAATCTTACCTTGTGTGGTGGGTTCACCATATAATGCAAACTGTATCATGAGTGGAGGTTTGGCTGCTTTCAATCTGGCAAGCCTGAATTCAGAGCATAGTATTATAACTTTTTGTCCCCAGTAGATGTCGGTTGTTTAATTGCTTGTCCTTTGATACTTCTTTCTACTTAAAAGCAAAATTTAGAACAGTATAATTAGGTCACATTATAGAGCAATTGCATCCACAATATAATTAAGTGCTTTTAGTGTAGTGCCAGCAGCTTTTCACCAGGGCTTAGCTTGAGAATTGGCTGTATTTAGGACTATTTCCATTTTATTTTCCTTTTACCTGTAAATCATCTTTTCAGTTTCTGGAATGGAAAACAAATTCCTCTTTGCATAATTTGCTTTTTACATACCCTGTTTCCCCTAAAATAAGACCTAACCTGAAAATAAGCCCTAGTATGATTTTTTGCAATATAATCCCTACCCCAAAAATAAGCCCTGGTCAAGTGAAACCCTGTCCTCCACCATTGTGCAGCAACAGAAGATGACATGATTGTCTTTGAATAAATGTAGATTGTTGTACATGGAAAAAAAAACATCCCCTGAAAATGAGCCCTAATGTTTTTTTGGAGCAAAAATTAATATATGACCCTGTCTTATTTTTAGGGAAACAGGGTACCTGTATCCCAACTCTTTTTGACTGTCCATACATCCTAGCCTCACCTTTGGGCTGACAAACTAATGGGAATAAACAGGTCATATATTTAATGAGCTGGAAATTGCAATTGCAAATGTGTGGGCTTTTCTGTAGGGTCAGAAAATTTGAACACATGGAGCTGTGCAGTGGACAATGGACCTGGCCTTCCCTGGCCATCAAACATGTCTTGTGTTCTGCTTTGATTCCATTCAGTGAAGAAGGACATGCTCAACTGTTTCTAGATGCTTCAGCGTGGAATAATCACCACTGCATCATAGTATGCAACTTCTGCAAATCTTCTGCAACTCATCTCACTGTCTGCTTTTCTAGACCACACTTCAAGATCACAGGTTATGAAACCGTAAAGCTTTCAGACCTTCCTTTCACAGAGGCATATGCACAGAGCACCAGATACTCCCATTAACAAGACATACCTTACTTCTCAATGGTTACATTCACGAGAGGACATTTTCCCATCCTTCCTTATCCTTTCTTAGATGGAGGTGGCTGTTGCTAAGTTCTATAAAGTTGCTTCCAGCTTATGATAACCCCAATAGGATTTTTGAAGTATGTTGGATGTTCAAGAAGTTGTTTACTACTTACCAGTGAGTTTCCATGGCTCGGGAGAGATTTGAACCCAGGTCTCCTGAGCCCTGATCTGACACTGTGTCTGCTATAACAACTGACACTCATAAGAAGAATATTCTGTGAAGATTCTCCAGGGTTCTCCCGGCCTTTGCGTTCTATTGTTATTTTCTTCATGGTTGACAAGTACTCTGGAAAGGAGTGGCATGGACTTCCATTTAGCAGTGTTCACCTGATCAAGCTATTGAGGAGCAGGAATAGGTGCATGTAAAAGAAGTCCACAAACCTCTTTCCACCTAATTTTGGCTATTGTCTCCCTAAGAAGATCCACTGAATGATGGTGCATAATGGAGCAAGTGTCTGTGTGAAAAACAGCCTAGGGGAACATTTATTTTGGATGAATCTTGCCTGTGTTGGCCTAAGCGGATTCTAGGAGATTAGAGGTTCTTCTCACAGCCCTTCCTTGTTGACAACTGGCAAAATTCAAAAGACTTAGGATCAGGGCCATAAACAATATTGCTGAACGACTGTTCCCAGTGTTCAAATCCCTGTTCAGCACTTCCTTTGTGCTGCAACCTCTTCAAGCTGTTATAGGTTCTTTTGCCCTATTTTGTCCTGTAGTTAGGTTTGGTTGGTGGGGAAAGAGAGAAGGATATTTTGTTTGTTTGTTCATTATGAGACAAAATCCCCTGTCACTCCTGGAGGATTATTCTTGTTACTCTAGTCACTCTGAAAATGTGGCTTAACAGGTTGTAGTTTACTCAGAGCTTTCTTGCCCAAATCCTGCTTCCTCGTGCACTTGTGTCCCCTCAATGATCCAGCCAAAGTAATTGCAATTGCTCTGCATTTGTAGAGGTGTCTCTCCCATAGTTTGAAAGGGTATCATTATAAGCCATGTTATTCAGCCTACCCAAATTAGGGTTGTTCAACTGATTTTAAAGAGCCACACCATAGCGTGAGCTTGAAAACCTCAGTCATCGTTCAGGATTTGCACACGAAAGATCCATCAAAAGATATCTGAGATTTTTTTTTTTAAAAAAAGACAACTTGTTGTCAAAGAACACTAGATACAGTGGACCCTTGACTTACAGATGGCTTGACTTACAGACTTTTTGAGTTACAGACTTCTCTGGCCACAATATAGGTTTGACTTGCAGCCTGAGAATTGACTTACAGAAGACGGAACGTGGTCTTTATATCTGAGATTTTTTTTTAAAAAAAAGACAACTTGATGTCAAAGAACACTAGATAAATCTTTAGCTGTGTGTGTTAGCAGCAGCTTACATATCTAGAAAGGTATTTCATCAAAAAGTCTTGGGTGTCAAAAACTAAGACACTTTATTTAACCTAGATTTTTGTGGACTCTACAATTCATGAAAAGCAGCTTATGCCAGAGAAAAATTCTTACTTTTTCAGGCACTATCAGATTTTTTTGTTGGTTTTGTTGTTGCATAGCTACCCCTGTCACAGGATTTCCATCAGCTTGCTTTTTTGTTTTGCAACACCCATGGACACATTCTGAGGCAGGGAAATGTCTCACAAACTGTTACAGTTTTGGGCATAGTAGCATTTCTCTAGCATCTGCTAAACTGCTGTCTAGATATTTTCAGCATGTCATAAATACATTCTCAGCTGCTACAGAAAAATTCTTGGGAGTTCCTGATACTTCAACCACTGTGAAATCTTGCTGTCACAAAGTCAGTAAAAAAACCTGAGGAAGTAGCTTCCTTTTGTTGGAAATAAAAAGATCAAGGTCAGTTGGCTTCTGTTGTTTCTCTTGTGCACTAATAGTTCTAATTTCTTTAATTTTTCAGGAGAACCCCAGTTACAAAGGAGATACAGGGGAACCCAAGTCCTTGGTAAGCTGTCATTTATCTTTGTTGTAATGGTTTGGCCTGGAGGTGTTCAGTGCAGGACTCAATACTTCAGTTTCAGTTTATAAAAATATAGTTTTTATTGTAATATTCTTTCTGTTTTGCATTATTCCTCATGGAATCAACTACAGTGTTTCTCAAGCTGGCTCTCTGATAATTTCTCATCTCCAATGATGGCTGCTAATGCTCAAGTGGCTTCCTTCAATGCAGGCCCTACCATAGTGTGGAGTGAAGTAGCCACTCCAGAGAGGAGATTTGGGATGCATGCAAGAGAAGGAAATATTGAGCTGTAATTTTTTTCAAAATAATTTCTATTTAAAATTAAAAACTATTTACAAATACTGTATATATAGTGCTACACACTTGAAAAATCACAGTATAGCCGTACTGTGGAAAACACACATATATACAAGTTTAACTTTAAAAATCCAAATCTTATTCACCAGTTCTAATATCATATTCCATTTTCCCAGCCTTAACCTTGAGCTGTAAAATTTGCTGCCATTTTATTTTTGTTGTCAGGGATCAGGAGAGACACTTGTGCAATTTTCTGTCTCATGTGCCAACACGATGTACAGTACCTAGTTTTAGTTACTATGTGTCTTAGCTTTTGTGCTCTGCCTCAGGTGACAAAATGTCTTGGGCCAGGCTGGAATCCTATTTATCAGAAAAAAAGATGGACAGATTTCAGGAAGAATTAGAACAAAGCACAGAGAGGCTCTATTATTGCACGCCAGTGGGACTCAGAGGACGGTCATTTTGCATCTTTAAAAACGGTGGTGGGTTTTGGCATTCCCGTGCTTTAACTGAGGTGAACTTTGCATTGAAGAAAAGAGGAAAAAAAGAATGTTGAGAAAATCTGGTTTATTCTGGGGTATAATGGATACTTTTCAAGTGGGCAGCAGGTAGACAGTAATTATCTGTGAGTGTCCTGACCAGTTTCTACTCGGGCAGGCAGGATTGCATGGATCACTCAGTTCTTGGCAGGCAGTATTAGTAAGATGTCACAATGGTCTGTGTTCTTTAAACAGACAACCTCAGCACAGAATCATAGAATAAAGGATTTGGAAGGGGCGTATGAAGCTCAATGAAAGAAATGGTATCACGGAAGCACAATGTTTCTTACTTAAATAGAGAGTCTTAGCAAAAGTGGCCAATCTTTGACCAGTTAGCACCAGCATGGAGGCACGATGGTCAGGTGTGTGAAGGTAGTGTGAGCAGGAGTGTGAAGGTAGCCAGATTTTGGTTGAATGCTAGGGAAAACTTTAACTGTTAGAGCAGTGCAACGGTGGAATAAATTACCTCAGGAGGTGGTGAGCTCTCCAACATTGGAGGCATCCAAGAGAAAATTTAGACAACCGTCTGCCAGATATTCTTTGATTTCAGTTCTGTTTTCTCTCCTCCTTTGCTACAAATGGCAACTGGCACAAGCACATGGCATGATTTTTACTTCTTCTCAGTAAGGCAGGCACAGAGAATATGGACAGAGTCTGCCCTTACATGAATTGAACTGTATAATAAATACCTCTTGGTAGATGCCTGGCACCAGGAGAGACTGAGAGAACAGAGCAGAACTAGGAAAGACTGCCATAGATGGGTACAGGTTAAGAGGCGAACTGACAGACTGAAAGCAGCTACTGGCTTGAGAGCCCAACTACAGTGGTGCTTCATATTTTGGCTTGTTCCCTGCAGGAAGAAACACTGCAGGCCTCCATCTTTCCTGCCCCAGTGTGCACAAAGGGTGAACCAAAGATGGGAGGGAAGAGGAGCTGTTGCCTTCTCTTGCTTTCATGCTTCCTTCCCATTCCTCCTGTGAAAACAGGGTTCAAGTAAGGAATTGCTTGAGGTGTTCCAAGGGGCTTTCTAGCTGTGGAGAGCAGGAATTCTCCCTGTCACCTGTCTTCAGCAGGCCAGGATTAGAGAGGATTCATATTTACTCTATGGCCATCTATGAGAGAACAATGTCAATTAGCTGCTTTTCCTCCAAAATAAAAATTCACCATTCAGCACGCTTTTAAAGAAAGCATGCTTAACATAACATATACTTGATTTTTTAAGTCTCTCTGAGTATAGCTAAGAAAAAATTACTCCTTGAAGGTGTCACTGAGTGGCTGTTGGCCAGGGATAGATAGTGGCAAAGGGGAAATTTTAGAAGTTGTACTCCAAAAACATTAAGTTTCTAAACTGTGCTGACTGAAATAGAAGAGGTGAGATGTGCTTATCTCTGGACAGGATCAGGCTGATTTTGCTGGAGTGGAGCACTTCGAGGAGTTGTCTTGGTCATAGACTAGGAGACTTGCACTGTGGCAGATGGCAGCATAGGTGTTGCCACAGCCAGCAGAATGACCTGAGCTGAGAAAGTGTGTTCTGATATGCATTTTACTAGGAAAAGCAGCCAGTGTACCTTTTGCTAGGAGCATCAGCTCTAATGTGGTAATACCAAGGAACAGATGTAAGTGACTGTGCTTGCTATAGTAACATGCTGGTGAGGTGCTAAATTGCTACTAGACATTGTCCTACTCCCAGCTTGGTCCACTGAGTGATGCATTGGTGCTTACTGAGAGCATGAAGCTTGAATTCACATGATAAGGATATACAATCCAGATGAAACAAGTATGAATTCACATGAAAAGAATATCTGATAAGGTGAAACAAATATTTGTGGTTGTTGGTCTGTCTTATTTGTATACGGGTATCTTAGAAGCCTGTGAAGATATTGCAGAGCTAAAAAGAAATGTTCTGTGTTTGTCCCATTGGGTGAGAGGGGATGACTACTGATGTTCCAAGGCCATTCTTAGGTGCAAGAAACATAAACTATGCATTTAAGCTATAGTGAATAAACAGGGAATTGTCTCTGTGAGCCTAGGGCACAGAATTTCAGGAATAATATAATAAAATGAAAAGTGCCATATAGAACCATTTGGATTAAAGTATAATGACAAATTGGCTCTGACATGTAAGTCTCACAAGATGCAAAATAGTTAGCCCTTTGTGAAAATATGACAATTGCAGCTATTTTTGTCACATAACCTTTTGTGGCCCTGCTAACACAACATTGAAGACCACCTTCTCTTGAGACAGGCTGGAACCAGTCGCTCCAGTCGGAGATACACAGGGGAAAAGATCAAGTACCGATTGGTGGCTGTGCCTCATGGCAATGACATTGCTTCCCTTTTTGAACTGGATCCTACCACACTACAAAAGACTGATTCCTTTGTCCCTCGGTAAGTGTCTCTCCAGAATTCCCAGCTTCATCTGAACTAGGATGGAGGCACTAGACATAATCCAGAGAAAAAGGCAGTTTTGCATGAAAACTAATCTACTAGTGTAATACAGGAAGAGAATATATATATTTGAGTAAATGCCATCATGAGATCTTGACTTGAGTGGTTAGGACTAATACTGAAAAGCCAGGTTTTCTGCTGCATTTATAGAAGACTACTTCTAAGAGAAAATGACAGAGAAGGATTTGTTATATTGATCTCTTTAGTACCTTCTTTGCTTGAAATTGCTGTATCAGATTACTTTCCACACTGGCTGGTTAACTCAGAGTTGGATACTTGGATGAGGAGCCAGAAGTCAATAGTTTGATTCCTCACTGTGCTTCCTAGGGTAACAGCCAGCTTGTGTAGCCTTGGGCAAGCTGCACAGTTCCAGAGCCTCCCAGAAGAAGGGAATGGTAAACTACTTCTGAGTACTCTATATATAGAGAACTGTGGAAAGGATTGGCATGTCAGAATCAACTTAATGCCATGCAATTATTGTTATTAGTTCCTTCCACTAACAAATTAGATTAGCTTTTCTTCTTGCAGTTATTTACAGACTACACTCATTCTTCCTTTTTTAAAACATTCATCAAGTCATTTTCCAACTTATGGTACTCCTATGAGTTAATGACCTCCCAAAGGTCCTGTCATTAACAGCTCTGCTACAGTTTTGCAAATGAAAGTCAATCCCTCTTATGTTAAGTCTTGCTTTTTTCCTATTGCCTTCATTTTTTCCTAGCATTATCATTTACTCAAGTGAGTCTTATCTTCCCAAGATGTGCCCAAAGTATGATAGCCTCAGCTGTCATGATATTATACATTTAATGCAAGGGAAAAATTAGCAATGGCTACAGTTCATGGTACAGATATAATTCAAAGTTTGATGTTAAGTTTCTTTTTATATCAATGGATTTTAAATACTCCACTGTTTCATTAACGTCAGTAGGAATTTGGGTGCTTGATGTTCTTCCTTTCACTTCGAAAGTTATGTTACTCTGGTTTGGTGATAAATATTGTTTCTACGTCCTAGAGTAGGCTGGGTTTTTCTCAGACTAGGAGGAGAGGAAAGGATGCAAATAATATATTTGCATTTGAAAAAATGCTCACAGGTCCTTAAGAAAATCAGTACATAAATAAAATTCATTCTTTGATGGTTTCAGAAACTCCTATGTCCGGCTGCGTCACCTCTGTACCAACACATGGATCCAGAGTACCAATGTACCCATTGACGTTGATGAAGAGCGGCCCATTCGCCTTATGGTATGTCTCTTTCATATTCTGTCAGAGGCTGCTTTTGCCTCAAACAAGAAACTGTTCTGAACGGAAGACTATCCAGATATTCCAGAGTGTTTTTCAAATGGTTAAGAACAGAGAAAGGTAGCAGAGATTAATCACCTTCCATCAAGACCCACAGTGTTGTAATCTACTGAGTGTGCTCTACGATTCTCCAGTTACATAATTTTGTACTGTGTGATAATTAAAATCTTCACCAGAGATGCAGCAGAAGAGCTGATGAGTTGCTGCAGCTGAAGTCCTCTCTTTCCTGCTACAGGTAGCAGCTATGAATATTCCTACTCGTGAGAGAGGCTCTGTTCTGTTCTTGTAGGCCCTGTGATACAGGAGCATGCCTTGTCACCCTCCTCCACCGCAGAGCTTTTAGCACAAATATAACTCATAGGATGTGAAGCTGAAGCATTGTCCCTTCCTAAGTAAGCTCCATGGTCATGACTGCCTGATGGAGGAAGCCTAAATTTGTTCCATTTGAGAGGAATTGTGGAGTTAAAGCTCAGTTCCCTGCCATCCTGATGATGATGATGATGATGATGATTCAGAAACACCAGGCACAGTGAACATTATAAAAACATTAACTGGTATTATATAACAGATACAAGTTCGAACCAAAAACCTAAGTATCTGTTACATATCAGTGCAGTATGTATGCTGTTCCTAATATTGCAGTTTTTTTTAGTTCTGATGGTGTTATTTCTGAGATACACAACTGTTTATAGTACTGTGTGACATTTCTTGATATTGTTCTCAAAGCCCTAATGACGTACAGTGGTGCCCCGCATAGCAACGATAATCCGTTCCAGAAAAATCGTTGCTATGTGGAATCATCGCTATACGGAACATAAAAGCACATAGGAATATTGCTATACGGAACATAAAAGCACATAGGAATGCATTAAAACACATTTAATGCGTTCCTATGGGCAAAAAACTCACCGTTATGCGAAAATTCTCCATACGGACGTCATTTTTGCTGCCCGGTAAGCAAGGAATGGGCGCAAAAACGCAGCAGGTGGCCATTTTTTCCGGTGGCCATTTTGGAACTGCCGCCAATCAGCTGTTTTTTAAAACATCGCTATTTTCCCATTAGAAACATTGTTATGCGATCGCAAAAAACAAATTGCTATGCGGATTCGTCGTTAAACGGGGTGCTTGTTAAGCGAGGCACCACTGTATTTCATCCACAAGTGAGATGTTTCAGCTGCCAGGTTTCTACAGTATACTTCGTTAGTTTTTCCAATTCTTTATTTTCAGCTCTGACATCCCCTGGAATTGCAATGTCAGCGATCCAGACTACTACTACTATCACCACCACCACCATCATTATTATTAGTAATAGTAGTAAAAGTGCACATAGATCCCCCAGTACCCTGTGCCACCATTGATCAAAGGAAATGACTTATCTTGGGCTAGATGGGTGATCGGCAGTATCATTTCAGTACCAAGAGTCACAATTTATGTTTGGGTGATGCATTTGATTACAATATTTTGTCCTTGTGGTTGTCTGTTTTAAAAAGGACATTCAAAGTGGTTCACAATATAGGAGATGAAGCAGCATATACAAAACACAGCGGTATACAATCCATTGCCAGTTATAATGAAATTAATAATGTAAAAAAACAAAACAAGCTAAACTTTAGAAATAAAACTGTCATGGTTTCAGGAATAATTCCATAAAACTGGTCGGAACATTTAGCTCTTGCCAAGATGAGATGACTGCTTAGACAATAACTCTTTTACATGGCACCTATAATCATGTAAGGAGATAAATGAAGAAAGATGTGCCTCTCAGATAAACATATTCCAGGAGATAAGTGGAGGAAGTAGATTGCCAAGGAGTTCCCTGCAGATACTTCAGTTCTTTCTAGGACACAACAAACATGGCGATATATGATGAGGTTTTCTTTTTCAGCTGGGCACATGCCCCACCAAGGAGGACAAAGAGGCTTTTGCCATTGTCTCTGTGCCAGTGTCAGAAATCCGAGACCTGGACTTTGCCAATGATGCCAGCTACATGCTAGCCAATGTAGTGGACAAGATGAATGAAGGATTCCTCAGCCAGAATGATCGAAGGTACAAGGACAAAGGCATTTGGGATTATGGGGATCTGGTAGAATATGTAGAAGTATATATTCTGATACCTGTAAGCAGCATGTGTGGCATTGTCCATTTCCTCCAAGGACAAATACATTAGGTTTAGGAGTGGAGTGGCACAGTGGAGGAGCCTCGTGGCACAGTGGTTAAACTATTGTACTGCAGCCAAAACTGTGCTCACGACCCGGGGTTCAATCCCAGGTAGCCGGCTCAAGGTTGACTCAGCCTTCTATCCTTCCAAGGTCGGTAAAATGAGTACTCCGCTTGCGGGGGGGGGGATGTGTAGTCTACGTAATTAACTTGTAAACCTCCAAGAGAGGGCTTTAAGCGTTATGGGGTGGTATATAAGTAGCCTGCTGTTTGTTTGCAGGAAAGCATATATTTGTCTAGTTTTCCTTTTCCAATAAAGCAAATATTCTTTTCGTTAAGTGGAAATCCTTCATATCTGTGAGATTGTTTGGGTATTTTGCATTACTCTGCTTAACTTACGTATAACACATATTTTCAGGTTTCAGAATGGGAACGTGTTATTACATAATGTGAGTTGTTTTGAATGATATGGGGCTAGAAAAAATAATAAATACTATAATTTACATTTATATTGCTTTGGTTTCCCAAGAATTGCATAGGTAGTAGACCCTAAATGACTATTGCTTGAATATTTTTAATAGTGCTGATTTGTGGGTATGGTATTCACTTTGTTATAATGTTAGCCATAACCTCTCTGACAGGTTTGTGATCCAACTGCTGGAAGACTTGGTGTTTTTTGTCAGTGATGTAACAAACAATGGTCAGAATGTTTTGGATATTGTTATTACGAAGCCCAACCGAGAGAGGCAGAAACTCATGAGAGAGCAGAACATTCTGAAACAGGTGATTGGGACCAAGGGGAACTAAGACAGAGACAGACTGGTTGGTGAGTGGGCTGGTTGATTGACTGACTGACTGTTAGATTGAATGATTTATAGCATTTCTTAATCACTTTTGTGCCCACCAGGGTGTGAAAAATACCACCAGTGGGTCCACAACATACAGAGCAGATCATTGCAATATTTCACAGAGATCTTAGCATATATTTGTGGTGTGCTCTTCTAAGGCTGCATTTTTAACATGTAGGATCGAGAATAAGGCTATAATTTTGACTTAACTTTGACTATGTATTAGAACGCACTGCACATAGTACATAATAATATAATATATGCTTAATAATATTTTGTCACTCTGTGAAGGATGAGTATCATGGAGCAGATTGCTGCACCTACTTGATCCAGGAGGCTTTATGCACATTTGCTTTAGAAACGTTGTCCTTGACAGTTGGGGAAGTAACTGCTCTTTTGGTGCAGCCAGGGGGCTTCTGAGGAGCTCCGGTTTGGCCTTTAACTTTACCTGACATTGTGTAGGCAAATGGCTGGAACCATTTTCTTTCCTCCCAATTCTGAGCAGTATGGGGATGGCTGCCATTTTTAATTCCTCTGAGAAAGAAATTCCTTCTAAAAATGCTTCATCTGTTGCCTTCCATTTAAAGAAAAAATAAAAGGCAAGACAGTGCACTAAACGTGTTACGATTACTGTTTAGTCCAAGTTGCAGACAGCCATTTATTTCACAGATTCATGGTGATAAACTTGAATAAATTGTGCATAAATAGATAAATTAGAGACCCATAATATTCAAAAACCATAGTCCTGTTAGTGAGGAAAACAATGGAATACATTTTTCAATTTCACTGTTACATCCCTTTCTGTGCTGGATAGATCTTTGGGATCCTGAAAGCTCCGTTTAAGGACAAGGGTGGGGAAGGCCCACTGGTGCGACTTGAAGAGCTTTCCGACCAGAAGAATGCTCCCTACCAATACATGTTCCGCCTCTGCTACAGGGTGCTACGGCACTCCCAGGAGGACTATCGAAAGAACCAGGTAAGCTTTTACAAAAAGCTTGTGGTGTCTGCTGGCTTGGAGCTCTAATCCTGGGAGATATTAACAACTAGCCTCTTCATGGATTGCTGCCTTGTCGTTGGGGGAGATATTAAGTTAACAACTAGAGAACTTTGAGGCTTTGTCCTATTGCAGCCTCTTGGTGCAATGAGAACACGAAATAAATGGAAAACAAATCAAATAGTATTCACTTGCTTTCTGAATTTTTGTTTCCTCAAAAGAAGAAGACCCATAAGAAGATGGCTGCTCAGGCTTTTTGGAAACCTTTGCCATGTATGGCTCTTAGATATTCTAGAATTAGACTTGGAATTTTAACTCCCCTTGATCTGCTCACATAGGCATTATCTCTTTTTCCTCAGGAACACATTGCCAAGCAATTTGGCATGATGCAGTCCCAGATAGGCTATGACATCTTGGCTGAGGACACTATCACAGCCCTCTTGCACAATAACCGCAAGCTTCTTGAAAAGCACATCACCAAAACTGAAGTGGAGACCTTTGTGAGCTTAGTGCGGAAGAATCGGGAGCCCAGGTGAGTCTCACCCCGTTAATAGCTGGATTACCCAGTTTTGTGCCATTTCCCCCCCTTCTGCAGCAAGTTAGCAGGCAATAATACCAATGTGCACGTGGAAAGTTTCAGCTGCTAAAGCAAGCTGTTGAAGATCACAAGCTAGTATTCATGCTAGATATAAAGATTTAGTCATGTAAATGAAGGTGTTGAAGGAACTAGATGCAAATGGCAAGAAAACTGGTCTGCCAAGAGGACTGTTGCATTCTGTGGCCTGGATATGCTTTAGGTCTTCATGAGCCCCCTGTTGCCACATGAACAAGAGCAATTAGTAAGCTGCAGACTGTGTAATGTTGGGGAGATTAGAAGAATCAGACATTGTAGAAATGCCCTCTGTGGTGAGATGCAACTGTACATCACTGGCTCTCAAAGCCGACATGAATGTTTTACTTGTGAATTCTTTATTATACTGTATTTCACTTGATATGTCTTTCTATATTATACTGTATTTCACTTGATATGTCTGAAGAAGTGGACTTGTCTATGAAAGTTCACATTAAATATAACAGTGTTTAAGTATTCTAAATTTTCATTTGGATGCTGCCTGATATGCTTGCACAGACCAACATGCTACCTCTTCTAAATCTCCCTCTGTGGTGGAAATTTCTAGCTGAAATGACTTTCACATGTATTATATTGTTAGCTTCCTTCACTGGAAAGCTGTTGGTGATGTGATTGCATGATTAAGCCATTGCAAGAATATTTCCTGCTATATAGACATTTTTCTCTATAGAAGATGTCTATAGAGGATAATGTGAACCTCTTTTTTGTGTCCTAGATTTTTGGACTATCTATCAGATTTGTGTGTGTCAAATCATGTAGCTATTCCTGTCACTCAAGAGCTGATATGTAAGTGTGTATTGGATCCAAAGAACACTGACATCTTAATCCAAACTGAGTAAGTATCTTGGGAACCCCTTTCCTCTCTGAGCACTGTTGGTGTTATCGTCTTTAGGTCTTTGCTAAGACATAATGGAACTGAATAATTATATGCTGTCATGTCAAATATGACTTAGGGAGATCCTTTCCAAAGTTTTCTAAGTATAAAGTACTTGGAAGTGGTTTGCCACTCCCTACTTCTGGGGGCATTCTGGGATTGTGCAGCTTGCCCAAGGCCACACAGGCTGACTCTACTCACAGAGGCACAGTGGGGAATTGAACTCCCAACTTGTGCTCCTCAGCCAGGTACCCGGTTCATTCAATTATCCAGCCAGCTAGCAAATTTTAAAAGTGAGTGTTGAGACTGTGGTGCATCTTAAAACAGGCTTATTATGATCATGTGAAAAGCTCTGTTTATTTGAGTTTATTACCGATTTAATGAAAGTATATCCTAGCTTCGGTTTGACATGTAATTCAAATACAAGTCTGAAATGGTTGCCTCCAAAACTGTTCTCAGTGTTGTGGGTGGAATTTTAATGATGTTCAGTTTTTTCTTTCCCCAATCTTGGTTATTTCTCCAACATGATTGGTGCTGCTTATAGAAGTTTAATATGATACCTATTCTAAGAAAAAAGAGACAATTAGGGAATTGACAATATTCAAGAGAAAAACAGCCAAAAGCAGGGGGAGGGCAAAAAGCAAAAGACAAAATGTGGCATCTTAAAGACTAACAGATTTCTTTCAGTGTAAGCATTCATGAACCAACATCCATTTCTTTACACATAAGACAATTAGGGAGTTATCACCGACATTGCATTCTGTAGTGGAAAAGCAGATATATTGGCCAGCATCCTGTGGACAGGTTATACATGTATAAGGGGAATACTAGCTATGGCATTGCATTCTGTAGTGGAAAAGCAGACTTAGTGCAAAATATATTGGCCAGCATCCTGTGAACAAGTTATACATGTATAAGGGGAATACTAGCTAAGCCTTGGCAGAAAATTGTTGCTCATTAATGAGGTGTTGGTGGCATTCCTGTCTGTGTGTCTGATAGCACATCTGGGCATGTGCTGAGAAATATAACCAGTACAATGTTAATCAGTGGCAACAAGACTTAATGCAATTTCCCTTACACTAGCATAAACCAGCAATGGGATTCTGGCCACTAATTAAAAGAAATGTGGGCAATGGGAAAAGGAGAGTCATTCACTAGCTTTGAGTTAGTCCAGGCAAGTGTCTTTTTAACAAAAATGCAAGAAAGTTCTTTTGTTCAGTGTTCTACTATGTTCTATTTTTCAGGCTGAGGCCTGTAAAGGAGATGTCACAGACTCATGAATACTTGAGTATTGAATTTTCTGAGGAGGAGGTTTGGCTGACATGGACGGATAGAAATAATGATCATCACGAGAAGAGCATTCGGCAGTTAGCTCAGGAAGCACGAGCTGGCAATGCTCACGATGAGAATGTTTTGAGTTACTATAGGTAAGAAGAGCTGCCCCTTTTGGTGCTAGTCATGTCTGGGTTTTGTGCAAACTTTTTTCCATTTACCAACTGTAACCAAACAGACAAAGAGCTGCCTCAAAGAAGCCATTTGAGCCAAGCTCGGTCCTTAATAATTATGAATTACTTATTCCTTTTCTGCTTCTGATGTTTCCCACTCTAACTTTATTTTTGCTGTTCACAGATATCAGCTGAAACTGTTTGCCCGTATGTGCATGGACCGACAATATTTGGCCATTAAAGAAATCTCCAAGCAACTGGGGGTGGAACTAATTTTCCTCTGCATGGCAGATGAAATGTTGCCCTTTGATCTTCGGGCTTCCTTCTGCCATCTTATGCTTCATGTGCATGTGGACAGAGATCCCCAGGAGAAAGTGATGCCAGTGAAATTTGCACGTCTCTGGACCGAAATTCCAACTGCCATCACCATTAAAGAGTAAGACGTATGAAAGGTCTCAGAAGCAAAAGGGAATTGAGTGTATGATGGGAGAAAATACCATCTAGAGGGTCCTTGTAGCTGCCTTACTTTTACCACTGTTATGGCTCACTGTTAACTTTCCTTTGCAGCTATGATGCCAATGTGAATAGCTCAAGGGATGACAAGAAGAACAAGTTTTCCAGCACCATGGAGTTTGTGGAGGACTACTTGAACAATGTGGTCAGTGAAGCAGTGCCCTTTGCTAATGAGGAGAAGAACAAACTCACCTTTGAGGTGAGGAACCTGCCCTTGCTACATTGTGAGAGTTTTCATTCCTATCCATATCTGAGACAACTATTACACTCAGGTGGTGACTACTAGAAACAGCAGAAGTCTTGTTAGCTATTTTTCTGCTGCTAGGCTCTGGGTGCTTCATATGCTGCTCTCCACATGAACTGGCATGTTGGAATAATTGGGTTGTTCCACATATTCTGGATAGGTATATCTTTGCTCTCTTGCCCTCTTAGGAACCTGCATCATTACTGCTCTGCAACTATCCACACAGTGTTGAAATAATACAAATGTGAAAACAAGCAAGAGAATATTTCTGTCTCTCAGCCCCTGTGAACTGGTCAAAAGAAGTTTTATGAACACTTCCAGTCTGTTACTATTGACAGTAATGATGTCCAACTATGGGATGTGTTGATGCATTTCCAGTAATACTCGTCTTTTTAATGTGCCAAACTGAAATGTGATAGTCTGGGCCTCCGTAAAAAAAGTTTTCAGCATAGTGCTGTCATTCAGCCACCGCTTCCCAGCTTTTTTTTTCAGTATAGATGCAGCTGAATCTGATTCCCACACAGTTGTAGTTAAAGGCTTGAGCAAACTAATATGCTTTTAACGAACTCGAAGGCAAAGTCTTGGAAAGGAGGCAGGAAGAGGTGGAAAAAGTAAATGGCAGTGGAAGGGAATGTCTGCAAGTTGAGTCTTCTGGTTTTGAGGGAGTTCCGCCCTATACTGCAGCCTCCTCTGTCCTGTTAGGTTAACTTGTAATTCTTTCAGTTTGGCCAGATTTTAGGTGTTGGGGAAATCTGGGTCTGGTATTTCTAAGGCCAATGGGAGCAGCCACCTTTCCCTCCCACACATACATATATGCAATTAGAAACAACATCAAATTATGGCAAATTATTGTTTCCAGGGACGTTCCATCCTCTTTGAAATCTGTGGTGTAAAAAGAGGCAGGAATTCACCCATCCAAATTTAACATATGGTGAAAATTCATTACATTCATTTATCTGACTAAGCAATCCAATCATCATGGGCCACTTTAAGTCCTGCCTTTTGAATATTAGAAAAGCCAATGGGCCAAATACAAACAGTGTAGTTCTTGTTTGGACTTTTGAGATGTCTTCATTTTCACCTACTTGACCAATGCTATCATTTCCCCCAGGTTGTCAGTCTTGCCCACAACCTGATCTACTTTGGCTTCTACAGCTTCAGTGAGCTGCTGCGTTTGACACGAACTCTTCTTGGTATCATAGACTGTGTCCAGAACCCTCAGCTGATGATGCAGGCTGTGTTCAATGATGATATGACTGGTACGTCCAAGTAGATGTGACTGAGAATGCATCATGTTGAGCCAGATACTAATGCTGTCACACAATTTAGTAGGAGAATGCCACAGTAATGGTTTGATGTAGCATTAACAAAAGGTTTTAAACAGATTTCTTGCAGATTTACACAGAGTGCACTCTATGATCATATATATTCTTTCTAGCATGAAAGATAACTCAGTGATAGAACAAATCTAATTATCAGAGGGAACATCAATGTGAAACCTGAGAAAACTTTTGAGCATCAAAATTCACTTTGCACTTTATTTTTATTCACTGTCTCCATTGTATGTATGTGCTTGATTGATATAGGCTTGGTATTCTACATCAGTGGTGTAAGCATCACATAATGAGTTTGCTAGGATATTCATATAGTAGCTAAAATCCTATTGTGTAGCTATGCCTGCAGAAGGCAAGTCTCATAACTTGCAGTGGCTTCTTGCTGGTAGTTAACAAACCTCTGATTGGATTTTCAGGGTCATACCCATCCTCTAGACTGGTACATGCCTGTAACTCCCAAGTGAAGACTTGTTAATTAGGAGCGAGAAGCTGCTGCGAGTTACACTATACACAGGTGTGACTAAGCAAAAGGATTTTGACCAATTTATGCATAACAGATGCAGTCTACATAGTGAGTTGAAGTACCTGACAGTGGTATGAAGAGTCAGGAGTTTGATTTCTCACTGTGCCTCCCAGGAAAACAGCCAGCCTGTGTGGCCTTGGACAAGCTGCACAGTCCTAGAATGTCATAGAAGAAGGAACTAGTAAACTGAGTCTACCTAGAAAACTCTGGCAAGGGTCACTGTAAGATGGAATCTATATTTTAAGAAGATAGCAATGCAGAACAAATGGATATGAACACTGTTACTAAGAAAATAAATTCAGTTTTCTATAGAAATTAGTAATGTTCTCCATTTATTTCAAGGATGTTGACATGGCTTTAGAGGATTAGCAGATAGCCATTTCAAGGTTTCAGTTTAGGTAGGACCAGTTCTAACCTTTGGCTGAATGTGGTTGTTCTTCCAGGAAAGAATGTCCGGCGGTCTATCCATGGTGTGGGTCAGATGATGTCAACGATGGTGCTGAGCAGGAAGCAGTCCATCTTTGGTCCCTCAAATATAAATGCTGTGGTTGTTCCTGAGCCAGCAGATAGGGGAAGGAGCATTGAAAATGAAAACATTGTAGTGATGGAAACCAAGCTGAAAATCCTGGAGATTTTGCAGGTTAGCCCAAGGCTGTGGCTCTGAATGCGAGGTTGTGAGAATGTGACAAAGTGCCTGCTCCAGATAAACCTCTTTTTGTTGCCATAATCTTCAGAAGAGGGAAGATAATAAAAGACTGGAAAAGCATGAGAGCAGCATTGGTTGACTGACCTTCTTTTCTGCTCTTTTCTAGTTCATCTTGAATGTGCGTCTGGATTACAGGATTTCATATTTGCTCTCTGTCTTCAAGAAAGAGTTTGTGGAAGTGTATCCCATGCAGGACAGTGGGGCCGATGGAACAGCTCCAGCCTTTGATTCCACAAGTAACTTTCTGCTTCTCCCTTTAAACGCACCTCCCCCCTCCCCATTTGAACTGCTATGTGGATTTTCTTCTAACATCTTGCTGCCATAGCACTCAATAAATCCTCTCAAAAGTAGATAGGTGTTTGATCTGAGATCTAGGATCTCCTGTATCACTACAGTGCCAGTTGGAAATAGTTGTGTGCAGAAACAGTCTGATACAGAAAGAAGGATGGATGGACAGACTATAACAGGCAGGAATTGAGACTAGACATCACTCGACATTTCCAATGATTATTGTTTTTCATCTTTTTTTTTGTTCTTCCTCATCTTCCAGCTGTATCCTGATTGCACATAATCTTTTTCATTTACATTTTTCCTTTCCTTCAGCTGCAGCAATGAACTTGGATAGGATTGGTGAGCAGGCTGAAGCCATGTTTGGGGTCGGGTGAGTTCTTAACACTTATATCTTCCATTTCAGTTCCTAACCATCTTTTCCATGGAGCACACGTATGTTTGGAGCCAAAAGTGTTCCTATAGGACAGAAGGAGCAGCCAGGTCTTAGGATAAAAATAATAACAATTGTTTCATAAGACACCAGGATTGCTCCTGACTATTACATGAATGCAGTCCCTGGTACTGGAGACCCCAAAGGAGGGTTGCTTCTGATTTTTCTTCTTAACTGGCTACAGGAAAACAAGCAGCATGTTAGAAGTAGATGATGAAGGCGGGAGGATGTTCCTTCGTGTGCTGATCCATCTGACAATGCATGACTACCCTCCACTTGTCTCAGGCTCTCTTCAGCTTCTCTTCAAACATTTCAGCCAGAGGCAGGAAGTCCTACATACCTTTAAGCAGGTAACTCTCAGCGTTTTGTGATTTTTGTAGACCAGTCACTCTTCTCGTAAGCTATATGGGTAGCCCAGTAGGTTAAGTACCTGGAACCAGAGGTTGGGAGTTCAGTTTTGCACTGTGCATCTCAGAAGGGCCAACCTGTGTGGCCTCGGACAAGCTGCGGAGCCCCAGACTTCCTCCAGAAGAAGGGAATGGTAAACCACTTCCAAGTATGCTCTACCTAGAAAACCCTGAAAAGGATCATCATAAGTCAGAATTGGCACACAGTTATTAGTTATAAGTCTTCTCCATCTACTACAGTCGTGCCCCGCTTAATGATTACCCTGTATAACGACGAATCCGCTTCATGACAATGTTTTTGTGATTGCAATTGTGATTGCAAAACAATGTTTTAATGGGCTTTTTCGCTTCCCGATGATCGGTTCCCTACTTTGGGAACCGATTCTTCGCATTACGACGATCAAAACAGCTGATTGTCGGGTTTTCAAAATGGCTGCCGGCTGCTCAAAATTGCTCCCCGCTGTTTTTAGGAGGCATTTTTCACAAGACAGGCACCCGAAAATGTCCGCCATATGGAAGATCTTCGCTGGACAATTAGGTATTTCGCCCATTGGAACGCATTAACTGGTTTTTAATGTGTTTCAATGGTTTTTTTAAATTTTGTTTGACAATGTTTTCGCTCTACAGCGATTTCGCTGGAACAAATTAACGTCGTCAAGCGAGGCACCACTGTATCTTTAAATGTCTTCTTAACATTCTTCATCAGTGGAACGTATCAGACAGCTGGCATTTTGCTTTTTTCTTTGCCTCAGTGTTTGGTACAGTTTCACTATACTGATATGCCAATAGACTATGAGCTAGAATGTGTCTTTTTTATTGTGTGAATTGTATATTTGGCCAACTAAGATTCCAATGCTTCTAATATTTAATATTAAACATATCAATTCTGTAGGAGGTTGTTGGATAATACAATACTGTACCTGCTTCAAACATGAGTCAAGAGATCATTGTTTGTTTTGTCACATAGGTTCATCAATCTGTTTGGGATGGAAGTGATTGCTGTAAACCAGCAAGTGTTTCTGTGGGGAAAAAAACCCACTGGTGCCAATATAGGCTGGAATAGATAAAGTGGAAAGCTGCTGGCTATTGACGTATTTCATGGGCTCCCCTTATCAATAATAATCAAACAAAATAAGGCTACTTGAATATGGGACAATTTTTCTGTGACTGTGGAGAAATTCAATCAATGCAGCACTTTACACTCCACCATGTGTACATAAGAAGATCTAGCAAATGGCCAAGATAATGCTATTGAAGCAGCCTGGTCAAAAATACTCAATTATCTTAACTTTTTAAAATGTTTTAAATTTAGCTTATATTTCATATACATCCATAATTTTAAATAGTTCAATGCTTTGATAGAAATAAAGAACAATTATTATTTATAGGGCTTCTCAGAAACTAGAAAGCAAAATTTGGCTGAAGTATTACAGTCCTTCAGAAATCACTGGAAATATATGGGTGCCACACCACAATGTTTTCTATTTCTTATCAAACCTTTTTGTGTGTTTGGACAGAACTTCCAGTGGCTGTTCCATATGTAAGAAACAAGCGTATATAACTATGAATCAGCACTCTTGTGTATGAGAGATGAGAGTTTTCCATTTTACATGCAAGACTTCATAAATTAGCTTCCATGGATTCAAAGAACATCTGAGGGCTGCTTGTGTTGGCTTTGCTCTCAGTGTCCCCCTCTCCACTCAGCTCCAGCTCCATATTCTTGTGATCCTTGTGAAGTGTGTTACTATTTCAACCACTGTGAGCATATCAACTACAATTACAATCACAAACATATGTAAACACATACATACCTGCTCAGAAAACCAAACCAAACCATTAAAGGAATAAAATAATTTCTCTAACCCGCCTATATTTTTTCTGAAAGATCAAAATGCATCTTTAAATTGAACAATATCAATAAATAGATGGAAGACTCAGAAAGGCAAAAACAAGAAAAGAGAAAGGAGTCAAAACAGATAGCAGGCATGTTTTGGTTAAAAAATACAGCAACTTTGTCTAATATTTTGAGATGGTTAAATTAGTATCATTATTAATTGTTGTATTAACCTTCTCAAGTTTCTCCTTGGCTTTTGGACTGCCATGGTAAATTCTGGAACTTTGTTCGCCACAAATTTCTCACATTTAGATAATGTGATGTTCTTTGATCATCATCAGATATATCGTTATCTGTCCCTTGAAAGTATTGGAATAAATTTGGTCTAAGGTTCAAATAAGTAGTGATGGTGATCCTCTATTGCTTGGGCTCCCATCCTCATGTTCCTGGAGTATAAGTGATGGTGATGGTGGTGCTAGTGGATGGCTCTCCCATGCATTATTTGAACAGTTGCATGGACTACACATGTTGTGCCATTAAAAAAAAGACATTGAGTTATTCTTGAATAATTTCGGATGGACCTTTATCTTTGATTTCTCTCTCTCTCTCCCCCCCCCTTTTTTATTTAATCAGCCACTAACATGGACAGAATGTGCTGATATTCTCTGTTCTCTCTTAATCCAGGTCCAGTTACTTATCTCTGCTCAGGATGTGGAAAACTATAAAGTGATTAAATCAGAACTGGACAAACTGCGCATGATGGTGGAGAAGTCGGAGCTCTGGGTGGAAAAGAAAGGCAGCTCCAAGGGAGAAGATCGACAAGAGGGAGAGAAGAAAGAGAAGAAAGAGGTAAAACCTGAACAGTTGGAGCAGATAGCACAAAATACTTTCCGATTGCTTGTTAAAAGTCAGTGTGATGGCCATGGATTGAGCACCACTTTGTGTATTATGTCATAGAAAAGCTGGGCTCGGCATTGAGCATTGAGGCATTGGTTATGGGGTAGCAGATTCTAGAGCTCTAAACATCTCTAACAAAAGAGAGAGAGAGAGAGAGTACTCCACGTAAGCAGGAGGGAAAAGCCAATACTGTACAGGGAATATAGTAGTAATACAGTCTGGACAAGTATGAAACACACACAAATATCTATTGTATGTATGCAGCAGAATGCCATTTGCCAGTGGTTCCCAACTTTGGGTAACTCAAGTAGTGTTCCTGGACTGCAGTCCCCAGAATCCTTCACCTCCAGCTGTCCTGGCCAGAGTTCCTGGGAGTTGCAGTTCAAAATCACCTGGGTTGCCCAAGGTTGGGAACCACTGCTGTATGCCAACAATGATGATACCTCCCTCTGAAATGGTCTTATTATTATAGCATAATGAAGCTCCATCGTTTTTGCAGATTATCCTTTTGTTATTTTCCCTTATCCTTTTGACAAAAATAAGAACATTTCCTGATAAGGCTCAAGCAGTTCATTCTTTTTAATACTATATATTTCAATTTTTTGATGGGTATAGTGCTATATTGTATACATCTTTTTAAACATTAGTTTGTCTTTATCATACTTTACAATTTTTAAATAAGTATAATGCCGTGAGTGTGCAACTGAAGAAGTAAAAAGTAGTGTATGAATTAGACTTGAGGTTGAAAGTACACAATGCAGGAAACAACCTGTAGGGGCCAGGAAGGGAATATGTTCTATAAGCAGTGAATTGGTTTAATCCTGTATGGATTCTACTCAGACCACAGCCTGGCACCTCATCCAATTTCAGGAGATTTCTAGAGATCTATGAAAGCCTCAGGAGGATCAAGAGGCAAAGCTACCAAGTTGTAGGCTCACAATACTCAGTTTGATCAGGTTAGACTTTCACTGTGGCATGTTTGTTAAATATTAGTTTGGGTACAATTACACGGTGGCCTGTTTTGTGACTGTTGTAAAGATAGGGCTTGTGGGAAATGGTCCAGGATGGATTTCCTCTTTGTCAACTGATGTCTCACTGTCTGAATAGTCTTTCTTTTTCTTACCGCCCAGCATACCACAGATGAAGAGCCTGGGACTCCTGGAGAAAAAAGCAGTGAGAATTACCAACTGGTTAAGGGGGTAAGCAGTGATACCTGTCATTCCCTAAGCAAGCTATGGGAGAAGAGTGGTACATCGCATAAGCAATTCATGGATGAAAAAAAATGTGCTGCAAGAGCATATGCAACCTGGTATAGATAAACATGCCTCTGCAAAAATAAAGTATTTCGTTATTTACTTATTTGAAATATTTATATGCTGCCTTTCTCCTTTTGAAAGAGCCATCCCTCAAGGAGGTAAGAGGGTTGGCTTGTAGACAAAGGGCCTTCTCAGCAGCTGCCCCCAGACTATGGAACGCCCTCCCGACTGAAATTCGTCTGGTGCCGACACTGATGACATTTCGGCGCCAGGTCAAAACCTTCCTGTTCCAGAAGGCTTTTAATTAAAATAACATCAACTGTGGGTCCTGATGATGGCAATTTTAATTGTATTTTAATTGTATTTTAATTATATTTTAATCATTTTATCTTTTATTGTATTGAATTTTAATTGTTGTAAGCCGCCCAGAGACCTCTGGGTAGAGTTTGAAGGGTTTAACTTTCAGAGGCCATCTCAAGTTCTGTGGATTGGTCTCACAACTATGCTGATAATATACAGATCTATCATGTGTTCTTTTCTAATGCCAAGGAAGCTGTTGGAGTAATGACTCGGTGTCTGGATGCCTGAGGGATTGGATGTGGGTGAACAAATTAAGGCTCAGGCCAAATGAAACAGAATTTCTGTTGGTGAACAAGAAATCAAATGTGGGATTGTTATTATTCAGGAGGAGGTTGTACTCTCTGTGGAGAGCAAGGTTCACAGTTGGGGGATGCTCCTGGACTCCATATTGCTCCTGGAAAGCCAACTCTCTTCTGTAGCCAGGAATACCCTTTCTTAGGCACTGTGGATTTGGCCACAGTGATCTGTGATTTTGTTACCTTCTGATTAGACTACCACAAGCTCTCTGTGAGACTGCCGTTGGAAAAGTGTTAGGAAGCAACACCTTGTGAAAAATGCAAGGACGAAACTGTTGCACAGTGTATGACTTGGAGACCATATAAAATTGGCAAACCACCTGTGTTGGCTTCTAGTTTGTGTCTGAGCAAAATTCAGGGTGCCAATTTTACAAGCCCCAAATGGCTTTGGGAACAGAGAAACTGTCTCTTCTCAATACACATTTGCCTGGAATTTGAGATCCTCAGCAGAGACTTTCATGTTCCCCATTCCATGAGATTAGGCTGACTGAGTTTGTGAAGCAGAGCTTTCTTTGCTGTTGAGCCCCAGTTGTGGGACTTCCTGGCAAGATAATTTAGGTGGGCTCCACCTTTGTTAAGCTTCTGATTGGCAGCTAAAGCTATATTGTTCTGAAGAGCCCTTGGTCTCTGGGGATTGGTTTAAAATTGGCTTCTAGATAACATTTTACAGCTGCTTTTGATTATTTTCAATCTGTTTTTGATGGCTTTAAATTTGTCTTAATATTTTAATCCCTTATTAATTCTAATCTGTCGTAAATCCCTTTGGGAGTGCTGATGGACAGAACAGTTATTAAGAAAGGTTTTAAATAAATAAAATAAATTCTGTATTGGCAAAGGAATGTGAGGGTATTTCGTTGTGAATCTCTAATCATTGGGTTAAGACTGCTGGCTGCCTTCTCTCATTAATTTCTCTTTTGCTTGTCTGAACTTTTTCTTCTTCTTAGATTCTGGAGAGACTGAATAAAATGTGTGGGGTTGGTGAACAGATGAGAAAGAAGCAGCAACGTTTGCTGAAGAATATGGATGCCCACAAAGTGATGTTGGACCTGCTTCAGATCCCCTATGAGAAGGTAGGATGGAGGTGAGGTAGATGATCAATAGACTTGGTTAGAAGGGCAGCAGAAGCTATTAGGACCCTTGAGTTGTCACTGGATAGTAAAGTCATAAGTCTATGTAATTGTTTCTTCCAGCCTTGCCTCCTCTTCAAGGAGGATATTGTGTACCCAAAGACTTGACAGATGTCTTGATCCCTTTCTTGAAAACACCTACAGATGGAGATTCTGTAAAGAGCTGGTTTCATTGTGGATTCAGTTCCGTTGTTCCTGATCAGTTTCTCTTTGTCATTGTGTCAAAAGATAAAGTGTAAATTAACCTTTTGGAAGTAGTCAGTTTGCCAGATTAATCATGTTCTTAAAATAATAATAATAGTGTGCAGTCAAGTCAATTCTGACTTATGCTGAACCTTTTCAGAGTTTTCCAGGTAGGAAATATTCTGAAGTCATTTGCCATTACCTTCTTCTGGGGACATCCCGGGCCTGTGCAGCTTGCCCAAAGCCACATACGCTGGCTCTTCTCCCAGGACGCACAGGGGGGGATTGAACTCCCAACCTCTGACTGCACTGCCAGTGGTACCTAAACCACTGAGCTATTCAGCCAGCTGTGTTATTAAAAAATAAAGTAAAATTTCATGGTTCCTTATATTTTCTATGTCCAGGAGCTTTGTGTCATCAACTTAAACTTTATTATCATGAATGTATGCAGGGTGACACCAAGATGCTGGAGATTCTGAGATTAACTCACCAGTTCCTGCAGAAGTTCTGTGCTGGCAACCAAGAAAACCAGGCCCTGTTGCATAAGCATCTGAATTTGTTCCTGACCCCTGGGGTAAGAAATATGGGACAAGTGAAAGAAGGTGGGAATATGTAAGAAATATAATGCTCAGGTAGCATAAAATGCACATACATTCAGAGATATCCCTTGTTTCTGCTCAGATTTAACCACTGGCACTTATAATAAAGACCATACTTTCATTGGCTAATTGGAGTTTTAAAACCTGCTATGAGTCTTGTGGCTTAAATACTGGATTAGAAGACCTGGTAGTCTTACCTCTTCTTGTTTTTTCCAGTTGTTAGAAGCAGAAACAATGCAGCACATCTTCCTGAACAACTATCAGCTGTGCTCAGAAATTGGTGAAACAGTGCTGCAGCATTTCATCCACTGCCTGGCCACGCATGGACGCCACGTGCAGTACCTTGACTTTCTGCACACCATCATCAAGGCGGAGGGCAAGTACATCAAGAAGTGCCAGGACATGATCATGACTGAGGTGAGGTTCAGTTTTTTTTATCTAAGTGAGGACTGGTTAAACTCCAGGAAGGAGGGTGGAGAAAAAGATTAAGATACAGAATAATAAAGGCCTTGAAGAGAAGCCTCCACACAGCACCAAGGGAGGTGAGGTTGCAGGCTTGTGGGGGAAAACAGGTGCCTTCAGATGTAGGTTTACACCAAGCCATGGGAAGCCAGAAAGTAGAGACATCTGAGTGATCTAGAGGCAAGCTAGAAAACTCTGACAGAAACAACTAGTTGTCTTGGACTGGATTAATGGATGAGTGCTATGTGTCCCATAGCCCATGAAATGACTGACTCATAAAAGGAAAAGTCTTATTTGGGTTGGTTGGAGGTAGGAAAAGGAGATAACTTTGTAGTTTTCTCTGTCTTAACTCAGTATCAGAAGGTTGAAGATAATGTTACTAAAATTGGTATCCATGCCTTTGATCACATGTACTGTATATTCAAACGTGCATGTATTTGAATAATATGGAAACACTTGGATCTTTGGCAGAAATGTAGCACCCACAGTAGATTTTTAATCTGCCAGTTGAGGAGTTGTGGCGGAAGGATAATGGTGGGGCAGTAACTGGCAATGTAATGTATTAATGAAAATCAGAACAATTTGCCACGCAGACTTTCAAGTACTTACTAAACTAAATACATGGTTTGATCCTTATTGAGCCTGATGTTGTGGTCTTTTAAGCTGGTGCTTAATTCTTCAGACAGGTATTGGCTGTATAAAATCAGTGCCTCTGAAGGCACAGGTTAAGCAATTCAACAGCTCAGAAGTATTTTACTGGTAAGATATTGTTTCCAAATTGCATGCAAGATAAGAGAACACTAATGTATCTGTGAGTGTTTGGAAAATGGGGAGGAAGTATTCCCTCATCCAGGAGATGCTGCATTCGTTGCTTTGACGCCTGTATATCTGCTGTTCATTTCTTCAGTTTTGACATGCTGTAGTGTCAACAGTGTAACTCAGGATATGGACGGAGTGCAGTGAGGTGTGAGTCTATAGGTTAAAGTCCATGGTGGTTGGTTGTTGGTGCCAAAATTAGGTTTCCTAGTAGTCGCAGTTAGGCAAATGCTTCAGGCAAAGGGACACTGGGTGTGGTGAAGCCACCACCTGAAGAGGGCTGTTTGCTGCTGCCTTCTGCCTGGAAACAGCAGCAGCAATAAAAGCAACAACAATGACAGTGGCAGCAGGGTGGCTATGGCAATCCCTGCATGCTGCCTCAAGAGGCAGTGGCAGGTGGCAGCAACTATGAGGAGAAAGAATAGCTGCTGCTCCCCAGAGAGGCCCTCTCATTGCTAGGCCACTTCTTCTGCAACATACTTCAGCATTGCATGGCTCCAGTGTCCACAAAGCCAAAGTGTTGTGGCCAAAAAAAATGGCTCATATGGATTATTTTTGAGCCACCTCTTACATAGTGACATTGCTATGAGGACATCAGCTGTTTTTTTTCTCAATGAAAGCTGCTGCTTCTTTAGTCGGTATGCAGGCGGTTATCCCACTGTTGCCACTGTTGGTTAGTGCCACTCTTCTTGTTTTCAGGAGAAAAAAAACAGAGCAGCAAAGGCCTTCATTGGGTGTTGGCTTCTCCACTCTCAGTGGCTACTCTTCTCCTCATCACTTTAGTCAACTGCTCCTGTTGGCAGTGACAAGGGAGTGTCATCATCACCATCATCCTTCCAGCTGGTTATTCTTCCCATTTGCTCCAATCACCAGGGGAGGTGCAAATTAGCTTTAAAATCATCCTTCCTGACAGTGGGAAGAGTAACTGCCCTCTTCCGGTTGTGATTCTGCTTAGTTCCTAGACAGCTGCCAGAGGTCCTTCAGAGGAGATTAGGTCAAAACCATATGATCCGCCTATGCTTCAGCTGAGACTAGCCAACATGTCGGTTGCGGCTGAAGCCATTGCAGCCCTGGCATGGAATGCCTATGCTTCAGCTGAGCACAGACTAGCCAACATGTCGGTTATGGCTGAAGCCATTGCAGCCCTGGCATGGAAGAGGGCTTTTAACTGTCAATTGCATTTTGGGAAATAGTCAAAAGAGTGGAAATATTAAATCAAGCCTAGAAAATAGCTTATGTGTCAGAGATTAGGTTTCAGGTCTACCATGGACCATATAAAGATGCAGGATAGGGCTAAAAGCACAGGCAGAATGTGGGCAAGGGGTTGTTCTGTACATAGTGAACTGGCAGTCTTGTCTCTTTTTTTTTGCTCATCCATCTTGTCTAGACCTCTTATCTTTTCCCCCGTAGCTGACCAACGCTGGGGATGATGTAGTGGTGTTCTACAATGATAAGGCCTCCTTATCCCATATGCTGGAAATGATGACAGCAGCCCGAGATGGAATAGAGGAGAACAGTCCCCTCATGTATCACATATCGCTGGTGGATCTGCTTGCTGCCTGTGCAGAAGGCAAAAATGTATACACAGAGATCAAGTGCACATCTCTGCTTCCACTGGAGGATGTGGTGCGAGTAGTGACTCATGAAGACTGCATCACTGAGGTAACGGCAAGAGGCAGGCAGCTCAACACTGAAGGCTTTGGGCTCTTTTCTTATCACAACATTTTGAGTTGCTTTCCTTGCATGGTGAGACCAAGCTCTCCATGTGCATTTATAGCAGGTCTGTATAAAGCAGAGGTTCCCAACCTTGGATCCCCAAATATTCTTGAACTAGAACTCCCAGAAGCTTTCACTATTAGCTGTGTCACTAGCTGTGTTTTCTGAATAAACACTACCCAAGCCTGGACAAGGTAGTCAAGTTTGCTCCAAGGGCAAATGTAAAGCAGAAGTACAGAATCTTTTGCTTTCCAGATGTTGGTTCCCAGACTTGGATCCCCAGATGTTCTTGGATACAACTCCCAGAAATCATGGCTAGCACAGCTAGTCAGGAAGGCTTCTGGGAGTTTTAGTCCGATAACATCCGGGAACTCTAAAGTTGGGAATCACTGTTTTAGACCGATTTGGGGATCCTCAGCCAGCTTGGCAAATGCTAAGGGATTGTGGAAAACTACAGTTTAGAAACATCTGGAGACCCAGAGGTTGTCCACCTCTGGTGTAGTGGATGATCAGATTTGGATAAATCTTTGTTTAGGTAAAGATAAAGGTTCTCCTTGACATTTAGTCCAGTTGTATCTGACTCTAGGGTGCAGTGCTCATCCCCGTTTCCAAGTCATAGAGCCAGTGGTTGTCCAAAGACAGTTTCCGTGGTCACGTGGCCAGCACGACTAAACACGGAACACTGTTACATTCCCACCAAGGTGGTGCCTATTTATCCACTCACATTTTTACATGCTTTCAAACTGTTAGGTTGGCAGAAGCTGGAACAAGCGACGGGAACTCACTCTGTCGCATGGATTCAATCTTATGACTGCTGGTCTTCTGACCTTGCAGCACAGAGGCTTCTGCGGTTATACCACAGCGCCACCACGTCCCTAAAATCTTTGTTTAGCTACTGGTTAAAATCTTTGTTTAAATCTTTATTTAGCTACTAGTTAAACTGAACATAATCTGTAAGAACGTAAGCAGAGATCTCTGCTGGATCAATGCAGAGCTCTGTCGACTTCAGTATTTTGTTTCCCACTAACAAGGTACTTCTCAAATGCTCACAAGCAGATTATAAAAGCAGCAGTGTTCTCTCCTTGCAGCTGGTATTCAGTGACATGCAGCCTCTATATATGAAGTTTACATTGTCTTTCAGCCTGATCACAGAGTTGTAGTGAGAATGAAATGGACTTACTCCATTGTTTGATGCTCTGTGCTTCTTGGAGAAGGAGGAGGCTGTGATGATGATGAAAGAGCTGCTTTTCTGTACGAAACTGATAGGGTCAGGAGCTCTAAGGAAAACACAGGTTATAATATAAAAGAAAGAGTGATGAGCTTTGAGAGTGCTTTTCTTTACTGCTTCCATTTCACACAATGGAGGAGTTCTCAACGCTTGCCACTTATCTTTCAGGTGAAGGTTGCTTATGTAAACTTTGTCAACCACTGCTATGTGGACACGGAGGTGGAAATGAAGGAGATCTACACGAGCAACCACATCTGGACACTGTTTGAAAACTTTACCCTTGACATGGCCAGAGTGAGTGAGATGACCTAAACTATAATTGTGAAATTGTGGAGAAGGGTTTGACTGCACTTTGTGTCTGGACTCAAAGAAAAAGAAACCTATTGGTTTGTAAGATGGATCTGCTGCTTTTGTGATGGAAGCTGTGGGAATAGCTACTTGAAGAAATTAGTATAAGAATGACTTCCCATGCAACATCTGTCTGTGGAATTCATGGTGGAAAGTGCTTTGTCGATTATTTGTATTATTATTTTTTAAAAAAAATGAATCCCGGTGAAATGAAATTCAGTGACCACACATTAAGATATGTCTATCAGTGTCTAGTCTTCATGATAAACATGAAGAAAAGAATTGGAGACCTCAATGCCAGAATAAACAGAGAGTGTCTAAGGTGCATTAAGTTGGGATTTATTGAGCTAAATGGGTTTTGATGACTATTTTGATCTGGGAATAGGTGTCGCAGTCCTGCCCTATTTGTAAACTTCCCATTGGCATTAGGCCAAGCTCAGCTGCAAAAGAGAAAGCAGCACAGAATGGAGGCAGCCTTACTTACTTTTAGCATTACTAGCTCTCACGAAGCAGGACAACATTTTACTGTTGTTGTACTTCTTACAATGAACAATTGCTTCCTCAAATTATGCTGTGCTTTTAGTATTGCTGGTAACATGCCTTTTTCCCTCCAGTTGCCAGAACTCTTTAGCACTAGAGATATTAAGCCAGGGCGTGTTGTCATAACAATAGCAGGCTGCTGTAATGGGGCTGAGGGCCAAAATTCTGCCCCCAGAATCACTGGAAAACTGCAGCCGGCCCAGAAATACTGAGGGGGGAAACACGTATTAATAGAAAAACTGAAAGAGTAAATGACGAGATACCTACTTCTGCTTTTTATTTTCGGAGGGTTTGTGTGTGTGTGAGGCTAATAACAATTTACAACAATTGCTGCTGATAGTTCCGCTCTTTCATGGTTCAAGCTTTCCCTCTTTTTCTGAGAGCATCTGTTGGGCTTGGTGAAGAGAAAATAAAAAAGCTGCTTGTGACACGTGAACCATAGGTTTTCCATTCCAGAGTTATAGAAAATTAGTTCTATTGTGGATATAGGCAGTACTGTAGAGGAAGAGGCAGAGCTATAAGTGGGCTTGGCAGTTTTGGCTTTGATCCAGGGCACCATAATTTAGCAGGAAGGGCAGGATCTTATCTCTTGATACTTGCAGTGCATGGACCCACCTGTTCTGAGCATGCATGCCTCCTCCATCTGTTCCTCCCAGACAGAAGGAAACCTTTAGGCTCATAGTGGAATTAAATTACCTTCAAGTTCCTCCTCATTCCTCTTGTGGTGTTTGCCAGTCTCACATGATGGAAGCCTAATCATTAGGTCAACAAAGCCCCAGGCATCCAAACTGCTAGTTAAGGCTCTAGGAGCAGCCTTTGGCCTGTCAGAGGCCCCTTGGATTCATCACACCCGGAAAAGATTACTTTCCTGCTATTCGTGTTTGTTATGGTCTGAGCTGATTTATTATCTTCAAAGTATATTACTAAAAATGTGACCTTGGAAATTCAAAGGAGAAGGCTCACCTCAGCTGTAAATTGCTTAGAAGGTGACGATTGGCAAACCCTTTCTCAGCCACAACCTCCAACTGCAAACAGGGCATGTTAATGCTGGCCTACTTTACAGGATTAGTGAAAGGATTTCTAAGACAGTGTTCAGGAAAGGCTGTGTACAGTGAAGTGCTGTTCTTTCACCTTTGATTCCACAGGTGTGCAAGAAACGTGAGAAGCGCATGGCAGACCCTACTTTGGAGAAGTACGTGCTCACAGTAGTGCTGGATACAATCAATGCCTTCTTCAGCTCTCCCTTCTCTGAGAACAGCACCTCTCTGCAGGTACGGTCAGGCAGCTCCTGGACTTCTGAATCCATCCCCCACAGCTTCCATTATAAGAATGGCCATTCTGTGCAGCATAAATGTGAATGGTCACTGGTCTGATTGTCTCAAAGGAACAATATGGTTCCTGCTATATGGTTCTGTGTCTACCTGGCTACATATTAACAGGCTTCTTCTCTGACTCCTTGGGGACAGGGACAATGATGGTAGGCGAATACTTCTGGGCTTAAATTGTTACATGTCCCTTCTTGAGAGAAAGGTTCAAGGAAGTCTCTAGGTAGCTCAGTATGACCCACTGCAGTAAAAGTGGAACATTCCTTGTAACCTAAATTGAGATTCATTTCGCACAATATGAACATTTTTCCTTTGAAATTCATTTGAAGCAAGATAGCAATTAGCAGTTGGGCCAGTCCTGAGCATGAGGTTAGAATCTAAACACAAAGGAGTTGTCAGAGGCTGGATTGATAGCCGTTACTCTGTGTCACTAAGTAGATAAAATAGGGTAGTCAAGGTCTGTCATGTAGTATTTTTAAGGTCAGCACTGCTGGTATGTGGAGAGCATATATGGATCAGGACCATGGTATAGGAGAGTGATAATTGGGGAAGAAGCTCTACCTCCCCCTTCATGTGATTCCCCAACTCACACACATCCCAGGGATGCTAGGAACTTCTGGGTGGAGCAAATTGAAACTTTCCAAAGGGTACGGATTGGATTAAAAAAATTGATAGGGGAAAGGTTTAACCACTGTAACCACAATATCGTATTCCTGATCCCATTCAGCCTCTCCTTCGCATCTTACTGACCCTGTTAAGAAACCGATAGATCAGTAGAAGCAGCATGTGAATAGATGCCCCCAATTGCCTCTCCTCCTCTCTTGTAGACACATCAGACAATTGTGGTGCAGCTCCTCCAGAAGATGCCCCCAATTGCCTCTCCTCTCTTGCAGACCCATCAGACAATTGTGGTGCAGCTCCTCCAGTCTACCATGAGACTTCTGGAATGTCCTTGGCTGCAGCAGCAGCACAAGAGCTCAGTGGAGGCTTGTATCCGCACACTGGCTATGGTTGGTAAGGAGCAGGGCCCACGCATCACACAAGTGGTGTGGTGGTGGTGGTGGTGGTCTCTATGTGGGGTTTATCCACCTGTGTTCAGCAGGAGGAAGACAAAGGTAGCAACTTCCCATCCAAATGCCTGGACTTGGAGTGGTGGTGGTGGTGGTGGTCTCTATGTGGGGTTTATCCACCTGTGTTCAGCAGGAGGAAGACAAAGGTAGCAACTTCCCATCCAAATGCCATTGCTTAGTAACCTGGTCTGGCTGGGCAGACATCTTCTGCATTTTGGGGTCTTGTGCTCCTCTGTTGAAGGGAGGCAGCCAAGAATCTGCAAGGCTGCAGTTTTATATGTGAGTGGCCCACGATGGCATGTGCCGTGGGAGCTTTTCCTGGAGACAGGCTGTTAGCGTCAACTCATACATGGCATTAATTAGGTGGCCTGCGAAGAACTAAAAGAATTCAGTATGAGGTACAGAGCAGCACACAGGGAGGAGATGTCTAGTACTTTCTTCCTCTCTCTCTCTCTCTCTCTCTCTCTTTCTCACTCTCTCTCCAGCTAGCGTTAGGGTGAAAGCTGTCTCTGGTAACACAAGGAACTTTTTTCCTAATTGCCGGGTGGGCGTGGGGTGACTTCAGTTGGGATTGCATCTGGGAAGGGATGGGTTAATGTCAAGGCTTATGTCCTAATGCATGATTTTTTTAAAAAAAATATCAATGATCGTGCAGTTACCTCACTGTATAATTTGATTTCTAGTGACAGGGTATTGAAGCAATATCACAGGTGACTGTGACATGGTCACTCCGGCAGTCAATCAGGCTGCAGAGCATCGCCTTAGTTATCATTGGTGTTCCTTGATACGTCGTCTTCATCATAAGCCTTGTTTCTTTCCAGCCAAGAGTGGAAGTCAATAAAGCATCACCTTAGTTATCAATGGTGTTCCTTGATGTGTTGTCTTCGTCATAAGCCTTGTTTCTTTCCAGCCAAGAGCCGCTCCATTGCATTGCCCATGGACCTTGATGCTCATGTCAGCTCCTTGCTGAATAGCAGTTCCATCACTAATGCGCAGAGGAATGCCGCCAACTACAAGACAGCCTCACGTGCTTTTCCTCGAGTCTCAGCCACAACAAACCAATGGGACTACAAGAACATCATTGAGAAGCTGCAGGTACGGAAGCGATACCCTTGTTATGTAGCGTTCTTGTGGCTTATCCTGGAGACAGGCCTTTAGTATCTCTGCGCTAAGTGTGTGATTTGCTCTCAAGTTGGTTTTGACTTATGCAATCCTAGCTAGGTTTTCAAGGTATGTGAGATAGCATTTTTACCACTGTCATCCCCACTAAGGTTCTCATGGTTGAGGGGACACTTGAACCCAAGTCTCCTGAGTTCTAAGTCTGGCACTCTGTTTGCTATGCCACATTGGAATCTCTGCACTTAGAAATGAAAGTCTAATTTCCGCTCCAAAGTTATCTAGCTTTTGTATGCCAAAGTGTTGAATTTGGAAACATATACCAATTGTACACATTGATAGCAATTGCCACTTAGAAATGAAAGTCTAATTTCCGCTCCAAAGTTATCTAGTTTTTGTATGCCAAAGTGTTGAATTTGGAAACATATAGCAATTGTACACATTTGACATACTTTCAATAGTTTTATTATAAATAATTGTCGTTTTGTATTTATCTAATTTTGTATTCTCATTTTTGCATTCTATGCAGACTATGATTTATAGTTTTGCTTCTGCCAGTCTTAGGAAAGAGCAAATCAAAGGATTATTGAAAGCACAACATCTTGGACCTTTTTATACTCAATATTTCATCATTTGGCTATGCTCACACATTTTCAGGTTTTTCTATGATAGCTTAAGGGCTAGAATCTTGTGTGTCCCCCCCCCCAATGATAGTTAATATCCTTAAGGTTCTAAATTCTGCACCCAACCGCAAATTCATGTTTGGATGGCAAAATCTCAGTGTTATGCAGCTTTGCCATGAGAGTACTGTGCTTTTACAGGACATCATCAACGCACTTGAGGAGCGCTTGCAACCTCTGGTGGAAGCTGAACTTTCAGTCTTGGTGGATGTTCTGCACCGTCCAGAACTGCTTTTCATGGAGGGGACTGAGGCTTACCAGCGTTGTGAAAGTGGTGGTTTCCTCTCCAAGTAAGTGGGTTATAGAAAACAATATCATTGCATCATTTGAGAGTGATGGTGATCTCCGCTCTTTAGCCACTGTTGCTCAGTGGAAAACGTGTGAGGGAGCACAGCACCTTGAAGTCTTCAGTTGTTTAGCACTACAGCAGCATTGGTTGCCTTATGTGCAATAAAATTTCCTTTTCACACTCAGCACACGCTATACCATAAGGAACAGTGACAACTAAATGTTTCATATTAATTGTTTTTATTCTGTGTTTTGTGAGCTGCCCAGAGTAAACTATGTCTAAATGGGCGGCATATAATCTCAATAAACAAACAAACAAACAAACTAGCAATAGGGAGTTGAGGAAAGAAAGAGAAGTGTGGGGCATGATTGAGAAGGGGAGTGAAAGAGTTACAAAGAATGAGCAAGTTGGCAGTGTTTGGCAGAACTGAGGCAGCCCATAGGGTGTCCACTTAAGAGGAGAGTCTTGGATCTTTCTTAATGCAGCTGGCCTCATTTGATGAGGGTAGGTAGGTTTGGACATGGTGGAAATGTGTGGTATGATTTGTTTTTCTTTGCTGACTAGACTGGTGCAGCACACCAAAGACCTGATGGAAGCAGAGGAGAAGCTCTGCATTAAGGTGTTGAGAACACTGCAGCAAATGCTGGTAAAGAGGAACAAATATGGAGACAGAGTGAGTAGCTGAGGATGCTCGTGTTGGTATATAAGTATAGGTACCTGTACAACAAGCTAGCCTTTTCTGGCTCTTATTTCTGCCACATGTTAGGTGTTCTTTCTGAGTAAAGAACAAGGCCTAGTTCTCCTCTTTCTTATTGTCCCTGTACGACAACTAGGCCATGTGTCTCTTCACTGCACAAAAAGTGTTCTAACACTCACAGAAATTATCTTGCTCTGATATCATGAATAAAAATAGATAGTTAGTATTAGGAACGTAAGAAGGGACCTGCTCGAACTGACCACAAATCCACATAGATGAGCATCTTTTTCCCTACAAGGACAGAGTTGTCTCTGGGGATCCTATACGGAAGACATGTAGAGAGCAGCCCTTCTGGGTATGATGCCCTCTGAAGACAGCCCTTCCGCTTAAAAACCTGAACTTAGTGAACCTCGTTTATAAGATCATTATATAGCTTTTTTTTAAAAGGAAAACCTTTGAAATGCATCCTGTTTCTTTATTCCTCTAGGGCAACACATTGAGGAAAATGCTTTTAGCTAATTACTTGCAAACCAAAAGGTCTGGCTCCAAAGGGGAGATTGTTGATCCTTCTGGAACTGGTGAGTGGGTTGCCATTCTGGGCTTTAGCTTTCTGTCCTGCATTATTTCCTCCTTCTCTCCCCTTTCTTTGGGTTCTCTAAATTCATCTACTGTCCCTACATCTCATACATGTTATTATAAATGTATAGGCCAAGGTTGGCTTTTGGAGGGACACATGTTGCTGGGCTGTCATTTATGGTTGATGGGTGGCATCCATGTGAATCAGGCCACTGGTCCATCCAGCTCAGTACTGTCTGCACTGACTTGCAAAGGCCCTCCAGGCTTTTCATGCAGGAGCCTTTCTCAGTTCTACCTGGAAAAACCCGAGTTTGGGTCTGCAGTCTTTGTTCAAAGCAGATGTTCTAGCACTGAACCACGAGAAGCTCTCTGTTGAGTTTAGCCACCTTCTGCTCGATCACTGTGTCTCATGGGAGGAGCTATATCAAACTAAACATTGAGATGATTGATGTTTGGACTAGTCAAGGATACTAATTCTGTTTATGTGTACAAATGATTCATCATCAACTTACTTAAGTTACTATATCCCTCTAGGACAGTTTAATCTCATCAATGGTTTTTGCATTTATTTATTTATTTTGGTGGTATGATCTGACTGACATCATGTAAACTGCCTGAGGGACAGGATTAAACTGTTCATGTCAGAGAGTGATACATTAACCACTGAGTCATTATAATTTTAAAGCTGTTCCACAGCCTCTGTTTCTCAACAATGTTCTTTCACACAGGCCAAGACCAGGACTGGTCAATAATAGCTGCCATTCAGTGCCGTCTGGACAGAGAAGGGGCCACCAAGCTCGTATCAGATCTTATCATGAACACTAAAAATGAGAAGATCTTTCAAGAGAGCATCCTCTTGGCTATTCGACTGCTTGATGGGGGCAATACAGAGATACAGGTACGAGGAGGTGGGAGGGAGAGTCTCCCCGCTTAGTTGTTGAGCAGTCAGGTGTGCAGGGAAGCACTGGCTGGGCTGCTTCCTGGATTGGTGTGACGAGAATGACACCGTGTGTGGCGAGTGGTAAGTGGACCTACCTGTTTGCGGGGAGAGGGTCTGCCTTTCCCAGGCACCTATGGTGCCAATATATTTATTTGCATCCCCAGGGATACGAACATACATACATACATACATACATACATACATACATACATACATACATACATACATACATACATACATACATACATACATACATACATACATACATACATACATACATACATACATACGCTGTCCCATTAGAACAGTGCACTACTATGGGTGGTTTTACAATAAAATAAAATAAAAGTAAAAATACAGTGGTTTTTGTAGGTTTTCTGGGCTGTTTGGCCATGTTCTGGAAACAGTCCAGAAAACCTACAACAACCATCAGATCATGGCCGTGAAAGCCTTCAAGAATACATAAAAGTACAGTGTTCATGAAATAAAAACAAATACCCAGCACATGAAGAACAAACTCCAAGAGACGCTAATTGCACACTAAAATCTATATTAATCAGTAAGCATATCAATATTCTGTACAATAATCCCCCTTCTATATGATCTTACAAAGAGCTGATTGTTTGATGGAATAAGAAGGTATAAACAAATTAAATCAATCCTTTGAGAAGGTTAACTACATCAATCAATTTTCATAAGTAATTTTTGCTCCCTCTGCTGGAGATCTTTAAAAGAGCATGCTTTGACCTATTTCCATTTAACATTCCTTGATTTTGGAAACATGACTTAGACATAGAAATATTCAGTTTCTAACAGTACAGGAGGAAAACCTTGTGTAGTCCACTCCTTCATTTGCTCTGATTGGCAAGGATATACAAATTAGGCTTGAAGTACACTCCCAAGCGTAGGAGCTACCTGCTGCCAGTTCTGTTCCTGCCTTTGCTCCATCATGAGGTCTCAACAAAGGCTTTTAGAAAGGGCAACAACCTTGGGCCTTCAGCATGGGATCATCTCTAGAAAGGAATGGGGTGGATTATATGTGGCCCAATCTGTGGTTCACAAGTAAGTCTATAGTGACAGAGCAAGGTGGGCTAATTTAACAATGTCTACTAATTGAAGCAATCAAAATGACTGCCGGTGTTTGATCTCACAGTAAATGTAGAAAATGTTTTTTTGAAAGTCTGGTTTGTTGGATTTTTCAAGGTAGGAATGTTGTGTTGGTTGCAGTAATGACCATCAGGTCTTACTTATGAAGTAAAAGTTGGATGCCTCATCCAGAGACATTTTAGATGGTGATGGCCCTGGAAGAATCGTGGGTTCAAGAATTGTGGTGTATCTAACTGCTGTGTCCATCATTCTGCATCTTTATCTCTGCAGAAATCATTCTATAACTTGATGACCAGTGACAAGAAATCGGAAAAGTTCTTTAAAGTACTGCATGACCGGATGAAGAAGGCTCAGCAAGAGGTTAAATCCACAGTCACTGTGAACATGAGTGATATTGGCAACAAGCCTCGGGAAGACAAAGACTCTCCTGAACATGGCAGTAAAGGTAAATGGAAGTGAAGGATAATACTCTGAGCTCACTGGAGCATGGCTCGGGAAACAATAAAGCTGTTCTAAACCAGTAAAAGTATTTGGAAATGACTTACCCCCATGTCTCTCAAACACTGGATTTTAAAAGGAAGAACACTGAAGAATGCGGAAACCATACCAAGACGCTTCTTCCACTGTTCGGTGACCTTCTGTTTCCTTTAAGGGTCAAGTCAGAGAAACAGAAAACAGCACTTGCCATGGTGAAAACAGAACTGGGATGTGTTTGTGTGTGTCACGGCCCTTAATGATTAATAGATGGTACAGATACATCTAACCACTGAGCCTCGTGGCGCAGTGGTTAAAATGCTGTACTGCAGCTAAAACTGTGCTCACGACCTGGGGTTCAAATCCCAGGTAGCCGGCTCAAGGTTGACTCAGCCTTCCATCCTTCCGAGGTCGGTAAAATGAGTACCCAGCTATGAGATGAACAGCAAAAAAATAAATTAAAAAATCCAGTTGTAATCTCAGAATTTCTGCCTATAGTCTTGGAGGATTCTTAGAGAACAAGTGAGGACCTGGAAAATAGCAGGCGGGCAAATACTGTCTCTGTCTTTGAAAGAGAATCCTTGCAGCTAATGCCCACTAAGTGTGACAGCTTTTCCAGCTACTCAGGAAAAGTTCTAAAACAGATTTTGAAACAGTTACTTAGTGAGCACTTAGAAGATAATATGATGATTATTAACAGACTGTCTGGGTTTATCAAAATGTGCCAGACTAACCTTAACTTCTTTTTTTTTTTTAAATGAAGTTCCAAGTTTGCTGGATTAGGAAAAAAAAACTAGGACTCTTGTATATCCTAATTTTCACAAAATATTTTGACAGAGCTCCCATTATATTTTTGTGGCCAAGCTAATAAAATGTGGGCTGGAAGATGAAGTTGCTAGCTGGATTTGTAGCTGCTTCTCAAGTTTCATCCAGCTCTGTGAGGCCTGGTGAACTGAGTTATTAGACATAATACTAACATTCATGGCTTTATAACTGATTCTCCAGATTTCAGATTTAAAATATGTTGATATCTAGATGTGGCCTTTCTACCTTGAGTAGCAGGAAGCATTTGCTGAATCAGAAAAAGAAACAAACTGTATAGTACTCATTTATAAATATCTATTAATGGTGAGCAATTATGACTTACAGGCTGAGATCCTGTTGTACAGCCTCACATGCACAACAGTAATAGTGTACATCCTCCTCCTCAGATCACCCCTAATTAGAGACTTTCTTTGAAGATTTCAGTGTGCATGCATGCATGCATGCATGCATGTTCACATGCACAACAGTAATACTGTACATCCTCCTCTTCAGATCACCCCTAATTAGAGACCTCCTTTGAAGATTTCAGTGTGCATAAATAAAAAAAAACTTTTTCGCTTTGTGTACAGTAGATAGAGATAGGCATGAACCATAAAACCAATGGTTCATGATGGTTTGTGGCTTGTGACTATCCATGAATTATGAACGTTCATGAACTGTCTGAAAAACAAACTGGTTTATGGTTCATTTTTCAGGTTTGTGATGGGGGGGAAACTGCCACTGCCAGCCCACCTTCCTCCCACTCCCATTGCCACCTATCTCCTCTTAAAGTCTCCACCATTCATTTTGGAGAACTTAACAAAGTCACATGTGCTTTTGAATTGCCTGTCTCCAGCTTGTAAACTAACTAACTTTCAGCCCTTCAGGGTGAATCACAATAGCTCCTGTGCTGGCAAGTAATGGGGTGGATTTCCTTGCAGAACGTGTGACAACTTTCATGCTGCCCAGCGCACCATCCCGTTATCCAATGGGTCTAGGCTTCCGGGCTGGCCATGATGCAAGAGACAGAGGCCAGAGCAATGAAATGGGTGTGGCAGTCTTGATTATGGAGCCAATTCTTCGCTTCTTGCAGCTTCTGTGTGAGAATCACAACCGGGATTTGCAGGCGAGTATCCTTCAGAGGAACCAATGCCATTGTATCAATGCCGCTGTATAATCCTACTAGTGTTACAAGTTGCATTCAACTCGTGGCTACTAGTTAAAAAGCAGTCTGCCACTAAGGAGCCTCTTGCATTCTGCTCTGTGATTTTTAGAACTTCCTACGCTGTCAGAACAATAAGACCAACTACAATTTGGTGTGTGAGACGCTGCAGTTTCTGGATATCATGTGTGGCAGTACCACAGGACGGCTGGGCTTGTTGGGCCTCTACATCAATGAATATAACGTAGCCCTCATCACACAGACATTGGAGACCCTGACAGAATATTGCCAGGGACCCTGTCATGAGAATCAGGTGACTGCATTTCTCTTGTGGGTTTTTAAAAAAAGTTATACTGGTTCATATTGGGGTGAGATGGGTAGCAGAATAAGAAGATGCTAGGCAGAGCAGTCTGCATCTAGCAAGGTCTGAGCATCTGAAAAGGGAAGGGACTGGGATAAACCTGGGGTCGGCTGCACATCATTTGGATAACTCAGTGTATGTATTCACAGAGCTGCATTGTGACTCATGAATCAAATGGAATTGACATCATCACAGCCCTGATCCTTAATGACATCAGCCCCCTCTGCAAGTACAGAATGGATTTGGTTCTTCAGCTGAAGGTAGAGGGGCCTGCTAGAAAAGGGGTGGTGGGAGACAAGGGATGACCAGAGTGAGGGGTCTCTGCATTATTAATAAAGACAAATTAATGAACTAGACTCAAATATGTACACCAGGTCACATACTAAATTTATGTTCAACAAGTCGTTAACAGTCTGTGATGCTCTCAAAAAGGGATAGGGAGCTGGGGTTTCAAGGATATATGAATGTACCAAGTTGCCTTCTTTTGTGCTATCTTTGTGCTGCCTTCAAGTTGCCTTCTTCAGTGCTGTCCTCTGAAGATGCTGGCCACAGAGACTGGTGAAACGTTAGGAAGAACAACCTTCAGAACATGGCCAAAGAGCCCAAAAAACACACAACAACCATTGCCTTCTTTTGAATTAATTACTGGATCATCTAGTCCAACATTATTGTCTACTTCTGCCTCTAACCTTTTTAATCAGTCTAGCAAAGATCTCTTTGCAATTCTGCTGCCTTACATTCTTTTAACTGGAGAGATGTTGAGGATTGGACCTGGAAATTAAATGTGCACTCTTTAATTTATGGTTTGTTTAAACAAAAGGATTTTGTCCAGTCTCCAAGACTTCTGGTAGGAATCTCAGCATTGCAAAGTCAGCAAGGCATCTTCTCTATTTGCTGAGTCAACCCGTTGGGTTTTGCTACCTATCTACCATCCTGCCTTCCCTGTTCCTTTCGAATCTTGATTTATGGAGTGGATTTACACTAAACCCTGTAGCCTTAAGATTGATTCTCACTGCAGAGTGAGAAACAGATGGATGGTTTGAATATACTCTTTGCCTTCAGTGTAGTGCTTCTTCTTCTTCTTTTTGGTCAGGACAATGCTTCCAAGCTTTTGCTTGCCTTGATGGAAAGTAGGCATGACAGTGAGAATGCTGAGCGGATTCTCATCAGCCTCCGGCCCCAGGAATTGGTAAGGAAGACTGAGGAGGCTGGGGGTTATTGCGCTTGGTGTTTGCTGCTTTTAAAAGATGTCATGCTTTTCACATCATAACTGAAAGGGAAGGAAAGAACCTTGGATTCCTTGTAGTGTCTCCAGCAGGTAGAGCTTCACTGAACTATGGGAAATCAGTTCCCTACATAGCTTCTTCTCTTCCCCTCCCCCAATGTCTTCTAGGTGCTATAGCTCATTCCCTACTGCTAGAATTGTATAAAGATGGGTCTGTTCTATTTCATTTATATGGAATGCAGTAGTTCCCAAGCAGTTAATCTTAGCTTGCAACAGATGGGTACACTAATAGGGAACTCTTCAAACATTGGTGTCTCCTGTCTTGCTTATTGGCACACTTGGCAGAGAGAACAACAACAATATAATAAAAACAGTTTTAGTACTGCAGAGCCGGAAGGGACCCTGAAGGGGATCCCATGAGTCCAGCCCCTGTCAAAGAGGCACAGTGGGGAATCGAACTCACAGATATCTAAACCACTGAGCTATCCAGCAGTTCTCAATAGATGAATTGTAGAAGTTCTCCACAGAATCGGGTACAAGGGCTTTATTAACACAATTTCTACCGTGTCAGGAGTTGAGACATAGTAGCTAAGTGACTGATGGATATTTGTCTTGCTATCCTGTGGTTTCCAGATTACTTAGAAAGGCATGACAAAGATTAGAGTGGAGTAACATCTGCATGGATAGTGGCAGTGTACAGCTTCTAGAAATAATAGAAATGTATCTAGAAGAAATATCTATCTGGAATATTAGTTCTGTCATCTAACTACTACTCACCCTCTACTTTTTGGATTTTAAGTCAGTCATTTCTTTACAAGAGATACGAGTAGAAAGGCTAGAATTGTGGTAATTGAAAACAGAAACGTGCTCACGGTGTCAAATTGTACATTGAATGGCAGATTTTCTGCTTCCACAACAGATCCACAGATAGCATATTTGCCTATATGAGGTTACTTGCCTATGACAAGTTACTGGTCTAGCAATTTTTATGTGCAAAATGTATTTCAGGTTGATGTGATTAAGAAAGCCTATCTTCAAGAAGAAGAATGTGAGAACTCTGAAGTTTCCCCCCGGGAGGTTGGACACAATATCTACATTTTAGCCTTACAGGTATCTTTATGGTCTGGTCCTTTATAAAGGTTTGTTTCTCCCATCTTGTTCCCTTGCATTCAAAGACTCAAGTTGGAAGAACATAACCCACAGTTTTTTTCCACTTCCCTGAATACCTGACTCCAATTACAAAAGTTTTTTTAACCCCACCATAGGAAGTTTGTTTGATATATTGATGGAGCTCTGGTCTTAGAATATTGTATCTTAGAAGAGGAACGTAGAACTTAGAACATCAAGAACATATCTTGATGCTTGTGTGTATTATATCTTGCTTTCTATGGAAAGAAATAAAGATTTCAGTATCACCCCAGTGGGTGATACACAAATAGAACCAGTGCCTGAAAGAGAATAGAACACTGGATAGTCACCATGAAAATCCATCCAGGAAGGTGCAGAGGAGGAATATGTTCAAGTGGGTTATGTTCTTGTTTACCCAAAGAGAGACAGTGAGATCATGTGACCAAACATGCCAGTAGTTGAGGACAATGCTTTCAATGCCCTCCTCATCGCCAAGGAAAGTGGAAGAAAGAATACGAAAGCACCACAGAGCATGAAAAAAAAAAAGGCTTCTGAGAAAACGAAGAGAAAAACTAAGTTAGGACAGACAAACGTGGGTTCCTTCTCTGCATGTTCCAGAGTGGGCCTTCACTGTAAGTGTCTGATGTTCCTTTCTCTGGATGGTGCAGCAGAGCAACCCAGACAGAGTGTGACATACCCACACATAAAAACCTTAAAGGTGGTATGGCTGCTGCCTTGCTAGAAACTTAAACCCTGGAGTGTGCTCCTGCCAGAAGCAGTCTCTTTTGGTTGAAATCTCCAACATTGTATCTAAAAGTAAGGACATAATGAAGACTCAACAAGTTTTGTCATCCGTGATTAAAAATGTGTCCCAACACCATGAGAAAACGTGTTGAAAAAATTGTCAGCTGCTGCAAGTTTTTTTTTACTTGTGTGCAAGAGTGAAAGAATGTTGTCAGGAGGCATGTTAGCCCCCAAAAAGTCTTCTGGGGCAAAAATATATTTGAGTTTCACTGAGGAATTCTTTTTTTCTTTTTCTTTTTGTATTTTTTGTATTTTCTACAAAATACAGAGTTTTCTAGACAATTTTTTAAGGTTGAAAAGCCATTTCTCACTTTAAGACAGATATACTCTTATAATTTGGTTGTCCATGCTTGTTATCTCTCTTCATATTTTCAGCTTTCTCGACACAACAAGCAGCTTCAGCATCTATTGAAACCTGTGAAACGGATTCAGGAGGAGGAAGAAGAGGGGATCTCTTCTATGGTATGTATGTGGATGGAATGTCCTCACTGAAAAAGCAAGGAAGCTGTGCCCACATAACGTGTCAATCCTAGTGGGGCAGAAGTTGTTGGTGTCAGAATGTTTGATGGTGACTCTGTGAGTTAACTGAATGATCCATTGACGGAGTGGGAGTGACATTGCCTAAAGACACCTTGACTAAAGAGAGGGGAATAGAATAGAAGGTGGCAGGAATCTGAGGATTGGATAGAAAAGAGAGAAAGTCTCAAGGAAAAGGTGTCCATGGAAAAGGAGAAGTTAGAAAACAGATCAGTGGCATTTTCGGCAAAGCTCAAGCATAATGTAAGGACAAGAAAACATTAAGAACGTTTTCATTTTCATTTCATTTTGTATATATTATATATCGTTTTGATTTGCTATACTGTATCTTTGTGTGCAATGGCTTTGTTAGCTGCCTAGAATAACTTTTTTGGCCTAGAAGTTAAGATCAGGAAAGGAGGAGCTAAAATATCATGAAAGAAGTTGAACTAAGGGGAATCTTATATTCAGCCTAGAGATTGGGCACAAAATCTAATGCTCCATAGGTCCATTTTTTAAACATACTAGGTGTATCTTATAGTATTACTACTCTGCTGTGTTTAAAAAAGAAACATCAGGTGAAATTCTCTCACCACCAATAAATATTTGGAATCTTGCTTGAGACTGGATCTTGGAACTCTAGGGTTACCAGTGGAGCCCAAGAGGTGGTGAATTTCACAATTTTTTAATTAACCACAAGTCACATCGACCAATGAAGGGGGTAGTTCATTTTGGGTTGTGTCATTTTGATCATCAAAAATCAGAGATCTTGAGGTATTTATTACACTAGGGTTACCAGTGGAGCCCAAGAGGTAATGAATTTCACAGTTTTTTAATTAACCACAAGCCACATCGACCAATGAAGGGGCTAGTTCATTTTGGGCTGTGTCATTTTGATCTTCAAAAATCAGAGATCTTGAGGTATTTATTTTTTTACCTTCGACCCTCTACAGCAGTGGTTCCCAATCTTGGACTGCAATTCCCAGAAGCCCTTGCCACCAGCTGTGCTGGCCAGAGGTTCTGGGAGTTGCAGTCCAAGAACACTGGTTGGGAACCACCTGCTCTACACAATAGTGGCAGCTATAGTTTCAGAGACAAACTACTGCTAGCATCTTTGAGTTATATGGTCAAGGTACATGTTGACCTTACATATTTGGGCTAGAATAGCATATAGGTCTCTGATCTCTTTGATACATACATGTTGTGAACTTGCATTGCATACTTCCACAGAATCTCTCTGTACTGTAAAATCTTTCATTATTGTAATTCTAAATGTACAAATATAACATGGATGAAGTAAAAGTCCATATACTTCAGAGAGTCCAGGGGGTGGATGCCAGATTAGAAAGTAGGCAAAAAAACTTAAACTAAGATGCAGGATGATTAAGCATCTCATATGGATGTTGTGTCTCTGTACAAACATTCCTTTAGGTCCTAGTATTTCTTTATATAGTAATGAAAGTCAGATACTTTCAGAGACAAACTACTGCTAACATCTTTGAGTTACGTATATGGTCAAGGTACATGTTGACCTTACATATTTGGGCTAGAATAGCATATAGGTCTCTGATCTCTTTGATACATTCATGTTGTGAACTTGCATTGCATACTTCCACAGAATCTCTCTGTACTGTAAAATCTTTCATTATTGTAATTCTAAATGTACAAATATAACATGGATGAAGTAAAAGTCCATATACTTCAGAGAGTCCAGGGGGTGGATGCCAGATTAGAAAGTAGGCAAAAAACCTGAACTAAGACTTTGCAGGATGATTAAGCATCTCATATGGGTGTTGTGTCTCTCTACAAACATTCCTTTAGGTCCTAGTATTTCTTTATATAGTGATGAAAGTCAGATTTCTCTATAGTTGAGCTAAGTTGTCCCATATCTCCACGGAGAGCAAAATTGACTCCTTGACTGCCAATTTGTTGGCTCACATAGCTTAGTCAAAGACTATGATTGCTATTTGTCTTGTGATTCTGTTTCTGTGGGGATTTATGGGCATGATTTATAATTTTCAGATTAGTGGTCTTTGACTGTAATTATTGTGGTGAACTGAGTAGCTGTCTCCTTCAGAAACTACAGGGCCTGTTTACACTAACTATGTCTGCTTCCCTTTCCCCCCACAGCTTGTCAGGCCTAGAAAAATAGAAAGAAATACAGTATGTTGCTAATATGTGGGTGAAGGAGATTCCCTCAGGCTTTTGCAAGCTGAAGCTATCAAAAGATCTATCATTTTATTTTCTTTATTTTTCATGCAGCTTATTCTGCACAACAAACAGCTGACCCAGATGCTGAAATCAACAACTCCTGTCCAAGAGGAAGAGGAAGATCCTTTAGCGTATTACGAGAAGCACACATCCCAGATAGAGGTAGGATTCATTCTTCTCTGGTTTTATGTACATTTAATTAGATTTTCTTTCTCATATCTAGCAACACGATTTCCCTTTAGAATTATCCTAGTTAGATGAAATACTAGTTATCATTATCTAATAGCCAGTGGCCAATTGACTCAGAACTTAAAAGGAGCCTGCAAGCAGCTGTGTTTTCTGTCCACTTTGGCTTAATGTTTGTATAAATCACAAAAAAGGGCTGTCTAGAATTAAGCAGATCTGGTGCTTAGAGGAATTTGGAGGAATATAAAATTTGAAATCTAAAGTTAATGATCAATGAATTTCTTGTGAAATTGGGCCTTCAAAGACTGCATGAAGCATAGCCTGCTGTTGAGATTCCAGCTTATCCAGCAAGGCATGGCGGGCAAAATGTAGTCCTCGAAGTGCCAAATCCAGCCCCCAGCACTCCATATTTTTCATTTTCTTTTTTTAAAAAATGCTCAGAAAATCCCCCAACACCCTCTAGGGGAAGTAGGGGCAATTTTACCATGTTTTCTGCAATTCAGGACCATTTGGCTTCCCCAGCCCCCCCCAAAAAAAGTTATTTTATTTTAAATTGACCATTAGGAGGTGTGGATTTGTGGATGGGTAGGGGCTTCAATTAGAAATATTTTGTACCTTGATTGTATTAATAATCCTCTAAAGTCTTCACTCAGAGCTCGTCCAGATGGGCAAAAGTACTGCAGTAAATGAACATGAGTAGGCATGGTTCATCCCAAAAGGAACGTAATCTCACCAGTTTTGGTGTCCACACTGTTTGACAAAACCCAAGTCCTTGAGAAATCCCACCTTGAGGCTTCTTGTCAGAGAAATCCTCATACTGTACGTTATTTCCTTTCCATGGAAAGTGTTCTGAGTGCTCTGACTGAGCACTCAGAGGAACTTGGAAGAATTTAGAATTTGAAGCCTAAGGTCAATATCCAACAAAATTCCCTTTAAATGGGGATTTCAGGGCCCATGTCCCACAGAATGCATTTCCTGTAGAATACCCAAAGGCAGCTCATATTCTGAACAGGGCGTAACTTGCACCAGAATTTTGGACTGAACCCCCACCCACCCCTCAGACTGTGGGCTGTCTCTGTGTTAGGTAAATTGCTCATCAAAATTCCTTCAAGTTTACTGCAGTTGTGTGTACCTGCTGCTGTCCACTTCCCACATGGGAAGGCACTCTGGGGAATGTAGGTGGGTTTGGCAACGCTGGAGCTCTCCTCTCACCACTGAACTGTAGGGTTTCCCTCCACCAAAGGGGATATCGATACCTTTCTCTGGGTTTTGTGGGGGACATCTGGGCTGTGATGCTCAAGGGCCATGGTATCTCTATAGCTAAACAAATACATTGCTTTATCTTTTTTTAAAATGTGCATTTAAGCTGCCTAAGCCATCAGGATGCAATGGGTTAAAAATGGGACCTTCCAAACCTATGCATGTAAGGAGTTCAGGTAAAAGTAAACCAAGGATACCACGATTTCTGCTTTCTCCCCAGATTGTCCGCCTGGATCGAAGCATGGAGCAGATAATCTTCCCTGTGCCTAACATCTGCGAGTTCCTAACAAAAGAGACAAAATACCGGCTGTTTACCACTACAGAGCAGGATGAGCAGGGCAGCAAAGTCAGTGACTTCTTCGAGCAGTCATCTTTTCTCCACAATGAGATGGAATGGCAGAGGAAACTACGTAGTAAGTTTAGGACAAAGCGGCTGGGAGCTGTTCATATGGTTAGAATTTGGAATTCTGAATTCTGTGTCCTCTCAAGTCCCTGCAGCACTATCTAGCTTACGCTGATGTGCAAACTAGGCGTTATCCAGGCCTCAAGTAGAGATGTCACCAAACATGTCTCTCCTAGCTTGCCTTTGGGGATCAGCTGAGGTTGTAGTCATAATGGTCACCTCAAATTCAAGGCTCACATTAAAGTCCCACAGTTGTTTTTAATTTTTTTAATTTTTGCTGAGGTTAAAAGTTTTTCCCAAGCATTCTTGGATAAAATTGTCAATCTCCCTCAAGGAGTCTGTGATAAAGTTGGGGAACTCTGTTTTCCAAGGAGAATTGGGGGAGTTTGTCCAGTACTACCGTAACAATATTCCATAATCCTGGTGTGAGATACAGTGGTGCCTTGATTTATGAACTTAATCCATATCGGAATGATGTTCGTAAGTCAAAATGTTTGTAGGTCAAAGCACCATTTCCCATTGAAATGCATGGGAACGGGATTAATCCATTTCAGCATTTCAAAAAATAAAATAAAAATTAAAAATTAAAAATAAACAGAGCAAAGCAAAAGCAAAGCAAAGCGTGCTGCTTATATACTGCCCCATAGTGCTTCAAGCACTCTCTGGGCGGTTTACAAGTTAATTATGCAGGCTACACATTGCCGCCCAGCAAGCTGGGTACTCATTTTACTGACCTCGGAAGGATAGAAGGCTGAGTCAACCTTGAGCCGGCTACCTGGGATTGAATCCCAGGTCGTGAGCACAGTTTTGGCTGCAGTACAGCGGTTTAACCACTGCACCACACTGGGACTGCAAAAAATAACAAAATAAAAAAATCCAAAAGCAAAGCAACAATAACACTTCCCAGTCCAAACCCACCCTCCAAAACCCGCCCAGAACAGTTTTTTAAAAAGGAAAAGGACCTTACCTCCGCAGCTGCCTGGCCCGGGCTCTGTTGCCATTGCCCGGCCCAGGCTCCTCTGCCGCTGCCCGGCTGGGATGGGTCCTTGCCTCCCAGCTGGGCTTTTGCTCCTGGTGCAGGGTCTGTCAAAACTGCCACCCCCTTGCCCTCCCTTCCCAGCCTCCCTGCAACCCCGCACAGGCCCAGTGGGGCCAAAATTGCCACCCCTCTTGCCCTCCCGGACCCTTCCCAGCCTCCCTCCACTGTGGTGTGGGCCCACTGGGGCCAAAATAGCCACCCCCTGTAGTCCTCCGGGAGCCTACCTGGCCTTCCTCCACTGCCTTTTCCTAACTGTTGGGGCAAAAGAGCTACCAAGAAGCAGCCTCTTTTGCCACCTACACTTAGAAATTTGAATTTCCCCCGCCCTTTTCCCCTGCCTTTTGTTGTTGTTGTTGTTGTTCGTAGGTCGAAGCTCCGGCCGCAAGTCAAAGAAAAATTTGCGGCTGGAGCTGTCCGTATGTCAAACTGTTTGCAGGTCAGGACGTTCGTAAGTCCAGTCACCACTGTAATTTGTTTCCATGTGTGCTAATGTTTCTAAAGTTTCCCCCCTTTTAACTCATTACTTTTTAAAAAATGATCTCTAAACTTAGATGAAGTGTCTGAACTCAAGACAAGCAGTAGGCCAGTATTTGTTGGAGAGCCAACTCAAGGAGCTTCTGTGGAAGCCACGGAAGTGTCTCTACCAAATGTAAAGTGCACTAGTATTCAGAACTACACATCAGCATGGATGGCATCATCACAGCTTTCAGTGTGGCAGCCTTGAAAAATAATGTTGTGTTGCATTTGACACTTTCCCCCTTCATCCCTGCACCCCTTTTACCATTTAGTTTACCTTCAATGGTCTCCTGTAAAAATATGTACTTTCATTTTCTTACAATGTGACAAAAATATTCTAACTTTCCATGTTTGGTATGCCTTATGATCTTTTGCCTATGATTCATTCTCTTTAGTACTTTCTTGGTCAACCTCCCTTGTTCCAGTAAATTCTTAGTATCCTGTAATAAGTCTACATTAAAAAACCTCTTTTTTCAGAGTTATGTGTGTAAAATATGTATGCTTTTTTTTTTTGCTATACATGGCACTGTATATAAGATAATCTCTACTCTGACTTCCATTGTTTGCCAATGATTCACTATTCATCCAATCAAATTTGAAGATACAGTACTTATATTTCTAAAGATGGCAAACAAAACAACTTTTGTTTAATTTTTAGGCTTTTTCTATTTTTATTTTTAAATATTTCCCTTAATTTGAAGTGAATTGTGTCATTATGATTTGAATGTATATCAGCTCTGGCATAAGTTTTCACAGATTTACACCCTTCAACTAGGACATGGTCTGTTTGGTTCATTATTGCTGGTAGTGGCCATGTTGCAAAGGTTTCCATATATACAGTCTCCTTGGTGGTAATTTGAATGTGGTGTTGATGGCCAGGATTCCCAGTATCCATCTGTACCTGGCCAACAAACTTCACTTCACCAAGGATCTCAATATAAATCATTTTCATTTCTTTTACCATATTGTGCATTTTTGCTGCCACATATACAACTTTATACATTCCATGTTGCTAATCTAACTTTGTTAAGCACCCTCTAAAGTCTGTCAGGAACTGATGGCTTTTTTCTACTTCTGTCTACCAATGGCCAACAAACTTGGAAGACATTACATTGTAGTTTTCCATTGCTTTCCATATTTCGGTGCTATGGCCTATTGTGATGGGTTTGGTTGGATTGATTAACTGCTGTTCAGTACTTGGCATGACTGAGATACTTGGTGCTTCCAACTGAATTAACATGTCTTACTCTAAATGTTTAGCGTACTGGCAGTCCTTTCCAGTCTAGCAATAGTGAAGTGACATCATCAGACTTGTATCTGAACATATGGATTGTAATCCACAGAAAGGTCACATTGAAAAATATTTATTGAGTTGAAAAGATGCCACAAGACTTTTGTTTTGGTTTTAGTTCAGTTGATAAAACGGACTAACATAGCTACCTCTCTGAAATAGCAGGTTTTTGATTTTATGCTGGCTTTGCAGATTGTATGACCTTATGAGCCTTTGTGCAGAACGTCTTAGTATGAGTTTTCTGTGGATGACAAAAGTATATAGGATGAAATGAGAACACAGTCTTGATGCAGCACTGCAATATATTTCACTGATGAACCAGAAATGTGTGATGTCATTTGGAAATTGTGTCCCAGTTTCTGGCAATTGATTATATTTAAAACTCAGTTATAGAAACAAGAGTATTGATCCCTGGCCCTGTGAATAATTCTACTATGATTGCCGAATCTCTGGGGAGACCTGTGCTATTTCTTAGAAGAGGATGAGATTTACTTAGCTTTGCCTATCTTCTTCCCATAGGCAATCCACTGATGTACTGGTTCTCCCGCAGAATGACACTCTGGGGAAGTATCTCCTTCAATCTGGCTGTCTTCATAAACATCATCATTGCTCTCTTCTATCCTTATGTTGAAGCATCCTCCATGGGTATGCACTCAGTTATATTCACGTTGACATTTATACAGCTACTGCAAGATTTCTTTGTGGGAACTCTCCACTAATATACTCTATGTGAGGTCCTGTGAAACTTCAATAAATGTTGCTAAGTTGGGCTTTGCAGCTCATTCACTGGAATTTCCATAGCTCTAGTATATTATCGCTTTTAAAATGACAACCATTTAATTTGACGGGAACAGCAAAAATAAACGCTCTCGGGAAATAACTGTTCTGGATCAACTCTACAGTCAAAATCCTATCTGCCTGCAAAGCATAAATGGTGTAACTTTTGGTAATAAATTGCTGAAAGTACAAAGAATGTACACATTATTTATTGAGCACTGAGTAATGTGACTCCATATGATGCAGATGATGACTGAAATCCTGTTCATATAAGTTACATCAGGTAAGGTTGATTATGTTATCAGCCAGGATGAATTTTTGGAAATCAAACATTTCCTATTTCTGTCCTGAGCCTTCTATGGTCTCTCTTTGCAATGGGATGAATTTACTGGTGGTACTGATCTTGGCTCATGAAAGACTTCCTTCTCTTTCTGCAGCCCCCATGGATTCCTGATGATGAAAGGAATTACATGGGAGCCATAGGTGCTTTGGGACAGATGTAGGAAATGTTTAATTTTAAAAATAAATGGTTTCCTCTTTGGTTATGTCATCAACTTTATGTGTCATAACTTACATGAACAGAATTTCAGCCAATGCCCACACTGATTTTGTAACTTGCAGGAAAATATATATCACAGATTATGACATTTATGCTAGCTATTGATTGATTGATTGATTGATTGTATATCACAAATTATGACATTTATGCTAGTTATTGATTGATTGATTGATTGATTGATTGATTGTATTTATACCCCGCCTATCTAGTCATTTCGATAGTCACTGTAAAACCAGTTCATAATAAGATGTGCTAGCTATTCATATATTCATATATTTTCTATTTAAATTCATTTAAGATAGGTAGGTGATTCTTGTGCATCTAAATACAGGGGTTGACAACTTCCACTCTTCTTGATGGCTGCCTGCTCCAGGGATAGACACTTAAGTGAGCATGGCTATTAGAAGGGAGCAAAGTTTAAAGGATTCTTCTCTATCATAAAAAATGTTAGTTTTTATCTTAAGAAATTTTCTGTATATTAAGAAACATGTTTTTTCTGATAAACCTACCCATTTTTATTTTATAATAATAATTATAACTCACTGATTATAATTAACTGTTGGAGTTGGGGGAATTGATCATTGTTTCCCACAACCACAACATTTATATCAAGTTTAATTAAAATTAATCAAAATTTACATTTAATTCATTATAGAATGGAGCTAAGTGTAGAATAGTTTTAAATCAGCTTTGAAAATCATTAACCTTAAATTTGCTTAATAGAATTGGCTAATAAAAACTGGAAAGGCAGTTTAAATAGCAAAGGCTATTTAAATAGCAAAAGAAGAAAAATGCTGAGGAAGAGACTTGTACATGATGGTAATTAAAGGTTTCCTGTTTCATTCAGCATTAAACTTTCTCTTTAATCAATAGTTATCACTCAAGGGCCAAAGTGCTCTTAGTTGCACTTGTTAGTGTAATGCAGATGGTATAACGATTGGAGGCAAAGTGCTGCAGGTTGGAAAGTCAGTGCACACATTATCTATTGAGTGCAGAGTCATACAATGGTGCAAAATAAGAATACTCAGAAAATCTCAGTTGTGCAATTGGTAGCATAATCAGGCACATATTTTGCTTAGCACCCTAAAGGTGTGCTGCTGGTGTATGGATAGCACTGTCCCATCTGGGTATGGTCTGTTACCATATTTGGTCCATAACAGCCACTGCATTAACCACATCCACACAATCCTGGCAACCCTCTCTTTGTCTTGGCTGCTTTAGACATCTGCCAGTTAATACATGAGGTTTTCTACCTTGTCAGTTGCTGTCCAACAATGCTGATCATTTACTGTTTTTGCATCACCTGATTTCATCTGGGATGAAAATGTGATATCCCCTCTTTCATCTTTATTTAAGACACAGTTATTAACTCCTTTGTGCTTCCAAAATGTCTGTCTTTCATGTGACCTGCTATGCAATACAACTATACAACAGCTTATGCTACAAACAAATGTCATAGGTATTTAATTAGAGTATCTTTCTATTTTCTAGGATTATTGGATTCCCCTCTGATCCCCCTGCTTTCCTGGTTTTTATTTTGTTTCTCCATCATGGCTCTGTTTACACGCCGATATGGTATCAGACCACTCCTTGTGGCTTTGGTCCTGCGATCCATCTACCACCTGGGCATTGGCCTCACACTCAATATACTGGGAGCTCTCAATGTAAGTCATTTGTTAAGGCAAAGCTAAACTAGATGTACTGTAAGTGGGACTCATTAAAACAGTTGCTATTTTGAAAAGAAATTGTATAGCATTGGGACCACTCCTTGAGCTAAGACCTATTATTTTGTCTCTGCAAATCCAACCTGTATCAGAGTTAATTGGCAGCAAAACAAGATCTGGTAGGTATTTATTGGTCATAGATCCAAATTAGTATATGAAATGGCAGAATTAACTTTTACAAAATGATTGCTTGCCTCTTACTCTGTGCCTTGTGATTGTTTCACAGCTGACAAATAAGATTGTGTTTGTGGTAAGCTTCGTGGGCAATCGTGGGACATTCATTCGAGGATATAAGGCCATGATCATGGATATGGAATTTCTTTATCACGTCGCCTATATTGTCACCAGCATCTTGGGACTCTTTGTCCATGAACTTTTCTACAGCATCTTGGTATAGTAATTCTATCTATATAGGGATGTTGTGGTTTATTAAAGAAAAGTTATGGGTTGGTGTTATTATCTGTCTGCCTATTTTACTCATGGTATTTTACCTATCTTTATGTCTGTCTGGTTCTCTCTAGCTGCTCCTTGTAATTATTTACTTTTCTAAGCTGGCAAAAATATGTATCTTACTGGTTATATTGGAGAATCTGGCATGCAAAACTCAAACTAATTCATGATCTGGAAAATTATGAGGCCAGATTCTGGAAGCAAGAGCCTGGGATTGGCCAGTTTCCAAATGACTTTCATTTTCCTTTATTGAAAGTAATGTCCACATTAAGTCAGTTCATCCATTGATAAAGTTAGTGGTGTTAGTGGAAGCAAATAAACTGCAATCATTCATTTTTCAGTTCTAAGATAAAGCTTATAGGAATGATGGGTTGGCAAAGAGCTTGTTAGGTTGTTTCTATCCAAGCAAGTTTTTGAAGTATTATTATTATTTCAGCTGTTTGATTTGATCTACCGGGAGGAGACCTTATTTAATGTCATCAAAAGTGTGACGCGAAACGGACGCTCCATTCTGCTGACCGCTCTTCTGGCCCTCATCCTCGTCTACCTCTTCTCCATTGTAGGCTTCCTCTTTCTGAAAGATGACTTCATCATGGAAGTAGATCCATTGCCCAACATCAAAGCTAAAGGTCTTTGCTTCCCCATCTTGTACCTGAAGTCAAATATCCCCTGACTCCATTCTGAAATGCCAGTGATTGGCTCATATAATATTACCCAGTTCAAAGAATTATGAAATTGAAGTACTTTTTATATTCAGCTCATCATGCATACATTTATTTAGATGTCCTTCTAAACTCAGTAGGGCTTACTTTAAGTCAACATATGCAGTGTTCTACCAATTTTGTGCTACTGTACTCATTAAGCTAAATCAGGAGAAACTTTGCTGCTTTAGCTTTATCTGTATTCTGGATAATCTCACTTTTAGAAGGGGTTATGTGTTGAAAGAATAATAGTGAAAAAGAGTAATTGATTAAATATAAAGATGAAACGTTTTGCTGATTTCAAAAATATTTCATTTGTCTTCCATCAGATTCATCTAACTACTTCAATATCTTTGAGGACCTGTGGCTAACCTTATGAGTCCACTAAAATAGCACAAACGCAAGCTAGCTTCTGACTTGGGGGGGGGAAAAAATAACAAAAAGCACAACATAACAAGCAACAGAGGAAGCACCACTCCCAGCTCTGTAATACCTAGGCTGAGGAAGACTCCAGAGTTGAAAGCTAGCTTATGTTTGTGCTATTTTAGTGGTGTAATGAAATAACCCACTGTTTTCTTTAGACTGAGTACATGGAAGACACTTTTCCCTCTTTTTACATAAGTAACTTGTTCATGTCCTTAACACTGGCAGTTTGTTGGTCTTGGCTGCACTTTAGAGAGAAGCAACAGAAGATCCCTGCTCATTGACACTTAATAAGATTGTATATCTTTTTGCTAGAGTTCAGCTGTCATTTTATGACAATGTAAACATAAGAGGCAGTCTTTTGATGGTGGTCAGGATACTACATGCATGCATGCATAGTGTCTTTTACGAGTTTCACACATGTGAATAAACAATTATTTTAGCAGCAAAGGACATTGACTCCCTGTCCTCATACATTTTGCAGACTGAAGCAACAATCTGTGTACTTGGTATTTTTCACAGACCTAGACCCTGCGTATGTATTTTCTTCCAAATATCTTCCAAAATACAGAATTATAATGTATAAGGGAACTGTAAGACTCTTTTGTTCAAGCACAGTGGAGTGTAGGATGCAAATTGCCACCAGAGAAATGTCATTAAGTGTGCTACATGGCGCTGGGTAGAACACTACTTACAGTATGAGTAGCAAAGTAAAACATGCATGTAAATACAAGTTTGGTACTGATCACCAAAACTCCTTTGTTGGAACTCATTTTGTTTATGAACTAAAAGGGAATGTTTTGACAATTCTTACTCTCTGCTTTCAGCTACCCATCCCTTGGGAATGCAGGCAAGCATGGATGCTTTTATGGAGTCGTGCAGTGCTGACAATATTAATTGCACTTCTCATGTAACTGTGTCTGAAGTGATAGAAGGTAAATAGGATTACTGAACCCAGTAGTCTGGGGAGATACTGGGGGAAATGAGGAGAAATGTTGCATTCTTTACTTAGCATTTTGACAGAACATCTGGGATTATGTTAGTCCATGACTCAGAGCAGGAAAACAAAAAGGTATAGGGTCTCCTAATATCTTGGTTAAGATGCTAGACTGATTTGCTGACATTCATTTCTTGCAGCATAATAAGACAGAAAAGATATGTCATTCTGCACTCGAGGCCGTACTGCCTAAGTAAGTAATAGTATAGAAACTCAGTATAGAAAAATATTCAGTGGAGGGTTACTGAAAGCTACTTCAATATCTTCCTCATTTATGTTGAAAAGGAATAGCCAGAGAAGTCAAATGTACTTGGAATATCATTAGAGTGAGTAGCAAAGATATACTGAACCCAAAGCTCTGAGGTTTAAGGAGAAGTCCCAGTTCTGTCCTCCTTCACTGAGGATTGCTTTGCTTGTGTTCCAGAAGAGGATGGTGATAACACAGAGCGTGCCTGTGACACACTGCTCATGTGTATAGTCACAGTGCTGAATCATGGCCTGAGAAATGGAGGTGGTGTGGGCGACATCCTCAGGAAACCATCAAAAGATGTGAGTTCATTTTGGGCAACTTCTGTAAGGAACAGCTGGCTGACAGTTAATACAAGCATCCGTGTAAAGCAAGAATGGACAGCCTTCAGATGTCTCAGGGTAGCACATGCCCACCGCTGCACCTTGGAGGGCTGTAGCTGCTCCCGTGCCCCATCTACCCCTAAATAGTTTTGTTTAAAAAGTCGCTTTTAAAGAATTGAAGGACTCCCATCATGACCTCTAGTGGCCAATTTTAAGTTTTGGGGTACGTGTGTTAGGGACCAGCTATGCTGGGAGCTTGCAGTACTATATAGGGCAAAATTACCTCCCATGTCCCTAGAAGGCACAAGGGGAAGTTTGGAGTGAAAATGTTTTACTTTTCAAAAAATAGCGGAATAGTGGTCAGGAGGGCTGTATGTTGGTAACTAGTTGTTACAGAGCATAGTTGCTTTACCCACTACACTGCTATAATGGATGCTTACACTCAAATAAATGGGCACCCCACCATGAACCAGACTGCACACTGTGCTTTGAGACAGATGAGCCATATTAAAATTTTCCCTTCTTATGTCATGTCTGTCACAGACACATGTTGCTCTTTTTATCTCTTCTCCCAAGTTAGCAATTTGTCATACAACTACCTCATTACAGCCATAGTAAAATTACTCCTTCCAAATGTTTCCCCAAAGCTTACAATAACACTTTATGTTCCCTGGACTGTGTTGATCAATGATCCTTCTTCCTGCCCATCAAACTGTTCTGTGGGGAATTGGGGAAGGGCAGTGTTGCTTGACATTTTCAAGTAAAACACTAGAATAGAGAAAGCTGTGTTTACTGCTAATAATTGTTCTTGTTTTTGTGTCATAAAGGAGTCTCTGTTCCCTGCTCGAGTCGTCTATGACCTCCTCTTCTTCTTCATTGTCATAATCATAGTCCTCAATCTCATCTTTGGTGTCATAATTGACACCTTTGCAGATCTGAGAAGTGAAAAGCAGAAGAAAGAGGAGATCCTAAAGACAACGTGCTTTATATGTGGTAGGTGCCTACAGGGGATCTTTGTCCAGGACATATGCATGATATCTCAGCCTTCCTATATTGCATAATGTAAGCTGATCTTTGAATTTCAATATGTCTTTTCAAAAACCACATAAAACTACTCAATTCCATGCCTGTTCTTCTAATGTATGGTTTTTGTTTTAAGAAATCATCTTCACAAGGGCCTAAGATCAGGGTCACATATCTCAAATGATCCTATTCAACTGCAGACATAAAGCAAGTATGCTTTCTGAACTACCATAATGACTATCCATTAGCAATCCATCTAATGGGTTAGAGCCAGAAACTGCCTTGTGCTAATGGCAGGACTGTGCTTATGAAAGGTCCTTCTGAGCCTTCCCTTCATCCACAACTGCTCTCCCTGCCCCAACTTTCTGTGTAGCATTTTCAGGCAACTAGATGGGTTCCTGTAGGAAGGAGGCTTTATCAGGGGCTGGAATGCACATATCTAAATCTAGATCCATCCGGTATTATTCCAGTAGCTGTGTGGCTACCTGTGGAGGTTGTATGCAATAGAAAACCACAGAGCCAGTCTCTCTGAAAAGGAGTTTTGGAAAGGCACAGCAGGTGGTGAATAACAAAGCATTCTCTTGTTCTTTGTTGCTTCTTCAGGGCTTGAAAGGGACAAGTTTGACAACAAGACTGTGTCCTTTGAAGAACATATTAAATATGAGCACAACATGTGGAATTACCTCTACTTTATAGTGCTGGTGCGAGTGAAGAATAAGACGGACTACACAGGGCCCGAGAGCTATGTAGCACAAATGATCAAGGTATGTATTATACAATTGAGTATTCACCTCCCCATGCTGCTGAGATTTTCACCTTAAAAAGAGACACACTTAGCAAAAAGCCAGCAGTTAGATTGTTAATTGGGTAAGTGTACTGAAAGCTCTTGCTGTTTTGTGCAACGGCTGCTTTGCCAATGCAGAATATGGCATTTTGAAGTGAGTTAATCCTTCTGCTTTGTTCAGAAGGAAAGAGTAATGTAAACTTGTTTTAGAATCTTGGTGAATGACCCTTTCCCAGTGTCTGACATGCCCAGTATTGACAGAGTTTGGGAGATTTCTGGCTCTATTTTCAAATGGACTTAATATTTTGAAAAACAGACTAAATTTCCTTCCCCCCACCCATGAATCTGTATTAGTGGGTCAGGGTATGGGAAGTTCCTGCTACTGTGATCTTTTAAGAACAACAAGCTCCCTAGTACGGGCCCTGCCTGCTTTATATGTGATTAGAGCAGAGGAAAATTCAGTCAACTCTGCCTTCATGTAAAGAAGCAAGATCTTAAGGCTAGAATCCTGTTCACTGTTGCCTGGAAATTAGTGTCATTGAACATATTTGGATTTATATCAGAGAGTGCATACATAGGGTTGTACTGAAAATGTTTTAAGGACTTGAGAACATAAACTTGTGGGTGGGTTAGTTGAGTGACTCTTCTGAACAGAGAATTACTGGCCTAGACTTTTATTCCGTAGATGTTGACCTGAGCTATATGTGTTCCATGATGTGAAAAAGCAATATGTTTAGATTCAGGGAATGCTAGAAAAGACACCAACATTTGAATTTAAAGGGGAAAAATTAAGAATCTTCTTCCAGTAATGTGGGCATAGTTCTATAACACCAATTTGGAAAACACTAATTTGGAAAGCTGAAAACAATACTCAGGATATATAAGACTGGTTTTAAATATTGCAAGTATACTGATAAGCTCTAGGTATCTGTGGGTGAACAGCAGCTCCTGCTCATCCAGTGAGATGACCTCTGCTAACAAGGCAAGGAATGCAACTCAGTTGGTTCTCTTGGATCTTTCAGTAGCTTTCAGGACAGTGGCCTTCTGGATAGGGTGTTTGGATTAGGATAGAGGGGGCAGGCACTGCAGTAATAGTGATCTCAGTACTCTTGTTTGGATGGGAAATTCCAGGAGGCATTGTTGTGTCACTGATTTGCTCCATGGCACTCATGCTACAAGGCTGATGCGTTTTAACTTATACATGAAACAATTGGTGGAGAATGTCCAGAGATGTGAACTATCACTAAATACGCAGTTGACAGCCAGATCCATCTCCTTTGTTAGAGGTGGGGGAGATAACATATTGAAGATCCATGTCCTCTGTTAGAGGTGGGGGAGATAACATATTGAACCATTGTTTTGGGTAGTGGACCTGATAAGGGTGAATAAAGTGAATCTCAACTTTAGCAAGGAACACATACTGTTTTGTTGATAGTTTCTTTGGCTGAAGGATGTCCGCCCCCCCCCCAATTCTCTAGGATTCTAAAGAATTAGGTGTAGCTTCAGAGTGTTTATGGATGTGTTGTCACTAATGGCTCAGGGTGTCTTAGGCTTTAAACCAACAATCCTTTCTGGACAGATAACCTTGAAATCCTTATTCATCATCTGGTAAACCTCCTCTTGGATTCTTGCATCATCTTATGTGAGAAGCTGCCTTTGGAGTAGAGTTCAGTTACTCTAGTGCTGCTAGATCTTTAACAGGAGCTGGCCAATGCTGTGTCAATATTTGCTGTCTGTACTGTTTGCCAATGTAGACTCACTTCAGATTGCTGCTTTTAAATTTTAAAAGGTCAAAATAGTCACTACCTTATGTTCATAATCGGAAGAGCTTTGCCAATTGCTCCTGACAAGTACAGCAGCATATACTGGGCCTTTTTAGTAGTGGCACCTTGCCTACAGGATACCCTCCTCAGAAAGACTTGCCTGGCACTTACCTTTTCTTACTAGATAGAAATGTTTTTTTTCCCCACTGATTGTCAGTGCTTTTAGGTCTTTGCGATCTTTTATCCCTATTACTGATGTTGTCCTTTTCTATGACATATATTGTGACTACTTTGGTGTCTTGAGTGTTATGTTTTTAATTTGTAGATTGTACATAGAAAGTATGGTTGTTTTGCAGTTTCAACATGCAGGAAATAAATCCTCATTAATCCTAAAGCATTGCACAGATTAGCTATTCCTTGTCTTAAACTCTTGTTTCACACATGATTTTTACAGAACAAAAATTTGGACTGGTTCCCACGGATGCGTGCCATGTCTTTAGTCAGCAATGAAGGTGAAGGGGAACAGAATGAGATCCGGTGTCTACAAGATAAATTGAATTCCACCATGAAGTTGGTATCCCACCTCACATCACAGTTGAATGAACTGAAGGAGCAGGTAACAGAAACAACAGGGTTACCTGGGTCTGCACTGTGGATAATTGACCAAGAGGAGCCAGATTTTCAGATGCCACAAAAGCCCTACTCAGGTGTTCTGTGGTGTACATGGGAAGCAACGCATACTCCTGCTTTACCTTCTCCACTTGTAGCCTTCCCATGTTGACGATGGAGGTCTGCATGGGAGCTCTATTCATGATGAGCTGAACACACAAACGTTCACATGAACAAATATCCTACCTTTTCATGGTTCCTGATCGCATGAAAACATGCTCAGCTGATTTTTTTAGGTTGCCTTTTCAAGCACTCTTCATCAACATGGGTAAAGCAGGAATGGAGGAGATATGGGTGGAAGACACATCCCTGGCTCCATGCTTACACTACACCACATGGAGGTCTTTAAACATGCTCAGCTGATTTTTTAGGTTGCCTTTTCAAGCACTCTACATCGACATGGGTAAGGCAAGAATGGAGGAGACATGGATGGAAGAGACATCCCTGGCTCCATGCTTACACTACACCTGAACAGGCTAAAATCAATCCCTATTTCCTAGCTGCTCTAGTAAATTATTACTGACATGTGAAAGCACATGCTTTTAGATAAACACAGAACAGTTGTCTGATTACTTTCAGCATCCTCCCTACAAATAGGATTTGAAGATTGCGATTTGCAGTGCAGGCAACTAGCCTCCATAAGGTTCAAAATGTTGCATCTGTCTTCTTGTGCCAAATGTCTGCTCCAGTTCATAACCTATTTACATCACACTAGTAATAAGTTATTTTACTTTTACTGGTGTAAGGAGTCATAACTCCATGTTATCGCAACACAGGACAGCATGGATCATATGACTTGTATTCGAAGAAAATCTAGGGCCTATTAAATCAGTTAGTAGTAATGATTTTCAAACTCATTTATGCAGTAAAAGCTAATCAGTTTTTGCAACAAGATAAATAGTAATTAATAGACATGTTATTCCAAATCTGCCATTGCTGATGTCCCTTTACAACATGAAGCTTCAGTGGAGTGTGGGTACTTAATGGATTGGCTCATCTGAAAAGTGCTGATGAATTATGAACTGATACATACCTTTTAAAGTCTCAGAAATTTGTATAGCACACAGATATTTTGAAGCAGTCTGTTGTACCATGTCATGCAGAACCCATTGAGTGATGGTAGGTTTGATAAAGGAGTATGTGTTTAGGTAGAACAGATTAAAACCATGTTCAATTTTTTCTTCTTTTTAACATTTCAGATGACAGAGCAAAGAAAGCGAAGGCAGCGGATGGGCTTTGTGGATGTCCAGAACACTCTAAACCACTGAGATAGCAAAATCCAATTTACCCAAGTTAAAACTGGAATAAACATAAGCACTTCCTGTGGGAGGTATTTGGTACTATGCTGACAGCATCAATCTCATTGCCAAGGAAAGCTGACCCCATGCTATGATTCCTACTGTGGGAGCCTCAGCACCACCTTCTGTTCATCTCTTGTAGAACTGAATACAGACAAGTTTATTCAGCGAGACAGACCTGAAGCTAATGAGTAGCAAGATTTCTTGCTTCATGAAGATTCGTAGTTTACCATACATTTGAGAGTTTAGTTGCTCTGTATAATTCTGTTCTTACAAATCTTTCCTCATGCACTACATTTTGATGGCTACCTAGCCATGTGACAATTATTGACAGTTATTAGCAACTAGTAGTTTGCTGCATCTTAATTTATTCCAGACGAGTCAACTGAAGGACAACATACATGGATTTTTCTTTACAAGTATGTCATCTCAAGTCCTCCGACGACAGTGCCGTGATCTTGTGTCTAGAATTCTATCTCACATAAGAGGACGTAGCAAGAAAATATACTGTTAGATTAGTTTTTCAGATGAAGATGGAACATTATTTTGTCAGGACATGAAAGGGCCATTTGCCTTACAAGGAGACTTCGTGGTCATGAGTAGGTTACCTGTTCATGTTGCACTGTGAAAGGGTGATCTGTGTTTCTCCTGCCTCTTCCACATCGTTCAGTAGCAGGCAGTGCACTTAAGTTCATCCTGTTTCTAGGGAACAGGAGGCTTCAGAGTTAAAATATTTCAACCTGCTGCAGCCAGGTATCAGTCTAGCTTCACTATCACCAATAGTGATCAGAACTGACACTGAAGCATCACTGGATAGTTTATTGTAAATGCACTGGAGAGGCAAAAGAGGGACTATTACAGAGCTGCAGTTTTAGAAGTTCCTTTGGCAGGATTCCATGTGTGAACCCACCCTCCTACACTGCTCTGCTCGCTGTCTAGACAGTGATGGAGAATGCGTCTTGCTTCTATAGGCAACTGTTACCTGTAGGCAAAACAAAGGGTTAAAATGCAAGGTACAACTGACTATAACACCCAACAGGAGTGCTTCCAAATGGAGGTGTCTTACAGCTGTAACACAAATGGCATTGTGCAACAAGCCCAATTTCCTTATAATTTTTTTCTGAACTTCTTTTTTTCTTCCATTTTGTGTGGAGGAAAAAATTAAAAGAACCAATAAAAAGATCGGGAGGGTTATAGGTTGAAGGGGATGTTGTCTGGGTGCTTGAAATCAGGTAGGGCAAACATTTGCTAGAAGAACTGCTGCTCTAGAGCAGTGATTCCCAACCTTAGGTAGCCCAGGTGTTCCTGGACTGCAACTCCCAGAAATCCCAACCAGCATTGCTAGTGGTGAAGGCTGCTGGGAGTTGCAATCCAAGAACACCTTGGTTACCCAAGGTTGGGAAACACTGCTCTAGAGTGATACTTTATACAATTTCTTGTGCCAGACAGAAGTCTGTTTTTAACCCTTCTGACTAAAGTAGAGTGTACATTAAGTATACAGGCTGCTTATGGAGATTGAAGGGGGGCGGAATCCATTAAACAAGGCTCTAGTTCTGCCATTTTACTTGCTCTGGCATGTTTTATAAACATTGTTTAAATTTTAATATGTGAACTTCCTGAAGTATAACACCAATAATCAAATATAATAAAATGGAATGGAGGTGAAGAAGTCTTCTCTGGGTATACAACGGAAGTGCAAGCTTGTCAGATAAAATGAAACTGAGGGTATTTCTAAAGACCTATTAGAGTAGTTTTAGGGTTTCAGAGTTAGAAAGAGTCTTGGATTTTCTCTAGGTCCCTTGTTCAATGCAGGCTTTACAAGACACCTACAACTTCATTGCCAGGAGACCATGCCTCCGGTCTATCTAACCTCTTCTTAAATAACAAAAGGCAAAAACTATGGAGATGATATAGGACTTGGATGCCAGCACCAGTTATGGACTTAACGTGTTTACAGCAAAGACATATAGTGAGATTTTAAGGTGTCAGAGTTTGAGGTAAAAAGCTTGAAATATGGAACTGGTAAGAATAGGGAGGCTAGGAGTAAGACTACTATATACCGTGTTTCTCCGATAATAAGACCCTGTGCAGATAACTGATGTCTGTGGGGAAACTTTTCAGCTATTCTGAAAAGATTTTCTCGCAGCAAAAATACAGAACTCCTTCAGAATAGTATTTTTAAAAGTGTTCTGCTGACCATTCAATTCTGCACACTATTAAAACCTGGCCCCCTTCTTCTCCTGCGATAAAAAGCTAACATTCTGATACAGACACAAACAGAATTCCCGTATAAGAGGAAATATGTGAAGGCCACACATCGGCTATCCAGAGTAATATCTTTATTCATATGAGTGTATTTTTTCTGAATTCAAAAAAGGTCTGAAATACAACTCATTTATATTCCAGCACATCAACTACAAGACATTATCAGATATCACTCTTTCCCTCACATGTGTAAATACCTAGTCAGAAAATGGCAATTATATCACTGTGTTCTACATATATAACTAGACTTCCTAATATCCTCCATACACCAATGGAGCTGACTTAGCCCATTTCAGCATAACCAAGTCTTTTTATCAGTACTCAGGCACTGCCCAAGATAAAGTAGTTCTGATGTCAAACTAAATTGATCTTTTGATGGTGTAATATCAATGCATATAAGCCAATTTTAAAATAATGTACTACCAAAAATCCAGTGATTTAGGAATATGGGGTAATGATGAGAAACCATTACTTGGAATCTTCAGAAAACCTGGCAGAGAATTTTTCACGTAACCTTGTCCATTTCCACTTCTTTTCATCTATATTCTCTGCAGATGGGGCAGGGAGTAATAAAGAAAAAAGGTTTCATTATTCATATGTAAAAAACTCTGTTTTCCTACCATTAACGTATGTATATATACTGTGCTAATTATGGATAAGCAGCAACAGCCAGTCTTAGGATGCATATGCTTGTGCAATTCACATGATTGAAAACTCACATTTAATAACACCACAGCCATTCAATTTTAAGGCTCACCTTAAAAACCGTAAGGTATGAGAAGGCAGTCATTGATTTTCATCTAAATGAATTTTCTGTTTCACTACCCAGAGCAAACTTGTTTTCTTTATCAGAACATAACACCACATTTGGAGCCAGCAAAAACTAGCATTTTCATGATGCAGCCAGAATAAAAGCTGCTACTTAGTTATACACCACTTTAAATGTGTTTATAATTTCTTCCCTCATAAAGACACTCTGTATAGACATACAAAAACAAAAAAGAGTAAAACAGAAGACTCATACTGTCACAACAGATTTTGAAGCCTTACACAGTAACTTAAGATATCACTTCCTACAGAAGATGCATGTACAGCTAGATTTATTCCTTGGCCCAGCCATAACAAGGAAGGCAGAAAACAACAAAAATCAGTACAATTGCAGTTGCATTTCCTGTTCTACATGGATATCAATCTTTCCTTGACCCTCATTAACTGTAGATATATGGCCTTCTTAGTATTAAGTCTGTACTGGTAGTATGTCACCATCCACTATTCCTTTTAATACTGAATTCAGAGCTCCTTTCACTGACAGGGATGAAATCAAAATAGAAAAACTGAGGGGGGAAAAGTGCAAAGTCCCTGAAATCAATGCATTACACAGCCACTAACAAGATCAGTCCATTTGGTCTCTTATAGTCATATTTTACTTAACCACCTCCTCACAAGGTGATGACTGAAAGATCAGGGAGATCTTCTGTGCATAAAGCTCTGTACACAGGAGGTGAAGACATAAAGAGTAGATGGATCACTTCCATAATGTATTGCACATGGGATTTTCAGTCCTTCCCAAAAGCAGAATAGCAAACTGATTTAAATACCTGTTGCAATGGCCATCTTGCATTCTTCCACTGTTACCCCTGTAAAGTTCGTATCTTTCAAGCGTGGATACTATAGGAAAACAAAGAAAAAATCCAGAAAATATTACATATATAAACTGATTTTTAATTTCTGCTGAGAATGATGCTCCTTTCTTCATATGATAGTGTATTGTGTATGTTGCTTGCCAACAGCTGAAATCCAGTAATGTAAAGTTATGCTGTGTAAGACTGATATTTTATACTATGCATAGTAGAAATCATCAGCCATGACCATTTTCCAGGAGTAAAAAGTTTCTGATTTTGTCCCACAAAAGGTTCCAAGGCTCCCTTGGGATCTCTTCCATCTTGAGGAAGCCATTGGCTATGCGACAGGGGAGCCTTTAATTTCTAAAAAATGCCAATGGCTGTTAAATCATCCCAGCAACACTCAGTTTTGGAAGTTAGACTCTGCCCTGTCCCCAACAGCTTCCCTAGATTAAGGTAATCCTGAGGGAACCTGCCCCCCTGAAACTTTTAATTCCTGCAAAACAGCTATGGTGCCATCAGCCTTACATAGCACAACTTTATGCTACTGAATTTCAGCCACCACCAGTTCAGTGTAGATATAGCAAAGAACCATTTCTAACACAATAATGCATAGTAAAAATTATCAGATGAACTGATTTGTCTTTTCCACAGCTAAAGTTACAGACTAGAACCAAGTGTAACAATTTCCAGCAATAGATTTCCAACAACAGGCATGCCACTGTGAGAGAACTCACCTTGTTTTTATAATAGTTGGTATGGATTCTGGTTAAGCTCTCAAACATTTCATCACATGTTGCCGGATCGGAAATCTGCAAGAATACAAAGACAAAACTTCTTCCTCGACTATCCACAAGAATGCCGGCACTGTATACAGACTTATTCTCTCTCAGCAACTTTTAAAAGCAAACATTGGGAACTTCTAGCCCATGGACCAAATTCAACATGCCAATCCTCCCTATCCAAAAGAGGTTATCCAGATGAAACCTTCATAAAATCTATGTAGCCCAAGAATATAATGTGCCAAATCACAAATAGCTCTAAAATACTCAAGCAATTCACTGATTTACAAGCTAGGCCCACTCTTATCACTGAACACAACTCTGTGTAAGCAGAGGAAAGTTAAACCCATAATAAGTAGAGAAGGCTGAACCCAAAGATTTGTGATATCTGACTTCATTCTGCCCAGCATGCTATTGCATAGCTCTGTCTGGACAATGTGGCATGATGACACTGTAAGGTAAAGGTAGTCCAGTTGTGTCCGACTCTAGGGCGTGGTGCTCATCCCTGTCTCCAAGCCGTGGAGCCAGCATTTGTCCATAGACAGTTTCTGTGGTCATGTGGCCAGTACGACTAAACGCGGAATGCCGTTACCTTCCCACTGTGCTGGTACCTATTTATCTACTCACATTTACATGCTTTCGAACTGCTAGGTTTGGAGGAGCTGGGACAAGCAATGGGAGCTCACTCTGTTGCGTGGATTTGAGCTTACGACAGCTGGTCTTCTGACCTTGCAGCACAGAGGCTTCTGCAGTTTAATCCGCAGTGCCACCACGTCCCCTGTATGATACTTTAGACTGCCGCTAATTAAAAGTTTGTTTTCAAATTCATGGTGTGTGCAGCTTGTGTATGATGATACTTTAGATCGCCGCTAATTAAAAGTTCGTTTTCAAATTCATGGTGTGTGCAGCTTGTGCCCAAAGAGACAAACTTAGGTCAAAAAAAGGGCAGGAAAGTTTTTTTTTTCCCATTCGCAAGTCAAGACACGGTTTGTAACTCAAAGCAATATTTTGCATCCGGAGCAAACGTTTGTATGTCAGGGCGTTCGCAAGTCAAGGCACCACAGTACTCCCAACAGAGCAGAAACTGCAAATCCAAATGTTAATGCAACTACTACAGCAAACTTACTGAATCAATGGAACTTGCATTAGTGTTGATTTACCAAGTTCAGATGGATTCAGCAGGTTTACCCAACTGGAACTAAATCGGATTTAGGCCTTTAACTATTTTGCGTTCCTAGTAGCTTCCTAGTTATGAGGCTCTATGCTTCTGAAATTCTTCAGATGTTTTGCCTAGGGCCACCTTTGTAACATTTTCCCCCCACACCCTTTTCCTTAAACTTTTGGCTATTTTCACAGTAACTGCCAAAAATAAAAACAAAACGGGAGTGGAATAGGAAGTAAACATTTCTTTTGTAAAAAACACACTACACAAATCCTTCTGCAAATACTCAAGTCTCCTAACTAGATCCAATTCTACTCTGAAAAAAAGCATGGGAATAGTGGTGAAAGAAGGTCAACTTTTAGAATGCTGTCTGCACCTACACTTAAGACTGGAATTGATCCCTTCAAGGCGGCAACTGTTTTTGCATTCTGACAAATTTCTGTTTGTTTCTTTGTTAAAACAACCGAACAAACTTTAGAGATATAAAACATGCACATCTCTCTAGGCACCTCACAGGCACGGTATCTTTATAAGGGGCTATTATTCCTGAAAATTTCACCCAGTTCTGACAAAGTGGGGGGGAGTTTAAACCATCCAATTTCCACTGGCAGTCAATGAAAGGCTTGAAGATTTGGATTTCTCAACTGAGATTTAGATTTGGTGTTAAGCTCAATTAAATGGTGTCTGAATTGGTCTGAGCCGAACAGAGTTGTTTTCTGATTCCAAATAAATACTGTGGCTGCCGCAAATCCCAGATGATATCCAAACAGCAAGTCAGAATATTATGATTCTTCTACATCATCAGGTATTAGCTAATCCACAAATCAGGAAAATAGGACAGAAAACCTGCATAATACCAAATTTTACATATTTTTGTATTCATACTGAAACCCTCGAACAGTGCTGCAGTTATCAAGAGGAAAAGAGAAGCAGCATTTTAGAAAGAAAGAAAGCACCATCTCATTATACATTATACATTTCTTTGTCAGAAAAAGATGTCTGGAGGAGGCCTGGACCTGAATTTTGTCCTTCCCTGGTTTAAAGGCTAAGGATATCAAGAAGCTACAAATTGAATACAAGTGTCCACTGTTTACGTCCTCTGTTTCTAACAGACAACATCTCCCTGACCCATACCAAGGCTCACTTTTACAGTCTCACAATTTGTGCAGAGATGGAACTTTCATGCACTAGTCCAGACAAAAATACAGTGGGGTCTTGACTTAAGAATGGCTTGAGTTAAGAACATTTTGACTTAAGAACCGCTCTCATAGGAAAATATTGACTTGACTTAAGTACTTAGATTTGAGTTAAGAACTGAAAAAAACCACGTGGGAGGCAGGGAAAGTAATTATACATGAATGCAATTCCCTTTTTTGGTCAGAAAAAGATGTCTGGAGGAGGCCTGGACCTGAATTTTGTCCTTCCCTGGTTTAAAGGCTAAGGATATCAGGAAGCTACAAATTGAATCCAAGTGTCCACTGTTTACCTCCTCTGTTTCTAACAGACATCTCCCTGACCCATACCAAGGCTCACTTTTACAGTCTCACAATTTGTGCAGAGATGGAACTTTCATGCACTAGTCCAGACAAAAATACAGTGGGGTCTTGACTTAAGAATGGCTTGAGTTAAGAACATTTTGACTTAAGAACCGCTCTCATAGGAAAATATTGACTTGACTTAAGTACTTAGATTTGAGTTAAGAACTGAAAAAAACCACGTGGGAGGCAGGGAAAGTGCAAAATGTGGCATCTTAAAAGACTGTTATATTTCAATGTGAGTTTTCAGGGATACATCCGCGTCTTCAGACATGATTTGTCAACAAAACATCATACTGAAATATAACAGTCTTTAAGGTTCAACAACAATTTAATTATTTGTTTTTGTCTTCATATGCTTTGTCCAGACAGTTGTTAAAGATAAACTTTCATCTCCCTTGGCCAAACAGCTCATCCAATGGTAATACGCTGGAGTTTTGCAAATTCAATTTTTTAAAATGATGTTCTTCACCAATAACTAAGAGAGCCTATAAACATCACATAAAAGTCTTGCTGCACAGTTTAAGTTAAATTATCATATTGCCCAGAATTCTATCATTTATCTATGTGTGCTAGTTAAGAATTCAGAGCTTGTACTCCTTGTTGTAAATCAGTCATGTTACCTAGTGTGTAACCGGGGATAGCAGCACAGCTTAACTAGAAGCAATTTGCCATTCAAATTTATGGCTAAGAAGCTATGTTATTTATACCAGCATATGTATAGTAACAGTATTGTGGCTGATACTATTTCAGGTTTTTTTTTTTAAAACAATCCTTCAATTATTTAGTTCTACATAAAGAAGTTTATTACCACATAATATTGTTTGGCATCATAGACTGCAATTTTGATTTCATTGGAATGGCTGGTGACAGGAATAAGATGCCACAGACATCTCCCTTTGCAACCAGAAGCCTTCCTGGTGAAGCAGTGAAAAACTCTAATTGTCCCACTATGTTCCACAGGCAGCAGAGATCATGATATGGTGCCTGAGGGATGGGTGTCAGGGGAGGTCATGGATCTGCATGACCCTACAGCCTCTTGTTCCACAATAAACCACAAGACAAGCCTCACAGATTACACAAATGCTGGTTGGCATGGCTAAAGGAAGAAATGTTGCCAGTTCTGGACATCATACTTTAAGAAGGATGCTGGAGGCATTCAGGAGAAATTTAGACAACCACCTGGCAGATATCCTTTGATTTGTATTCCTGCACTGAGCAGAGGCTTGGACTCAATCGTCTTATAGGCCTCTTCCAATGTCATTATTCTATGAAATTACACATGTTACTTTGAAAGCCAGCAGAATTAAGAACTCTGAATGTGTTAAATTCACAAGTGTGATTCTTTGTCCACTTGCCTCTGTGTAAATACAGTGGGGTCTTGACTTGAGAACTTAATCCGTATTGGAAGGCGGTTCTCAAGTCAAAAGGATGCTGGAGGCATTCAGGAGAAATTTAGACAACCACCTGGCAGATATCCTTTGATTTGTATTCCTGCACTGAGCAGAGGCTTGGACTCAATCGTCTTATAGGCCTCTTCCAATGTCATTATTCTATGAAATTACACATGTGACTTTGAAAGCCAGCGGAATTAAGAACTCTGAATGTGTTAAATTCACAAGTGTGATTCTTTGTCCACCTGCCTCTGTGTAAATAGAACTGCTGTCCACTACATTTAAACTCCTTATATGTCTACAAGGAAGTTATTTGAAATTTATATGTACTAAGAAACAGAGGAAATGTCAGACCCCACACAATATTTAGGGAACACATCTACATACAGTATTTTTAAAGATTGTTTGCACATTCTGGTTACAATCCTGTGCACATTTGGCAAAAAGTTTTATTAAATAAAGTCTGGTGCTTCCAATAACATAAAGATATTTGGCAATTGTAGGGTATTTTTGATTGAAAAAGCACTTCAGGTATGTGCTATTTAATAATCAAAATAACCCTGCAAGGTAGGTCAGCAAAGTTGTATCAAAGTAGTCTTAGTGATTAGGGACTGAGGCTATTAGGGCATGCACAAACACCTGGGTTGCACATAAACCCTGCTCAAGAATTAGTTGCTTTTTATTAAAAACACACGCTGCAGTGTAACTGTTTTTGTTACTACTATATTGCAATATGTAGGGGCCAGGCGACAGGAAGAAAAGGCTCCAAAGGCTTTCATATATGCAGAAAAGAGAATTTCAGCAGCATACTAATGTGTATGCCAGCCCAGGTTACCGTGTTTCCCCGAAAATAAGACAGGGTTTTATATTAATTTTTGCTTCAAAAATGCATTGGGGCCTATTTTCAGAGGATGCTTTATTTATTTTTTTCACGTACAACCATCTACATTTATTCAAAGACAGCCATGTCATCATCTTCTGGTTGTTGCACAATGGTGGAGGGCGGGGTTTCACTTAACTGGGGCTTATTTTGGGGGGTAAGGCTTATATTACGAACACTCTGAAAAATCATACTAGGGTTCAGGTGAGGTCATATTTTCAGGGTATGTACCCTCAACTCGGAACCGACTTACAGCGACCCTAGCACTGTCTCTTTTTCCGCTAGACCCAGCGAACAGTGGATACACACGTTACGTAAAGAGGATTTTTAGACGGTCAACCAGGCAACCTCACCCGCACCCCGAAAATGAGGAGGGAGGGAGGGAAATAAAAAAAGCCCCTCGCCCACCTGGGTGTTTTCTCCCTCGCGGAAGGCCAGCACCACCCGCTGCCGCAAAAAGGCGCCCAAATCACGCCCGCGCTTCGTCTCCTCAATGGGCCACTCTTCACAGAGCTTCAAGAACCGCCGGTACCGCGTCACCGCCATCTTGGCAGACAAAGGACCAACCTCATTGGCGGGCGGCTCACGTGGGGTTCTGACTCTGTGTCGTCCGTCACGGAGCGTGTATTTCCGGGGCGGGATGATTGAAATCCCCGCCAATTACGCTTTCTCTCTGCTCTCACCTGTGTATATCGCTGTGTCCAGAACGGGCTGCGCCTGCGCAAAGCGTACAGGAATTCACCCCTCCACTTGACAGAGGAGTGAAGAAGGCTTTGGGGGGAGGTGTGTGTTTCTTAGTTTACACAACTAGTTGTTTAGCAGCCCGGTGTGGTTTGGTACGAACAGCTAAGCTCAAGACTCTTCGTGCCTGTTTAAAAGGGTGGGCAATGGAACCTGGGTTACCTTTACTATAACAGTAAATGTCTTTACCAGAAAACTATGTTGTAGTGTTGCCACAAGCTTAACTGTAGCTTTTCTTCAATGTAGTATTATGAAATGTTTTAAAAATGTATTTTATTTCTGCCTTGTCTCCAGTTACAAGAATGTCACTAGTAGATTTTGAAAAATGACAGGTTTGCTTTTGTTTTACTGCTCCACCCAAAGTAATTTTCCATGCTGTGTTAAGCCACAATGAACACTAGTCTGCAACACCTGGATAACACTGGACTACACTGCAGGAAAAATAATCTTTTGCATGTTGTTAAAAAAATCATAAGACTCAAACTAGAAATATGAGGAAGTTGTGAGACAGTTTTGAGCGGCTTGGACAGTTTTTAAATGCATTAACAAAAGCTGTATTTTTTCACATAAACCAGATGTGGTTCTTAATTCCAATTGTTGTCTCTTCTATATTTGAGGTGCATATGTGTGAGAGAAGGGATGACACACTGCTGTCTAATGCAGTTATGCTAAAGCCATCCCCCCCTTCAGTTGTTTCCTATGAGCATTTGTCGTGGTAGTCTTGCTGGCAAGAAAGAAGTCATGATAACTAACGGGAAAGTCACTTTGATGAGTTGGACTCTAGTCCTTGAAAGCTTATGTCTTATATCATAACTGACCTGGCTACTCTTCCAATTAATTTCAGATAATGGAATTATAATTTCATTTTTTAATCATGACTTGGTGTTTTCCCAGAGGTGGTATGCATTAATTTTCCTAGGGAGGCTCTTCTGGTGCACAGGTATTTCCTGGGAAGTTTTTCTTGAGGAGGGTAATCACCTTCTGTGCAGCTCTTTAAAAAAAATCTGCCAGGATTTGTTAGTGGTTGTTCACTTCTGTGGTTCAAAACTCATTATGAGTTTCTCTGAAGTCTTTTGGTTAATTGCTAAGTAGGGATTTGAACAGCTGTATTAACTAAAACCTGAGAAGGAACAAATACAGACTTGAAAAGCTCATTGTGTTTCTTGCTGCTATGCCATCTCCCCAACATTACTGAGAACTGCAATACAACTATAAAGCCTATTTATGTTTTCACAGAGCTTCATCCTCTAGCTGCCAGACAACAGAGTGGGGAGGGCTGATGACTGAGCCTCCGATTACTGCTTGACCAAACAGAAAAGAACTGATGACTGAGCCTCCGATTACTGCTTGAACTACATATGCATTACATTTTTTAAAAAGTAAAAAAGGTGACTTTTTAAAAAGTTAAACATGAAATAATATAGATAAAGATTAATTCCATTGTGCCCAGAGACCTTGCCAGGTAAATGAGGATTGCTTTGCACAGTTGTGTGATAGCAATATTTTGGACTTCTAGAAATTTCCTCCAGCTGGTAGTAATCCAAGCAGAACATGTTGTTGTTATGTGCCATCAGGTCACTTCTGACTTATGGCAACCCCATGAATGAGCAATCTTCAAAATGTCCTCCAAATGTCAACAGCCCTGGCCAACTCAAGCCTGTGACTTCTTTTAGGGAGTCAATCCATCTCATATTTGGTCTTTATCTTTTCCTGCTGCCTTCCACCTTTCCCAGCATTATTCCTTGACCTGATTATTTAATCTTCCTGTCACAGTTTGTGGTTGGTTACTCACAGCCTGCAGGCAATAAAGAGCTAGCAAAAGGATTTCCTTAGAGGCCTGATATTTAAACTATGGGAAACAATGATTTTTATGACAATTAAGTATATACCAACAGATCTATAAGACACAGTGTAAAGGAAGCACAGGCACAAGCAGTATGTTCAAAGGCCTCTACAATTTATTTACAACATAACATTCCCATTTTGTTGCTGAGGTTCATACTGCTATTATATATTTACAAGCACTCTAACAAGTTTCCCATCTGACACAGGGAGGAATTAATTATTTGGAGGTTCCTTATTTACAACTCTCCATGAATTGTGTAAACATTTTGTCAAGTTTTTGCAATTTGTTTCCACTCACATACAAACATATACACACAGAAATATAAAGCTGCTACATGAGTTTTAGGCAATAACACTGATATACAGTGGTGCCTCACAAGACGATGTTAATTCGTTCAGCAAAAAACGCTGTCTTGCGAAAACATCGTCTTGCGAAATGCGGTTCCCCATTGGAATGCATTGAAATCTAATGCGTTCCAATGGGGGGGGAATCATCATCTTGTGAAAAACACCCACAGGAAAACCGTTTTGCGAAGCACGGACCCAGCTGTCAAAATCGCTCTCTTGCGAAAAACTGTCCCTAAAAAAACTGTTTGTGAAGCATGGACTCAGCTGTCAAAATCGTCGTCTTGCGAAAAACCGTCCTAAAAAAAAAGTCTTGCAAAGCACGGACCGAAACATCATCTAGCGGAAATTGCCCATAGGGAAAACCGTTTTGTGAAGCGCTACAGCAATCGCAAAAACCCATTGTCTTGTGAATTAACCGTTTTACGAGGTAATCATCTAGCGAGGCACCACTGTATGTGCACTTCCTAGACAAAACAGACGGGATTTGTTTATTGTTTTGGACAATGGTTCCCACAATCCCACTTGTAGTTTGTCCAGATATTTCCCATCTCTGGGAAGTGCATGTCTCTGTAGTGTAAAATGTTGTGGAGCCAGTGCCCTCATGACAGCCATTTCACAGATTGTGTACCCTCTGTGTAACAAGTTATTTTCCAGCTCTTCCATCAAAAACCTGCTTCACACCAGGAGGAGCCATGGAACCTTCCTGCAGCTGATATTTGGGTTCTACTGTGTTCACTTCTTTTGGCTATTATGTATATTCCTTGGAGGATCTATTACCGCAAACACTGTTATAGAAAAAAGAATTGAGGAATTAATGTGTGTTTTTGAAAGTGCCAATGTCTGTCAGCTGAGCACATGCAGGGCAATTGTCATCTGATCTTGTAACTGAAATTACCCGTCAAACCCAGTGAGAGAAAATGAAAAGCTGCAGGTTTTTAAGAACTCACCAGTGTATCTACATAGTCCTTTTACATGATCCTAGTATTTGCTTTGCCTTTGTTGGTTAACAAACCTTTAACTCCAAAAATTCCTTTCAAGTAATATTTTCTCCTAGCTCACAAATGATACAAGTAGGCAACATTCAAATATGGATGGATCATTGTTTGATAGAGTTTGGCCAGTCTACAGTGGCCATATAGTATAATCTGAGCTCTTCTTAGCAAGCTGCCCACATTATCATTTTCAAACAGTGCAGATGATGTTGTTGTTGTTAGGTGGGCCTTCTACTGCTGGCCCAGCATATGCATTCTGCCATTTAACCACCATATAGTCTCCTGTCACTTTAGCAGTTCTCGTTCTCACACTGGTATGCTCTGGACAATTTTTATTAAGTTTTCTAGACCAAAAATATAGCCATGATCTGGTCCATCATAAATAGTCTGATTATTCTTTGAGCCTTTGTAGGTTGTATGAGCAAAGTCTATCATGCGGACATCAACTTTAGGATGGCTGTTTCCTTGAAGGACGGAGCAGCTAGTATTTTGACAATAGCTTTGACTGTCCAAAGGCATCGCTTTGTCTAGTCCTTCATAGTTTATGAGAAGTGAGCTGGAGTAGAAGCGGTAAGTGCTCTGTTTCTTGATGACGGATAGCAGCATTTTCAACTGAGATACAATGGGTTCCACAAGTTCTGTTCTCAAACGCATGCCATTGTGAAGGAACTGGTAGATGGCTTGCCTGAAGCCATCGGGTGAAAGTTTCCGCCCATAGTACTTATCTTTGCAGAGGTATTGGTTAGTATCTGCCTGGTAAACCTGAAACAGAATGAAAAGAGTAAGACTCCTCATTAATCTTGTGTCCTGCAAACTGCAGTTAACTTATGTAAGTTCTTCTGAAGCCCCAATAATATAACAACTGAACGTGTCATGAAATTAATCCATTAAATTTGTATTCAGCCCTGCTAGGAAAAGCAGAGCAGAATTATAATGTTTTGGGTAGACCTATAGGGAATGAAGTGCAGAAAAAGTACAAGTAAGTTGGGATAGAGGAAAATATAACCAGTGTACAATACTCAAATATTTACTAAGTTTTTATGGTAACTGTCTAAAAGGCTCTCAGTAGTGTGTGCATCTTATTCTTATAAGATCCCTATGAGATAAGTGAGGCTTATATACTAATGCCAAGGTTAGCAACTGACCTTCATGGCTGAGTGAGGGGTTTCATATGCTCAGTGAGTTTCCATGTCTAATCCCAAGTCTTCCTGAGTTCTAGTCCATAATTCTATACACTACACCCCATTGGGTGGACTGAGTGACAGACTAGGACTGGGAATGAACAAATAGAGCTTTAAAAATGGTAATTCTTAAGCATTCATAGATTGATGGTGGGTTTCAGAGACACTGAAGCATAGATACACAGCCCAGTACATTCAAAATATGAAAAGATCTTGTTTAGGTCCAGGAAAAAAAAATTGTTTTTCTCCTGCCTCCCACTACATTAAACAACTGCTATGCAGAACCATAACTAGGGCAGGGTAATTTGGATTTTAATAAAGGACTCTGAAGTGAGGATGTGCAAATATTTGCTGCTGGAACGGTGCAAGCTCTCCATTCCACTTTCATATACTGCCTCAAGCAACTCTCCCCATGAGAAAGAAACAGCAAATTGCATGTCCAAGGTTAACCAATAAGGCTGTTTCTAAATGCAAGAAATTCTTGTTACAGTTCTGGTGTTATGAATCAACAAACATTCCAAGTTCTTTCTTTCCCCATCTCCCTCCATCTCTCCTTTTAAATATAGGCCTGGTCTAAAGCAGAGCAGTTTGGTTGTAAAATCAATAATATGTTTTTTTCCTCTCTTTTACTAACACTAGATTCTCAGTTGATGTGTATTATAGTTTCATTCCAAGCCATATTTCTTTGCACCATTGAAAATGCACTCCCTGTTGATAGTGCTATGTGACTTTTTTTGAAATAGGGAGCACAAGAATGAGTTTTTACCTGCATGCCACAAATACGAACACCAAGAGATGCTGATGTACTCTGTTCACATTTCTTTATCTGGCGTGCTTTCTTCTCTTCTGATGCATCATCACCATGCTGTCTGGTTCCCATCTTTAAGTCTAGAATGCATGGGCATTTGTACTTGGAGACCACATTCTCAAGCAATAGAAATTCTGGACAAACGCATTAAGGAAATCAATTTTTCTCCAGCTAAGTTATAACTGTAATAAAACTTTACAATCCACCTTTACTAGCTCCCATGACTGAGTCCTTGCTTCTGTCTCAACCTATTTGTTCTGATGGAAGGCCCACTTCCTCAGTGCTGTCCGTTCAATCCCCACTAAAGGCCAGCGGAGATTTTACAGCTTCAGAGGTCACCAGCCAATGCATAAAGGTTGACAGGTAGTTCTTATTACATGACTAGCTTTGAGGTGTGTTATTAGGGGGAGCTGGGGCAATCATGAGTCTATGGACAGATTTTTTCTGTATGCATATTTTTCTTTCTTTTCTTGACTGATAGCAAAACAGAGCAGAAAGAAAAAGCCACAGAAATGCTATATTTGATTTATGTTTCTTTTGGAAACATTTAAGTTGAAATGTAGAATTTTTCAACCAGAGTAGAACTTGGGTTACATAAATACAAAACTCTGCTTTTATTATTTGGAAACTTCATCTTCTATATATCATAAATTGTAACAAAAACTCAAAATCTATGAGATACGAGTTTTGTTTTTCTGTGATCTCACAAAATAGTATACAGTAATACCTTGGTTTATAAACACGTGGGTTAACATAATTTTCGGTTTACAAACGGAAATCCATTGAAAATAATGCCTCAGTTTACATTTTGTTTGTTTGTTTGTTTCAGTTTACAAAGCAAGTTTCCCCAGGATGCATTGTGCCTGGAGGTTTATAGTACCAGTTTACAAATTTTTTGCTTTACACAATGTCCCGCAGAACGCATTAATTTTGTAAACTGAGGTACTACTGTAGTATAATGTAGAACAGAAGTTCTATATTACAGTATAAATATATTGATAATATGCATAAATGTATAAAAACATGTACGAATCTTGTGTATGGACTAACATAGTTACCTCTTTAGAATTTTTTTTTTTAAAAAATCAACCTGCCCTTGCAATTTTAAAATGAATGTTCTTGTATTTTAAGTTCAAAGACAGGACTATCGTAAGGTCTGACTGGATGGGCAAAATCTAGTAGAAAATAGAGTCAATCCTGTACATGTCTACTCAGAAGTAAGTGCCATTGAGCTTGACAAACCTTCCTTCCAAGAAAATGTATAAAGGGTTGCTGCTTTAATCACCTTGGAGTCAATACTGGTTCACAATGCACAAACTGCATTCTAACATGATATATGTGCCAGTATCATGTCAGGTTAGACTGTTATTCATGCGTAATCCCAGCTGAATTGTGCTCTATAGTTTATTTTTTATCCAGTGCTACTAGAGGCTATAACATGTACAAATTATCCATGACAGATGTTTGTTGCACAATTCATCTATTATTAAAAGTTAACAGATTCCTAGGCATTCTGCTTTGCAAGCTTGGATTAGAAACCATCAGCCAACTGTAACAAGAACAGCTGAGAAAAGGATACGATGAGGTTTGTTCTCATTATACTTGGAAGATATGCGGTTGAGATGCTGTTTGTGGCAGTGCAGTCCCCATGGATTATAACTGTTCTTTTCTGCTTGGTTCCCATTGGCATCTTCCATAAGTGTAGATACATCTCCATGGTACTGAAGGTCACTTTGCAGTATTGCTTTACCCTGGCAACTGAACACAACACAAAAAAGAAAGAAGGAAAATGGTCAGCAAATTGCCTAGAAGCAAAAAAACAAAACAAAACCTATCACCTTCAGTTCAAACCAAGATGTAGTTCCCAGTAATTTCAACAGGATTTACAACACAATCCTGATCAAACGTCCACTCATAAAATCCTCATGTATTCAGTGGGACCTGCTCTCTGCTGTGCTTGGGATTGCATTCGGGCAGAACAATCCTATATACTGTATTTCTACTTCAAAAACAAAGCTCATATTGGTTTTGAAAGTTTATCTGGTCCACATGTGCAAGCACCCACTGCGTGTGAAGTTATGGGGTTAGGGGCAGGGGCTTGCACAACGTACCAGTAGTTCATTGTGCAAGTATTCCTTTTTGCTACAGCAAGGTGGCCTTTGAGTTGTGTGACAGCAAACAGGAAGCTGCATGGAGCTAACACTCTGTCCACATTGCATAGCAAAGCAAAGTGTGTCACTTATAGTATACTACCCCATAGCGCTCAAAACACTATATGCACAGTTTGAAATTTAATTATGCAGGCTACATATTGCCCCCCCCACCAAACTGGGTATTCAGTTTACTGACCTCAGAAGGGTGGCAGGCTGAGTAAACCTTGAGCCGGCTACCTGAGCCTGTTGGGATTGAACACAGGCTATGAACAGAGACTGGGCTGTGATATTGAAGTTTAACTACTACACCATGAGGCTGCAACAGGATAGTAGCCACATAATTTCATTGCAGTTATACCCAGATAAGCCAGAACATTCATTCCCTATGTTTGTTTATTTTTTCTTTGAATCCGTTGGAATGCTCCAAATAACTAACATAGGTGTTGGTGGTCAGCAATTTTCGTTCAGTCAGTTTTATGCAGTGATATGTAAGATGGATTTAAGTGAATAATGATGAACAAAGAAAGAGGACCCTACCAAGTGGTTTAATAGACTTTTGAATTTTTAAATTATTATATTTCAAGCAGTATAATATTAAATATAAATTAAATTTAAAAAGACCACACACACACACACACACACACACACACACACACACACACACACACACACACACACACACACACACACAAAAAAAAAACACACAATAGAATATTTAGATTATTATTGGCCTGAGTAGACTTCTGATCAACATAAGAGGATTGAGTGGAAAAACAGAATAAGGCTTTGTCTTCATGGGCTCGTTGGAGTAGGCTGGATAAGGTTAAATAAAGTTATGAGGGGTTGCAAAGAGCTCCAATATGGCATTTGGTACAATCCTCACATCCAAATGGAATACGCACCTCAAGTGATCCTAAGTGGTCTAGACTCCGTCCTCTTTGAATTTCCTGTATTTTGAAGTGGCTTAAGAAGACAACCACTTCAGGATATTGGTAAATTAAACACTTCTGCTCCATGGAGGAGCAGAGGAAATTACATTTTTAAGACAGTACTAGGGCAGTGCAGATGCACTGCATTACTTATTTAAAAAATTAAGAAGTTGAAAACTTGCTCCTAGAGATAGGAGGGGACAACAAGGGATATTGCATCCCCCCCCCTTGTGACTTGTCTTAAAGCTTGGGTTGAGAACCTGCCCACAGCTGTTCGCAATGGATTTCGGCTGTGGCAGGTTCTTGATCTAATCTAATACAGTCTTTTTTTTTCTTTTTAAAATTTCCTTTCTATGGAGCAGTGGAAGTGTTTAAATTGCCAGTATCCTAAGGTGACTGCCTTCTTAAGCCACTATATGATATATGAAATTCATTGCTTTAGTCCTTTTCCAACAATTTCTCGTGCTAGAATGGAGCAATCCTACTCACACCAAAAAAGTAGCAGTCCTTGACAGGGACCTAGAAAGGTGAGAATGAGGACGGGATAGGTTTGCTCCAGCAATTATGTCATATCACCTCCAGAATAAGGAGTGAAGTATCATGTCCCTGCAGTGGACCAAATAGCAGGCTAAATGCCCGTTTGATCACATTCTTAGTTTTAAATGTATTTTAGTGCATTTGCATTTTCTGGGATATAAATGTTGCCATCTATTTCTTAAATTTATATTGGGAATTCTTCCTCGTTGAGGCGCAATTGCAAATGAGAACGGTTCAAATACCATCAAGATACGACTATCCCTGTTTATTGCCAAGTTTACATTGCTTACCTCTCCTTGATAGTATTTGTGAGATGGTCATGATTCCATTTGACAAATGTGTGATCACTGTTGCTAGTGTTTGCCTGGTTCAGCTTCTGCCATATCGTCATAGAACATTCCTTCGGTGCATTATCCAAGGAACTGCGCCGATCCGTTTGTGGACAGGCTATGAGGCTCAGATTGCCCATGGTATCCTTCTTGAGGTTTACTGAAATAGTACCTTTAAAAGAGAGAAATAATTGAGTAAATTTGAGAGAAATTGATCTCTGTAAATTCACCTGCACACAATATGTTGAAATTTGGCAGCTAGTGGGTGGTGCGCCCTGGAGGAGTTCACAAATAGCAACAGTTCCAATTTACTGTGATTTAGAACCTCAGCTATCATTAATTATCTCTAAATTCCCTAGTTCCTCAATTCAATAAATCATAGATAATTTGTGAAGTCATTGCATGTTCAGTTATCACAAATGTTTAAATCACTGTGATGCTTAGCAAATAAATGCTAAAAACACAAATCCTTCTTGAATGAAATTGCAATCTTAAAAAAGTAGTGGGTGAAAAAAATCAGGAAAAAAGAAGAAGAGAAATTACTACTTTTCCCAAGGTTCCTAACCGGGATAATCTGTGCTTTCATTGCAGGGCAAAGTAAGGTGCACATTATGTGAGCATAACAATTTCAGTTCATACAGTACACCTAGAGGAATGAACACATGGACAGCGGTAAGTGGAACAGTGCCTGCTGGGACATCCATGTCTTGCTCCCACTCTCTCTGGTGTCCATGCAGTCATATCCTTGGAAATGGGTGGGTAGCTTATGAGTGCATTGGGAGCCAGTCAGGAAGCTATTGACAGGTCAAATGTGATTCTAATTAAATCTTGGATTTTGAGAAGTTGAATGTATGCCCCGTCACTCTTTGGAAAACAGCTTCACCTTCTCTGAAATAGTCTTTTCTCATTGACTGAATTGTACTTAAGACCTACTCTGTCTGCAGTGTCCTTGTACTTTAAACCTATTTAAGTTATGCCATAACTGAACCATCTGGGGCCAGACTTCTTGGAATGCTGGAATTCAAGAAACTCTGGGGCAATGAGAGTCTAGTAAGCAAAGTAGATAATATCAATAGTGTGATCTAGGTCCTAGAAACATAATAATACTTACATGCTATCGAGTCAATTATTTCTTATAGCAAGCCTTTTCAGGTTATAGATGTGGTTTACTATTCCCTTCTTCTGGAAACGTGCAGGGACCATGAAGTTTGCTCAAGTACACTCTTACAAGCTGGCTCTATCCTTTAGAAGTACAGCAGGGCATTGAACTCCCAAATTCTGGTTCCGTAGCCAGATACCTTATTCACTGAACTATCCAGCCTTCTGGACTGGTGGGACTTACAGCCAAGAAGAAGGTTTTCCTTTGGAAAACAAAGTATGTGGCAACTCTATTCAGCTCCCTCTTCCTCTACCTTCAGTTAACCCAAGCTCTTGTTCTTTAGGAGTTTGGCCATGATTTCCAGATATACATGGGCTCTAAGGATTTCTGTAGAGTTCAATTCCCTGCTGAGTATTCTATAACCTGTGGTGCTTATTCAATTCTTTTTTAGGACTATGACTCCCAGAATCCTCCAGCCAGCTTCTGCAGAGTTCAATTCCCTGCTGAGTATTTTATAACCTGTGGTGCTTATTCAATTTTTTTTTTAGGACTATGACTCCCAGAATCCCCCAGCCAGCATGGCCACTTAACAGCTGAAGACCCAGAAAGTAACTTCTAAGCTTTGAGTCACTGATAATTAGTGTAAACCAAGGTCTTACCAGATGAGGCACTGATTCCATAATGACAAGTAGTGTGCCCTTAAAAGGAAAAGACTGTTTGTTCATTCTAACAGGAGCTTACCTCAATCCACATTTGGCAAAGTAGCTTGCTTTTGTTTTCTAATTGGTCATTTGGGAGATACCAATGGAAGTTTTGTATGACCAGAGGGAGAAATTTGCCTTAATTTTAGCTGTGATCTAACCCTTTATTTTACAGCAGAGGAAGAAAAGCAAGAATAAGAAAGAGATAAATAAAATGCAAAGCGTTCTAAAAACTTGGTTTTCCTAATCTGTAAGTGGCCTTGTTATCTGGCCTTTAGCTTTTTCTTGATGCATCAGCTCTTGCCACAGCTGCTCTTTCCCACATAGGTCAGATTTCACATTGGTGTTAATATGTATTGTCCAAAAATAAAACACAATGGAAAGGAGGTGGCCAGCTATAAAGGAAACAGATCTTTGTTCTGGAGTCATTTAGAAGCAGAGCATCACAACAAGGAAAAGTGTGACGGTGATATAGTCCACAGTTATTGTTCATTTGTTTGTTTGGGTGTTATCCTGCAGTTTCCCAAAGGGCAGTGGCTCAGCACACTACACAGGCATGCTTGGTTTCTTGTGCCTGATTCTTATAGCCATGATTTTATTGGGAAGGCATTCCAAACTAATGGCTCCTCTCATCCAACTGTGATTTTGAAAAGGCAGAAACTGTTGCTATATTCACCAGTGAATACAAATGGCAAACTTTTTTTAATTACAAGAATCTAATGAAATCTGCACATCCAAAAAATCACTGGAGTATAAACTGCATACAGTGGACCCTCGACATACGGAATTAATCCATATTGGATCCGTATTATAATTGTAAATAACTGTAAAATTTTATGATTTTACATATGTATATATTGCTGTGTTTTATTTGTAAGACGCCCCGAGTAGACATTGTGTAGAGGGACGGGGTAAAAATAAATAAATAAAATTGGAATGGTGGCTGCAGGTCAAAAAGTCTGTAGGTCGAGGCTCCATTGACCTACAATGCATTGAAAACTGATTAATCCATAACCGGCCATTTTTGTTCCATTTTGGGCTTTTTTTCCAGGTCTGTAGATCGATTCTCCAGCTGCAAGTCGAACTTAAATTTTGCGGCCAGAGAAGTATATAACTTGAAAAGTCTGTAAGTGGAGCCATCTGTAAGTCAAAGGTCCACTGTATTTGCAGTGAGATTTATAAATCATTCTAAAGGCTACCTACCCACAACAACAACAACAACAACAACAACAACAACAACAACAACAACAACAACAACAACAACAACACCCAGCATCAATATTTTGATAATTTTATGTTGAAAGGAAGAAATAAAGATAATAAAATAAGATGAAGAACAGGCTATCAAGAAATGATTGTTGATATAAAGTGCATATTCTGTCCAAAAAAGATACATTCACTAGGATTATTGGTGAGAAAAGTAATAATAGCTAGAATGCTATTGGTTAGTTATACTAGTTTAAGTTCAGTGGCTTAAACTGCACAAGTGGCAACACATTAACTAGTGGCAATTTGGTGCTGCTGAAGTTTATGCCATTGCACCTTTGCTGGCATAACTATGCAAAGAGATTCTGGCCATTTTATATTTTATTCTTTTGCTTGAATTTACAGTGCATTAATGTGTCATAGCAAAGGAAAGATACACATTTTTAAAAAACTGCTTTGGTCTGGAAGGTTAACAGTTCTATAGGGCCATCCATCTATAAAATGATAAGTCAGAAAGACCAAGGCCTAAATCCAGTTGATAATCCCAGCTCAACATAGACTCACTGAATCAAGGGGGGTTATTTAAGTGTTTATCTGTCTTTTAGCATTTAGTTCAATGGATCCACTCTCAATTGGATTTAAGCCAATGAAAATTTAATGCAAAATTCTCTTTTTTTGTAACAGGGCAATCCGCAGGAAGTAGTGACCCCAGCTGTTGATATTTAGCATTATGGCTTGGTACAGCAGAGCCTGCAACAAGATGCTGCAGTGTTGGATGTTTCTATACAGTGTTCCAGTTAATCAACCCTGCCTTCTTCCACAACAGTCCATTCTATTCTCTCTCCTGCCTGGATTTTCAGAGGGCAGGCAGAGAGCTACTGTGATGTGTAGTCACAGGAGTGATGGGCTACAAGTTTGGAGATCCAGATTTTAGATCCCATGGAGCCTATAAACTCAGTGGGTTTGCATGGCCTGGAGATTCCTGGAACAAAAGCAGTACAGAAATGTAACAAATAACGATAAATGAACTTCAGTGCAGAAAGAAGATCATGGTCTTTAGACCAGTGGACATGTGCTTTGTATTTCAGCAGTACTGCCCTGCCTGCTGACTTTAACAGCCAAAGGACTAGACGTTACAACCTTTTACATATTTAACCCACTCCCAATAAAGCCAGCATGATCACTGTTCCAGTCCCGAGAGTCTCAGATGACAGGTTACTTTTGGGCATAGCTTGCAGATGAGGCAGCTTTGACCTTTTGATGACAGGCTGATGACAGTCTCTCCCCCTTCTTAAGGACACCAGAGACACCCGTCAGCATTGCCTTTTCAGCTGCCAGTCCTAAATTCCTCACAGTAGGGCTAGCTGGGACTGTTTTGCATAGTACTGCCCTTGGGGAGATTATTTAGAATCCCTCAGAATCCTTCTCTGGGCCATGTGAATGGGTCTCAACAGTATCTGAGTGGTTCCAAGTCTTGTGGTGTGAGCTCAGGACAAAGTGGTCAACTGATACTGTCTTGGCTGCTCCTCTGCTTCTACCAACATTGTGTTCCTTTGCACAACATAGAGATAAACATTCTTATTCACCAGGGTGCACAAAACAACCCATTAAAGGCAGAGGAGCACAGATAAGTGTAATGCTTTATAGCGGTGACAAGGAAACACCCTTTAGCCAAAGGATATTTTTCACTTCAGTTGCTGGATAGCTCAGTGGTTTAGGTATGGCTGAGAGTTTGATTCCCCACTGTGCCTCCTTGACAGGGGCTGGATTTGATGATACATAGGGTCCCTTTCAGCTCTGTAGTTTTAAGATTACTAGCATAATCGCTTCATTCCTTATTATTGTCCATGCTGACTGTGGCTGGGTCCAAAATGTCTGAAGGGCCAAAGGTTTCCTACACTCTGGTGTATGTTGTTGATGATATTATGTTATTGTTATCAGCTGATCTAAAAAAAATATTTCATGCCAAGAGATTATGCCCATTGACTCCAGGAGTTTTTGTTTTTTCACTTCAAATCTAGCAACAATAAAAAGGAAGCCTTTAAGAGCAGGGTTTTCCTACTCTACTAACCTAGTTCAAAAGCATTTCACAATCAGTCTGTTTTCCTAGGCTGACTGAGAAGTTGTAAGCACATGTCCTGTCCTTGTGATTAGCACTAAGTAACC